TAGTCTGGGAATCATTGGCGTTATAATTCAGCAACATCTGGAGGGCTAGAGTTTGGAGAACCCTGCACTAGAATAATGATGTTGATCTGGTTTGAGGCAGACACTCAAAGCACCATAATCACTAAAGCTCACTGTAGTGGTCATGGTGCCAGGGAAGTCCCGGTGCCGTCCCACGGTAAGTTGTCAAACTATTTTAGTCCCGGTCCCCCATGCAGGCGAATCAGGATTGTTCTCCAGAGACTTTTTTCATATTGCCCAAGAAATGTGCAAAATATATTAAATGCAGGTGTTAGGTGCAATATTTATTTTAAATAGTTTAATTTCTTTCTCCGTGTAGTATTCCTTTAAATTCCCTGCTTATCTCCATTTGTGCCCCCCTTTGCTTCCTACGTCTTGGTCTCCCATCCTTTAAAATGTCATGTTCTCTCATTATCCATCAGTTCCAACTTTTCCAAGTTTGCTTCCTATGTATGTAACCCATTGTGCTTATATTTAGGCATTGTATAATGTATTACATTTCAATAGTTTACTTTCTTCCCCAAGCAAGTGTCAAGATGCTGTGTGAAAGTGATGACTTTTTGAACTCTCCACCCAAGAAAACTGTGAGGTTTGGTGGGAAAGTAACAGAAGTCTTGTCCAACTATTCACAGGTAAAATATATTTATTTTGCAAAATAAGGGCAGAAAATGTCAAAGAATTGGTGTAATATTTTAACTTAAAGGTTGACATCGAATTAGGTGGTTGGCCATGTACCTTTCCAATAAATCTATTTTATAACTTTGTAGAGGGTTTTGTGAACTGAAAGCGTAATAATTACTGCCACAGTTGGTGAACATGCTTACAATTCAATTGACAATGTCTTGTGTGTATGTGTGTATATATATATATATATATATATATATATCTTTGTAGATATTTGGCACTGGTAACTGTGTTAAAGGATCACTATAGTGTCAGGAAAACAAACCTGTTTTCCTGACACTAGAGTGCCCTAAGGGTGCCCCCACCCTCAGGTCCCCCCTCCCGTGGCGCTGAAGGGGTTAAAACCCCTTTAGCAGCTTACCTTAATCCAGTGCCGGGCTCCCTCGGCGCTGGTGACCTCTCCTCCCACTCCGACGTCAGCTCCCGAGTGGAGCGGAATGCGCATGTTCACGCATTCCAACAGTCCATAGGAAAGCATTTCTCAATGCTTTCCTATGGACGTTCTGCACGCTGGGTGCGAATTTAGCATCCAGCATCGCAGATGCGCCTCTAGCAGCTGTCAGGAAGAAAGCCACTAGAGGTTGGATTAACCCTGCTATGGAATTTGTTGGCGCTATATAAATAATAATAATAATAATAATAATGTAAACATAGCAGTTTCTCTGAAACTGAAGGGTTAAAACCTGAGGGACCTGGCACCCAGACCACTTCATTGAGCTGAAGTGGTCTGGGTGACTATAGTGTCCCTTTAAAGCATTTTATGGGTGCACCTTTGCACTTCATAGTTGAATACATTTAACAGTGGATAAACTGCAAAGCATGCTGGAATGTGTGCGCATGCTCATGGAACACGCAGATTTCAAAAGCAAAATGCTGCATTTGACATTTAGCTACACATATAATAAGTCTTCATTCTCCATAAACCTTATCATGTTATGATGTATGGAAAACAGTACGAGCTCTGGGTACTTCCATCTTGGATGCAGGATAGAGGTAGAATGTTATCTTTGCTGAGGGGATCTCAATGTTTACTTGATTAGAAAAGCTTCCCTCTTCACACTGTTATAAGATTAACAGAATCGTATTGGCTAAGAGTATCATGTGCCACTTAAAATGGCTCATTGAATCCACAGCTCTGTCTTGCCACGGCAACCTAGAAATGGGACCCAGTGTCCTTAAGAATTGTTTACCTGTACGCAGGCAGCAGTCATGAGAGTTCAGAGATCTCTCCTTACCAGGCTTATTATCTGCAAAGGAATGGACTTTTCCTGTCCGCTGCAGCTTAAAAACAGTTTCCAGGCTCCCTTACTGACTCTCACATGCAATCACATCAATCGGAGCATGGAGCGACAGCCTGGGACAGTGCTGCACAGCTTATCATGTCTTCTTCCAGACTCCCTCCTCACCAACAGGTACACAGCAGGAGATGAAAGGGAGAATAACTGAATTGTAAATGTTTGTGTGTGAGGGTTGGGATAGTTTGGTATATTTGTAATTGTTTACGTAGAAAAATGTTAGTAACTAGGTGTGCGTTAAAGACAGGTTGCATTGTGTGACTTTGTCACTAGGTGAATTACTGTGAGTTCGGTAGTTGCTGATTTCCTTTTTGTCACTAGGTGAATTAATGTGAGTTCGGTAGTTGCTGATATCCTTTTTGTCACTAGGTGAATTACTGTGAGTTCGGTAGTTGCTGATATCCTTTTTGTCACTAGGTGAATTACTGTGAGTTCAGTAGTTGCTGATATCCTTTTTGTCACTAGTTGAATTACTGGGAGTTCGGTAGTTGCTGATATCCTTTTTGTCACTAGGTGAATTACTGTGAGTTCAGTAGTTGCTGATATCCTTTTTGTCACTAGGTGAATTACTGTGAGTTCAGTAGTTGCTGATATCCTTTTTGTCACTAGGTGAATTACTGTTAGTTCAGTAGTTGCTGATATCCTTTTTGTCACTAGGTGAATTACTAGGAGTTCGGTAGTTGCTGATATCCTTTTTGTCACTAGGTGAATTACTGGGAGTTCAGTAGTTGCTGATATCCTTTTTGTCACTAGGTGAATTACTGTGAGTTCGGTAGTTGCTGATATCCTTTTTGTCACTAGGTGAATTACTGAGTTCAGTAGTTGCTGATATCCTTTTTGTCACTAGGTGAATTACTGTGAGTTCGGTAGTTGCTGATATCCTTTTTGTCACTAGGTGAATTACTGAGTTCAGTAGTTGCTGATATCCTTTTTGTCACTAGGTGAATTACTGTGAGTTCGGTAGTTGCTGATATTCTTTTTGTCACTAGGTGAATTACTGGGAGTTCGGTAGTTGCTGATTTCCTTTTTGTCACTAGGTGAATTACTGTGAGTTCGGTAGTTGCTGATATCCTTTTTGTCACTAGGTGAATTACTGGGAGTTCGGTAGTTGCTGATATCCTTTTTGTCACTAGGTGAATTACTGTTAGTTCAGTAGTTGCTGATATCCTTTTGTCACTAGGTGAATTACTGTTAGTTCAGTAGTTGCTGATATCCTTTTTGTCACTAGGTGAATTACTGTGAGTTCAGTAGTTGCTGATATCCTTTTTGTCACTAGGTGAATTACTGTTAGTTCAGTAGTTGCTGATATCCTTTTTGTCACTAGGTGAATTACTGTGAGTTCAGTAGTTGCTGATATCCTTTTTGTCACTAGGTGAATTACTGTGAGTTCAGTAGTTGCTGATATCCTTTTTGTCACTAGGTGAATTACTGTGAGTTCAGTAGTTGCTGATATCCTTTTTGTCACTAGGTGAATTACTGTTAGTTCAGTAGTTGCTGATATCCTTTTTGTCACTAGGTGAATTACTGTGAGTTCGTAGTTGCTGATATCCTTTTTGTCACTAGGTGAATTACTGTGAGTTCAGTAGTTGCTGATATCCTTTTTGTCACTAGGTGAATTACTGTGAGTTCGGTAGTTGCTGATATCCTTTTTGTCACTAGGTGAATTACTGAGTTCAGTAGTTGCTGATATCCTTTTTGTCACTAGGTGAATTACTATGAGACAGTGCTTTTAAATTTACGTTGTTAGTCATAGAATCTAGGAGATGTCGAAGTGAACTTCAGACATTGGATTAAAATAATTGTGTTCAACAACATCTGAGCAGTCACAAGCTTAATTTTTTCTTTTGTAGAATAATGCACTGGATTTATCGTCTAACAGGACTTCTTACTAAAATGAGAATCGTTGGGAATTCTAAAGGAGTTTCAAATTTAAGGCCAAAATATCCTTAAAGGGACACTGTAGGCACCCAGACCACTTCAGCCCATTAAGTTTTTATAAACTGCAATAGTTACCTTGCATGGTTAAGTCCTCCTCTAGTGGCTGTCTACCAGACAGTCACTAGAGGGACTTCCGGCTTCTTAGATGACCTTTGGTCGTCTAAGCGATGCTGAACGTCCTCACGCTATGCATGAAGACCTCCCGTGTCGCAGGAATCCCCATTGGAAAGCATTGAATAATGCTTTCCTATGGGCGATTCCAGCTTCTCAATCCTATGGGGAGGTCTAATGCACGCCCATTGCCGCTCATGCGCATTAGGAGCCTGACCCAGCGCCGAGGGACATCGGTGCTGAATTCAGGTAAGTGTATGGAGGGGTTTTAACCCCCTGATCCCCATGGGAGGGGGGCACTTCAGTATTCTCTAGTGCCAGGAAACCGGGTTTGTGTTTCTGGCATTAGAGAATCCCTTTAAAAAGGTAGTTTTACAATTTTTGACTACATTTTGGAATTCACTTAGAATTTTTGTCAGTCCTCACTGTGAATAACCCTGAATAGTTGCTCTATTACTTTGTAGGAGCTAGCGAAAAGAGCATGCATTTAGAAAATATGTAGTATTGTAGTATTGGCTCCTGGTCTGAACAGAATTAATCATGATCGTAACTTTTTTTTCTTTTATTTAGGGTAAAACATCTGACTTTGATCTTTTGATGCATCAGCTGTCAGATCCCGAAATAAAGGTACGCTCACTTGAAATGTCCTCTTAAAAATGCCGCCTGCCCGCCCTATACGGTTATAGTGACAGAAATCACATTGATATCCCTGCCTTAATGCTTTTGCAATTTCTCCTCATAATATCTGTTTTAAACGAGAAGCTCTCACAGTTTATTTTTTTGTTTCAACATTCTCAGAGTAATGAACATGGAATCATGGAAGTTGGAGAATTTCCATATATTGCCAGGCTGTGCCATTGTACAAGAAATTGTCTGCAATAGATTGGTTCTGAAAGATTTGCTTTTGTTTAAGTTCAGTTAAAATTTTATGAATCATTGTTCATAAATCATTGTAACACAATTGGCTCAATCACTTTATCTTCCAGGCTTCCTGCAAGAATGACCCATATTAATGTGTTTTTAATTGTCACACAGGATGCACAAATTATAAATTGGCTTCACGAATTCCGAAATTCTATTACATATCTGACAATCGACTACGAGCAGCTTGTCAGTATTTTGTTGGTAAGAGAGATTTAATTCTTTCATTGTTTAGAGATGCTTACATCAAAGTATGCAATTTGCATTTTCAGTGTTAATGTGCATATTGTGTGTGTGTGTGAAGTAGTATAAAATGTCTGGGAATCTAATTTCTTCATAGATGTTTAGGTGTGGGTGAACGTTTGAAGTAAAGCTGCATTACTGTCATCTTTATACTCTCTCACAGAAGTTGCCATGGATAAACAGAAGCAAAGAAGTTGTGGAGGAATATTTGGCCTTTTTGGGGAACCTTGTTTCCGCCCAGACTGTGTATCTGAGGCACTGCCTTAGGATGATAATCTCACACTTTGTACCTGGTAAAATGGGATTTTATTCATTTTCACAGTCATATATTTGACCTGAAAGTTAGACTAATGAGCATTTAGAGGTAAATGCACATATTCCATAGTTTGTGATTTACAGTTGGTGTTAAGATGCATTTCTTTTCTTCTACTCTTAATCTTTGCAATGCACAAGTTTATTAAGTATTCACAATCAATATTCAAATTAGTAGACTACAACATTTTGTTTTCTGACTTAACTGTGTTTTGAAAAACCATAACTTACAAGAAACGGGCATCTAGTGGTGACAATGATCATTACAGCCAAATGTTATGCACGCTTGCTTAAAGCTGCACTGTCATGCCGAACTTACTTTTCCCCAATCGATTCCTCTTCTCTCTCTCTCTCTCAGGATCTGTTATTTATTTCTTCCTGTCTTCTCTAGTTTTCTTTAAAAATTAAGACAAAGTAGGGACTATTTGTCTTATGGAGGTTTCTTACGCCATGACCAGCTATGACCAGCGGAGGAGCAAAGTGTGCTTCGTTTCCGGTGGTCACAGCAATTTTCCCACGATCCTTAGCTTTCCTCCCTGTTCCCACGATGCTTCCTGTCAGTATTGCTGAACGTCCTGTCACTTAGACAGAACACCGGCAAAACTGCCGAATTGTATCCTAACAGAATGAGAACAGTTTCTCCATTCGTGTTAGGACGCAATTCGGGACTTTGTTCGTATCGGAATTTAATTTGAATGAATGAAACTCCGATCCTATTCGTGCTGTGGCTGCATCTTGCAGCCGCTTAGTAGAGAACTCCCTAATTCCCACGGTATTAGGGAGTTTTCTACCAAAAGGCTGAAAGACCTAAATTGGTCTTTCAGCCACATTTACTAATACTAAGTAAAGATGACTTAGTATTAGTAAATTCAGCCCTTACTCTCTATACTGCGAGTAGGGGCATGTCTAGTAAAGCCAGTGGCTGGTCACTGTTAAACAAAAAAAAAAAAAACACATTAAACTGAAGGCCCCCCCGGCCCCCACCCCTGAGCAGCGGGTGGGGGCCCTAAATGTGAATGTGGGGAGGGGACCTATTGTCCTCCCCCCCTCCCCCACCCCAGAGCAGTGGGTGGGGGCCCTAAATAGGAATGTGGGGGCACACCTACTGTCCTCCCGCCCCCACCCTGCACGGTGGGTGGGGGACCTAAATAACAAGGGGGGGCCTACTGTCCTCCCCCAGGCCCCCACCCCTGAGCAGCGGGTGGGGGCCCTAAATGTGAATGTGGGGAGGGGACCTATTGTCCTCCCCCCGCCCCCACCCCAGAGCGGTGGGTGGGGGCCCTAAATAGGAATGTGGGGGGACACCTACTGTCCTCCCCCCCGGCCCCCACCCCTGCGCGGTGGGTGGGGGCCCTAAATAACAAGGGGGACCTAAATAAGTATGGGGGGGCCTACTGTCCTCCCCCCGGCCCTAAATAACAGGGGGGCTACTGTCCAGCCCCCACCCCTGAGCGGTGGGTGGGGTCCTAAACAAGAATGGGGCGGGACCTCTTGTCCTCCCCCCTGGCCCCCACCCCTAAGCGGTGGGGGGGGCTACTGTCCTCCCCCCACGGCCCCTACCCCTGAGCGGCGGGTGGGTGCTCTAAATAAGAATGTGGGTGAGGACCTACTGTCCCGGCCCCCACCCCTGAGCGGCGGATGGCAGCCCTAAATGAAAATTCTCCCTCCCCCCAATCAAGGTGACTAGGGGTCCCCAAATAAAAAGTTATCCCTTACCTACCCCCCTCACCGTAAAAATAGTGAGGGGGTAATGAAATAACTAACCTGAAAAGAAAAATAAAACTTACCATTTGATGTCTTCTGTCTTCTAAAATCTTAATTTTTCAGCCTCAAAAAAGGCCAAATAAAAACCATCATACCCGTCGAACTTAAAATAAAATAAACCCGAGCGCAAAAAAAAAACCTGACGCTAAAAAAATTAATCCATCTTCACCCGTGGAGGGCACGGTGCAGACTGAGCTCCGCAGGGCGGGGTAAGGCTTATAAAGAACACTCTGGTTGGTTTAAGCCAATCAGATTGCTCATTGTCATTTTACACAGCGTAGGAAAATTCTTTGGAACTTTCCCACGCTGTGTAAAATGACACAGAGCACTCTGATTGGTCAGTTTCTTTAATATGGCCCCTTAAGAAGCAATTAGAAGAAGGGAGCTGATACTGATTATCGTTTCTAACCGGTGCCAATATTTTGTTGGGGTAGATGAGTTGTAGTGCAAATTTTGAGGGGGAGGGGAGATTACCTGGTGTGCTTTAGAGGAGGGATATGAGCTGGTGTGCTGGAGAGTGGGGGGATGAGTAAATGGTTTGCAGAAATTGTCTGGCATAATGATTACATTGAAATTGGCATGTTCTCTCTCTCTCTCTCTCTCTCTCTCTCTTCATGGTTTTTCTTTCCTCCTTAATAGCTCGGATAATCATAAGAGAAGGTGATGTAGATATATCGGACTCGGATGATGAAGATGATGGTGAGCATATATATTTTATTAATGACATTCTATGTACAGAGCTGGTTTAGTCAACAAACAGTGAGTTCTGATGAAATAATAAGGATCTCAAATCAAAGGCCTAAATAGCAGAGATGGAACGTTTCCACAATCTGAGCTGTATTTCCAGCGTTTCAACTCTGCTACTTTAGATTTTACAACTTAAAACTTGGCCATTGACCTAATGACAAGTACATCATTTTGGTCCTTAGTCAAAGTGAACCTGTTATGTATAATTGAACTTTCCTGCAGTGGCTTCTATATGCATTGAATACACCATTTATCACCAAGATATGCCGGCTCGTGATCTGGTTGTCCTCCGCTCCACCTCTCTTCTTTTTTTTAATTTGCCCTACTTGGGATACTTCTGCAAGCAGGGCAAATCTCTGGTCAGTGACATCGGCATGCTGCTTTCATTGCCAGCGTTCTGGCGTCGGAATGGAGTCCCACAGAAGATCCCTCTATTCTCCCCCCGTAGTAACCACAGTGCATATGCTGCGATTGCTATGGAAACTCCTAGTTTCTAGTACTGGCTAGGGAGTATAGGAAAGGAGTGACCCTAGAAGTGCAAGCTTAGGAAGTTTCCATAGCAAACGCAGAACATGCACTCTGGTTGTTATGGGAGGAGAGCAGAGGAACCTCCTGTGGGAGGTCTTTTCTGATGTCCCTTGTTAGTCAATGATCGGCATGCCTCGGCATTAATTGAAAGCTGAGACAAAAATCTATTTAAAATATTTTTTTTACTAATCTATACATTTGCTAGCAAAATTGCTAGCTTAATGTATAGATAAAATTGTATGCTCAATCTAATGAGTATAAGTTGTTTTGGGCATGACAGGTGCCTTTTAAGAACTGCTGACGTGGAGCAGAGCAAATTTTAACTTCTCACTATGTGGATACAGATACTTTCCCTAAGTAGTAGTGTGAACATTTGTGAGTTTACATTCATGCGCCTCTACGTATCATTTGTTTTCACAACTAGTAATAAAATGCAAATAGGTTTTTATTTCCCACCCCATGTTCAAATTTTACATGAATGACCTCCATACTGCATCATTGTACAAATTCAGTTTTTTGGGGGTTTAGATTTTTGTACTGAACAAAAACATTTTTTTATTTTTTCTATAAATACGATCTATTATTTATTTAATTTTTAAAAATTCTTTATTTGGCAGCAAAAAAAAATGACACATTGCAAAACAACTTCACAGATGACAGTAGTACAATTTCAGAGCTGTCCAAATTTTAGGAATAGGAGTGACAAGTAAGACTTGCAGTGTTATTCTACAGATCCTTTAGGGTACTGGCACAATACAGTTATGAGCACTCCCAAGAGTCTTATATGATGAGCAAGATCAGGTCACTCCTTAAAATGTATACAAAATAGGAACTAAAAACAAACAAAAAGGGGAGTACTAAATAATAATAATAATAAAAAAAAAAAAAACGATTTAAGCAAGTTTGTGAAAGTTAATGTTTTTATGTTTATGTGACCTGTAAACATTTCTTCTGCAGGTATATTTTCAACCTTTAATACTTGTCACAGGGCACTCCAAATAATAGCACGATACGTTCCTTCGTAAGTACCAAATGATTTTCGTAAACGTCAACTTTTCTTGTCAGATACAAAACAAGTTCATATGAATTTAAAGTTTTTGCATTTCTCAATTAATTTTTCAAACTATTTTTTTCTAACAGTCTTTGGCTTTCAATTAATTTCTGATGTTTAATTTTTAAGTACTTTCTAGTGTGACACGGGCCATGACTACTCAATCAGCCTGTCACAGTCACCCTTTGAAAGTAGTATGTACTATTTGTCTCAATCGGCGGCTATCCTCATTCGCACAGCAGACCTTATACAGTTAAGACTGAGATTAAGGAAATCTGGGGGCAAAATAGTTTGACCCCTAAAGGTATAAGGGTGTGTCCAGACACTTCTGCCCCATAACCGTTTCAGTGAGTTGACGTTTTTGTGAGTGTTGCTTCTGTGTACACAGCTGTGACATACAACTACACCCCCTTTTCCATCTCGTGTTTCCTCTTTCACACATTTAGAAACAAGGTCTCTCTCTTTTTGTTTTGGGGTTAAATGTCACTCTGTTGGTGGAAGCATTCTTTGTTTTTGTGATGATTAATATGCACATGAGGAGAAGGCAAGTATCAATTATTCAGCTGAATTTAAATATATATTAAATTCTGTACAGTGAAACATCTTCATAGTAAATTGGGGGAGGGGAGTGGGAGAGAGATAATTATTTGCACTGGGGAAGGCAACAATTTATAGGTTTATAACAATCAAAAACATGTGTTTTCATAAATCCCTGGTTTTGGTTAGAGTAGCCATTTCTGGGGTGGTCCCTGCCCCCCTTCCAAAGAAAAAAAACCACTGAGGAAAAAAAATAAATGCTAAAACTTCTATTCCAAGTTCTTACCTAATCCCAATCCTCAATGCCCGGATGTTATTCCCCTTTCTGGATTGGGAGGATGAACTGAGGGAAGGACAGGGGTGGCATGAAGCTCTTCATTTATTAATTTTTTGTGTGTCCGCAACATCCCCACTTAGTTTCAGAGTCTCTAAAGTGAGAATTCAAAGTGACTTTTACATTTACAGGGAACCTGTCACAATGAACTTTGACTCATTTAAAAGAGGTAAAAACTCCATCTATACATTGTGCTAGAAGTTTCACTAGCAAATGTATAGATTTGGAGAAAAAAAGCATTTTTTTTCCTCCCAATCTGACGCTCAGTGTTGAGGAATTGATAGTCATCGAGAGCAGAAGAGAGCTCCCATAGGACATCCCTTTGCTTTCTTACTATAGCAACCACAGCGCAAGCTCTGTGGTTGCTATGGTAACTCTAGACAGCACTGACTCGGGACTAAAGGAACAGAGTGACGTCACTCCGTTCAGATGCCGGCACTTTGGCAACAAAGCCAGCATATCGGCGTCATGGAGGTTGTTTGCCTGCTTTGGGAAGTTTTCCCAAGCAGGGCAAATCAGAGGAGGAGCACATGCAGACCGGAGGTGGGTGCTACAGAAGTGTGGACAGATAAAGCAGTTTTTCTTTAATATATTTTACAGAATAGTCATCCTCTCTATTCTCCGCCCTGAACAATGTGTCTCTCTCTATTTTGTTTTTTTCAGGGCACCAAGATTTCTTATGCCAATACTTGTGGAAAAGTTTCCTTATGTGAACAAATCTGTAAGAACAATGGTGAGTGGTCTATTTACATATGCAAAGCCATATTCCTATTGTGTTTTTTTATCCCACCTCTTTTTAGATTCTAAGCTCATTTGAGCAGAGCCCTCATCTCAACCTATTGCTCCTGTCAAAATATGTAATAGTTTGTCTCATTTGTTAAAATCCCCTTGATAATATTGTAAGACACTTTGCACTGTATGCCAATACTAATAAAATTCGTTAAGCAACTTTTTTTTGTTTTTTGCAGTTAACATTTTATTGAGGACAAAACCTAAAATAAGCAGTAAAATATAGAAGCTTAAGTCTTGAATACATAAGATTTTAGCAACATTTTGTAAGCCAAGACTGCCTAGTTGAGGGAAATAAAAATCTTCAATTTAAAGGTGTAGAGAATGTTTTCCACCTTTGCAATTTTTTGGCATATTTTTGCAACTGCTCCCAGCTCACTTTGTTGCAGTGAATAAACCCTGCTATGTAGACTCTGTTGCTCTAATACAAAAGTAAAGGTTTTAACCTGATAGCTAAAGTGTAACATGTGATGGATAAATCATTGCTTTTGTCTAATGGATATCACGTGTGGAACATGATCTTAAGAGTTAGGCCGTGTTAGAGAAAAAGGTCAAAATCCATGTTCTTCACCTTAGCAACGCCGTTATAAGAAGTTATCAACATGTAATATATTTTGTTAATGTGCCAAGTTCAGATGTATCAGTGGAGTTTAAACAAACCATGTTTTTACTAAAAGTGGCCCTGTCACCTCAAAATTGCCTTTCTCTTATTGTTTCATCTTCTCTTCCTCTTTCAGAATCCTCATTTCTGATCTATTTCTCTTTAAAACATAAGACAAAGTATGGACTGCTTAGTTTCCCCCCCCTCTTAAGGCAAGCTCCACTTCCTTTGTCAAGCAAACAAAGAGTGAAACTTTCCTTAATTTCTTCCTTGTCTTGTTTAATGAGAAATAGATCAGAAATGAAAGGAACACTATAGGGTCAGGAACACAAACATGTATTCCTGACCCTATAGTGTTTAACCCACCATTTAGGTTTCTTGCCCCTCCCCCCCTTAGACCCCCTACAAAAGTTTAAAACTCACCTTATTTCCAGTGCCGCGCGGGTCTCTTTGTGACATCATCAAAATGGCCGATTTTTAGCCAATCATTTTGAATGAATGCATCTATATGAGGAAAATTCAGCAGCTCCATGCAGAGCTGAACGTCAGGGCTGCTTTTTCAGGTGTTTTTTGGAGGTGTCCCTAGAGGCAATGTAAACACTGCCTTTTCTCTAAATGCACTTTACATTTCTCTGAAAAAGCAGTGTTTACATGAGAAAAGCCTGAAGGGAACTGTTATACTCACCAGAACAACTACATTAAGCTGTAGTTGTTCAGGTGACTATAGTGTCTCTTTAAGAAAAGAAGATATTCTGAAAGAGGAAGAGAAGAGGAAACGATAGGAGAAAGGTAGGTTTGAGGTGACAGGGCCACTTTAAGAACATTCTTGTAGAAAGAAAAGTCACGTGTCTACAATGTTTACTCGGCACCTAACACTCTTCCATGCAGATAATTATATAGAATGGAATCCATCTTAGATCAGTTTAGGTATGTTTGTAGGCCCATAAACACAGATCCGTGTTTAACAATGTATTAACTATCCACTGACTTAAGGTGGAAGGGGTTTTTAATCACTTTTTTTCCCTACCATAACTATTTTGGTTTGTGCTCCGCAAGTAACGCCAAGCCTCAATAGCAAGCCACTAGCCAACCTCATGCATTAAAAACAAGACAGATGCCCATGAGTGGTTCACTGGCTTTGCATCTTTTCATGGGTTGCGTTTCAAAGCAGCAAACATAAACTCCAAGGAATCCGTGTTTAAAATGGAATAATGAGGCAAAAATGTCATTCTTTCTTTAACTCAGTTGCATACACCCATCCAGAATCCCACAGATCTGTGTTTAACAATGTATTGAGAATATATATATATTTTATTCTGCCAAATACTATTCGATAGTCACCATCCTTTTTAATTAACTACAATGTGTTTTGTTTTTATGTAAGGAATGCTATGTGCATAACCTTCTAAGGATTACTGTGTATTTCCCAACCCTGAGACATGATATTCTGGAGCTGGTCTTTGAGAGGTTACTGAAAATTGATGTAAGTAGAAATATTTTCTATCACGTTCCCCGTATCCCTTGCGTGTTCCGTGTTTATTATGTTATCTTGACCTAACATGTGATGTGACTATATGCTCTCAGAAAAGCAGATGATGTGAAACCTCCACTTCTGTTCTCACTATAATCACTTTACACGACTAAGAAATTGAAACACTAGCATGCACCTCCTAATCATAGATGATGGGATTTCCTTGCACTTTACATTTAGCTCTGGGAATCCTTGCACATCCACAGCCATTTAACACTGGCGCCTTTTCACCACATTTGAGCACTCTTCTCTAATTACTGCCACCATATCTGGTATGAATTGGTATGGGACAAGGAGGAAACATAGCTGCAACTCCACCATATTGTCATTGGATTCCAGGTGGCTGGGGAATGAGCATCTCTGCTAAACAGTGATGTGGGATCAGGTGCCCACGGCCTGCAGGCAACATATCCACTGGTATCTGTTGAAGTGGTTATGGTTCCTTTAATGCTCGCTAGAACTGGGACCCATCTTCCAGATACTTTGATTGGCCATCCCCTTCTGATGCTCTTTGGCAAGAGTTACCATAGCTTTAAGTTGCATGTTCAATGTGAATAGTAAAGCTTACATTGCCCGTCATTCTGGTTGTGTACAGTCTTATATGAATGTCGTCTTGCAGGTGAGCGCCTCACGCCATGAAATAGAGGACGCTGAAGAAGCTGCGTTACAGAAAGATGGAGCCAATAAAAGCGGCACAGAAGAAGGGCTTTTCAACATGGTGAGATATGCTTTTTAAAAAGATATCGAGATTGGCCTATGAAAAATATTTTGTGTTATATTTAATTGGCATTATGTATGTTTCTGTAGAATGTATTTGCTTCTGGCGACATTTCAAAGAGACATCCACTGACAATTTGTTGCAGCATCATACAAAAGAATTTAGATGTGTTTTTTTTTTATACAGAATTCATGATTTCTTAATTTTTTAACACCATAGTGTTTGGACTTGACCCTTGTTTGCTGCTTATGGCAGATGGCAACACAATGCATAACAGGAAACATATATCTGAGATTTTGGATAAAACTATGTGCAGCGTTACATTTTAGTGAGTGAACTTGGCACACACAATGAAGCTGCATGCACCATCCTATATCACCATCACAAAAGCTCAAGTAAATAGAAGCCAGTGATACCCCTTTTTGTGCAAATGGGGTTGTCTTCCTTTTTTTGCAATGATTGACATAGTATTGTGGCTGCATTGTGCATGCGCTGTTGGCAGCGTATAGTCCTCTACAATGATCTCTGAATTATTGGTATCAGCCGGTGTTACTGGAGGCAGAATGTTACCACTGCTTGTATTAGGATAATTCACATACAGTATAAATACATAAAACGTCTTCAGTAAATGAGAATTGTTCAATTACGGTGCTGCATAGTGATGCCACCAAGTGGACATGAACAACGTTTTAAGCTTTCTTTTGTGGATTCAATTAATTTCCTATCTACTCAGCAAATGTAATGTATCGGTTACAGTTTTAGTGTTTTTCTTAAAAGGTGCATTCTCTTTGTAAATAAGCTTTTAGATCAAAGTGACACTATAGGCACCAAAACTACTTTAGCTTAATGAAGCAGTTTTGTTGTATAGCTCATACCGCTGCAGTCTCACTGTTCAATTCTCTGTGATACAGGAGTTAAATCACTTTTGTTTCTGTTTATTCAGTCATAGTTACACCTCCCCTGGCTGTGACTGACACAGCCTGCACGAAAAAAATGGTTTAATTTTCAATCAGATGTTAACATGCTTTATAAATTTTCACCTCCTGCTCTGTGTAAATTTCTTTAACCACATGCAGGAGGCAGGGTCTAGAATTCTATTAACAGCGCAGGAGATAAGAAATTCTAAATAAAGAGAATGTGCAATAAATAAGTTTTAACGTTAGATCTCTCGTTGCAGGATGTGTTTAGGAAAGCTTTGCATGTCACATGCAGGGAGGTGTGACTAGGTGTAAACAAAGTATTTTGATTCCTAAATGGCATTGAGCAGTTAGACTGCAGTGGCATGATCTATACAACAAAACTGCGTCATAAAGCTAAATTTGTTGTGGTGCTTGCGTGGTCCCTTTAAGAGTTTTCATTAAGCCCTTCAAATTTTACTGTATTGTTGTTATTTTTATTATTACTCTTATTAGCATTTAAAATTGCTTTTCAAATAGGATGAAGATCTGGAGGAGAATGTACCTGTTGCCGTAAACAGTGAAATTATGGCTCATCCTGCAGCTGACCGTCTGGATACATTGATGCTTGTCGTTTTTGCTTACATAAAAAACATGTGCTACACCAGTGGTAAGTCTAATTAGTAATACTGATTGCAGATACTGTCTTTTATCACTGCAACTCCACAGACCAGTAACGCAAGCTTATGGATTTTAAATGTAGGGGATCTAAACATTTACATTTCATATGCAGAACGAAAAGTCCTGCGCTCACTCCCATCACTGGGCGGCAGCAATGACTACAGTACACATCAGCCCCAATATATAGTAAAAACCAAAGAAAAACAGGTTACCTGCGCTCTCTCCTTAATCCCTATGTATTTCTAAAACGAATTGAGGTTTTTTAGTTACCTCCAATGGCCATGAGAGGATAAGCCCAACTGCCAACGTCAAGGCAGTCTCCCCCCTCCCCCCCAGATGGTCCTAACTCTAACCATTCACCTTGCTTCCTTGAGCTTATGGCAAAGATCTCTAATGAGACAGAAAGGGGTATTTTTTATATACACCCCTATATATTAACCCTTAATAGGGAACACATGGGATGGGCGGCTGCATTGTAACAAGGCTGAGTGATACAAAAAATGGATACAAATGCCGAAAGATAAGTCCTGCGCTCACTCCCATCACTTGGCGGCAGCAATGACTACAGTACACATCAGCCCCAATATATAGTAAAAACCAAAGAAAAACATGTTACCTGCACTCTCTCCTTAATCCCTATGTATTTTTATGTTTTAAAAATACATAGGGATTAAGGAGAGAGCGCAGGTAACATGTTTTTCTTTGGTTATTTACATTCCATAACCTACTGCCTATACTTGTCGAGTTATCTCAAGACTATTTGGCAGGCAAAATAATTCCCTAAAGTCCCCTATTGGGTGTTGTGATCTGTATGGACTCTGTTAACTTGTGTAGTGTAACATATGTTTTTACCTTGCAGGCTCTTTGGATCTGAACAAAACTAAAGATTTATACAAAGATCTGCTGGCAATATTTGATAAACTGATTTTACCAACACACGCTTGCTGCCACGTGCAGTTTGTCATGTTTTATCTCTGCAGCTTCAAACTGGTGCGTATCCCATGTACTCTTGTCTTGCTGGTTAAAATGTTACTCGGCGTAGTGACCTAGGCTGCTAACGCAAATAATGCTCAGCATCTGTTACTTTATGTTGGAGGAAGGGGAAAGTTATCTTGAAATATACTGTGAGAGTTTCAGAGAAAGTGTTTGTAGCATTAAAGGGACACTCCAGACCCCTAAAACTAAATGTAGCTTGATGTAAAGCATTGTGTATAAAGAGTGTCCTTTTTTTTTTTTCTTCAAATTGCGGGTTTCTTTAGAAATTGACACTTTTATAAATTAACCTGGTTACATCCACCTTGCTTTTAAGTAGACAACCGGTCCTGTTAATTACTGGTTGTTTAGCTCAGTGGAGATAAACTCAAGAGGCAGCAATTGCCCAGAGCACCTGACTTGCAAAGACTTCTCATTGAGCTGCATTGGGATGTCTGTGATTGGACAGCCACAGAAAGTCTGGGCTGGGGAAAGGGGAGGGCTTGCAAAGACAGCAGACTAGGGAACTGCAGCTTTTGCAGGCGGTGTTTAGATATACCACATATGGAAAAGTGCATAATTAAATGCATGCTATTTTTGAATTGGCTTTTATCTATTAAACAGTGATTTTTATTTTGAGCAGTGGAGTGTCACTTTAATCAGTGGAATCGTGCTGTCTAGTTTTTGTCGAGTAAATGACCGTTTGATAGCATCTCAATTGAAAAATATTTGTATCAAAATGATGTACCATGCATCACATAACCCCATTCATTTTATCTTAATTTAAATGGAAATTAAATAAAACCAAATTACATTTTTATAGTAAGCATATAGTTTAATTAAAAGTAATAAAGGCTTTAAAAGACTTAAATAGAATTTCACATATCTCTTCCTGCTATTGACTCAAATTTGAAGCGATACCCTGTTTGTCGCAAAATATGCGAAACTTCCTTCACGGATCAAACGGCATTCCGATTTCTCCTTGGATCAGCAAGCTGTCACCTCTACATGTTATACATTACATCCTTGAATATTCAGGTTTTTATTTTTTCACCAAAAAGTATCCAGATGCTTTAAAAAGTGTGTACTGAATCTAATAAAACAACTTCCAAATGTAGAGAATTCTACATCTTCATTGTTTTTTATGTAAATAAACCTTTCATCGAATCTAAATGGGGGGCTTCTTGTCCTTTGTACAGTTCTGTTAATGAATAGGTAACTTTGAAGCTGTATATAATATTTTTATGCAGCATCGTGGAAAATATTGACCCTTATTGATCCTTAATGACCAAATGTTACATGTTGTCATCTGTGCCAGCAGTGTACTATTTATTTACTACCAGTGGCTCTCTTCAGCTTTGCTGTGATCAATTTAGTGGCCATTTGTGTGTTCGAATAGGAACCTTATCCATTAGACTGTTTTGGCAGCATCAACTTTAACGCCCTTAAAGGTTTGAAAATGCTCTCATGCTTAGCGGGAGTTCTGGAGGGCTCTGTTTCAATTCGCAAATCCCATCAGTTCGCTGTTAGAATAAAATGCCAAACAGATATATAGATCCGCTGATATAACTAAGCATGTCCAGAAGTGGTAGCCTCACGAAAATTCGGTGCACAAGTGCAAGTCTCCAGATACATCTCTTATCTATCTTGCAAGCATTACACTGCAGAAAGAAGTGTACATTTGACTTAAATGTCTAATTTTTCCTCTCAAGTATGTTTTACTAAGAAGATTTTTATTCTGTCCACCTTATTTATGCAAAGCTTCTGGTCTTTGCAAGTATAAAATCCACCGGTGACACTTTTATGCTAATATAAAACTGTTCATGTTTTATAAATCTCCGCGTTTGACATGGTCGCTCTTTTATTGCAGGGATTTGCAGAAGCATTTTTGGAACATCTTTGGAAGAAACTGCAGAATCCAAACAACCCTCCAATTATCAGACAGACTGCTGCAACCTACATTGGGAGTCTTCTATCTCGAGCCAAGTTCATTCCTGTGTTGTAAGTGACAGTAAAAATAGGTGTATATATTAGGTTTAAAAGACAATTTAGAACAGAGTGCTACAATCACCAATGTGGGTCACTCCACCTCACATAAATAAGTAAATAAAACCGTAAAAGTGGTGAGAGCACACACAGAATAAAATATCAAATTAGTTACCCCTATGTTCAATTAAAATCATATTTCTGAGCCACTTAAAATAAAAGCTGGCTCAGACTAAGAACGTTGAATGGATTGATGTAGTGATAGCTGAAATCAAATGCTAACTGCTTGCTCGTCCTTTCTTAAAAAACCCAGGATGCAGGATCTTAGTAAAAGGTTTATTATTCCAGAGTAAAAAACAGCAGCAAAAATGAAGATCAGCAATCTCACTCTCCACACACTGATGCGTTTCAGCCGAAGCTTTTATCAAAGTGCAAGTCCATTCAGTCCATTCTTAGTTTAAATAGGAGCCTTTTCACGCCTTTCTCCCGTTTGGTAATAGGCTCCTCCCCTTCCATTTAGACGCAACCAACAATCGGGCATCCTAGCGTCCATAGTAACCTTAGTTTACCTCCGCGTTTGTCAGAAATGACGTGGGGAGGGTCTCCTCGCTTGTGCTGATTAATAGTTAATGTTGCAAAAAGAAACTCCTACTGCAACATACTGCATACATATTATCACCATCAAACTTTAAAACAATATTACAACAAGCTAAGTTTTCTAATGCATAAAAAATCGAATCTTTCCTTTTCCTACAGAGACACACTGAAAAAAGATTAGTAGAAAAAAAGGGGAATAATATCATATTATTCAATTTAAAGACACAGAAATGCTGGGGGGAATAAATCAAATACAGAGTACAAGCGAAAAACTAACATATTATCCAACAATCTCCTTTTAATAAAAAACATATTAATAACATGTTGGTATGCTTCAGATAAATTAGGAAAATAGTAAAAATACATTGAAAATATTAATGTTAATACAAAAAATGTACAAATTCATGCCTCAAATAAAACCACATACATTTCCTAAAATATTTAAATTACATTACAGTCTTTAATATAATAAATTAAATACATTTAAAAGAATAAATATTGTATGCAGGATGTTGCAGTAGGAGTTTCTTTTTTCAACATTAAAGATTAATCAGCACAAGCGAGGAGACCCTCCCCACGTCATTTCTGACGAACGCGGAAGTAAACTAAGGTTACTATGGACGCTAGGATGCCCGATTGTTGGTTGCGTCTGAATGGAAGGGGAGGAGCCTATTACCAAACGGGAGAAAGGCGCGAAAAGGCTTCTATTTAAACTAAGAATGGACTGAATGGTCTTGCACTTTGATAAAAGCTTTGGCTGAAACGCGTCAGTGTGTGGAGAGTGAGATTGCTGATCTTCATTTTTGCTGCTGTTTTTTACTCTGGAATAATAAACCTTTTACTAAGATCCTGCATCCTGGGTTTTTTAAGAAAGGACGAGCAAGCAGTTAGCATTTGATTTCAGCTATCACTACATCAATCCATTCACCGTTCTCAGTCTGAGCCAGCTTTTATTTTAAGTGGCTCAGAAATATGATTTTAATTGAACACAGGGGTAACTAATTTGATATTTTATTCTGTGTGCGCTCTCACAACATTTGCTGTTTTATTTCCTGTGTTGTAAGTGCTGGTTTCCATTTTATCAAGTAATGGGTAGGCAAAGACAATAACTTGGGGGTGTCTGAGTTGGAATGAGGGCAATTTGTGGCCTATTCCAATTATTCAGTGTGAGAGAGGATCATGATACAATCGACAGATCCTTTCCATACTATGTAGATTCCAAACTACAGGTTGTTGTGGATACACCTTTCATGGTACATGCTTTGTAAGTAGACATGTTTGCTAGTCTTTTTTTTTTTTTTATTAGTGCTTATTGTCAAACATACTTGATAATATTACGTATTAAGACAATATAAAAGTATTTGTTAATTTTGTCTATGGCACTTTTTAGAGTAATATATATAGTATCAAAGCGCATTTTAGAAGTGATCACTTTAAGGTAATTAAATTCTCCTATACACGGGAGAGACTTTGAGAATCACGTTCCACCCCAGGTATATTTAAATTAAGGATATTAGGGTATTGGCAACATTACTGAATATTTCAATAAAAATTAAAATAAACTATCACACCGGAATCAGATAGTAGATTCTGAATATCAAGGTCTGAGGAGGCCGGAGGCCTGCATTCACTCAGTCAGCCGCCTACCTCGGGGCCTCAAGGTGGACCAATCTCCAGCTCCAGTACAAAATTCCTAGTCACCATGGCGGGCTGACGCCTTGGATTTGTTGAGCCCCGACTTAAGAAACATTCCATCCATGAGTTGCTGTCTGCAACTGTGTTGCTGAAGCTGTCTTCAATCCTCCTTGAATACTCAGATTGGTCAAAAAAGTGTGACGTCTGCTAACTGATTTGTTTTTAATGGATAAAATAAAATGCCATCCAGTATACTTGTGATCCGCACATTCTGCCATCCTTTATAACTGCTAATTTAGCCAAGCATATCACCTGTGTGGAGTGTAGTTGGCACTAGCTGGTTCTTCTACTCCTCCTTCCACTGCCGTGGTTTGGCCCCACTGGGCATTCATGTCTTCTACTATATCAGACCGCTATTGTACATGGGTTATGCTTGTTAGGAGCCTGTTATCAGGCAGTCTGTTAGGGAGATTAGTGCCTTTTATATTTTTGCTCATTGTGCTCTTTTCGTGAGTGGCATTTTTGACTAGTGACCAGATTAAGGGGGAAAAATGCCGAATTTTTTGTGAAATAACTGAATTCTGTGCAGAGCATTGAAGTAGACGTTATTCAGAAATTTCAGAGTTCTATGTTTGTTAATTTATTTTAGCAACTAGATATTGTAACTGTAGACGTAATCCCATGACTGCTTGCAAATTATTTAATCTTGTCTTTATATTGCTCACTCAGGACTGTGAAGGCATGCCTTGATCTTCTGGTGAACTGGCTGCACGGTTACATTGATAACCAGGATGCAGGTAGCCGAGCTTTCTGTGATGTATCCCTTCATGGCCCGTTCTATGCAGCAAGCCAGGCTGTTTTTTACACCTTAATATTCCGTCATAAGCAGCTGTTGGAAGGAAATTTACGAAAAGGTATGTTGTGGTTTTGTTAAAATGTGTATCTGAAGTTTCACGCAAAGTATTACGTATTACTCCTGTTTTGAAACCATTATGCCTAATGTATGGTCACAATGATTGAGCCGCTTTCTGAGCATTCTTGCGTTGCAGTGTGAAATTAGTTCAGTTACATTGTGATAGAAATTAGGTTACGTTATGTTGTTGAGTGTAGTTTTGTTTCTATGGTAAAATAAGCAAGCCAGATGCAAAGTGACACATTGCATAGATTTTCATATGTAAGAGATACTCTAAACATTAAAACACATTTCAGCTTAAAAGGGATACCATAGCAATTTTTGTGTATAGATTATACCCCTGCAGTCTAGCTGTGCAATTCTCTGCTATTTAGGAGTTAAATCTTTGTGTCTATGCAGCTGTAGCCAGACCTCCCCTGACTGGCTTACTCAAAAAAAATGTTTTAATCCGTTCCAACAGGACAATATGTTTATTTCAGAAGTTCTTATCTGCTGCAGGAAATTAGAAATTAAACAGACTGTTTATATTATTATATGTTACTTATATAGTGATTAATTGTCGGTGGAAACACACTCTTATATTTCTTTCCTCTATGTTCAGGTTTGGCCTATCTGCAGAATTTGAATTTTGAGCGAATCGTCATGTGTCAGCTCAATCCTCTAAAGATTTGTCTTCCTTCAGTGGTTAACTTTTTTGCTGCAATTACGAGGTACATAAAATCAGATGATTAATGCTTGGGTATCCTATAGAAAGCTATACATGCCCATGTTTTTAATGGGCCCTCTGTGCAATTTTAGTTGTTATGGTTCTTGTTGTCTGTATCTGCAATCCCCCTAGTTTTTGGTCAAACAGTTTTCTAGCAGTTTAACCAAAATCAGGGGACCTGAAGCAACCACAGCCCAACCTTTGCTATCAAATTGCTAATGTGCAGGTTATGTACAAAACTGATGTTATTAATGCAAAAATGGAACTTCCTCATTACATATCTGGTAAGTTAGGGCCAGGCTGCAGGTGCCATGTAGATTACTTGGAAACGGTTTGACCGAGAATGGGCGGATAAAGTCATAGTCTATTGGCAACGTGATCACTACAACAGAATGCTTTCTACATTCTGGTTTACATAGAATTCTTTTCATTCCCTAGCTTGTATTGGCATGAGATTTCAGTGATAATAAGACCTTTATGATAATATGCTTTTAAATCCTGATTAAACATTGGAATTAAAAGAAAGGTCTATGTCTCACTTGTTTATGTCTAAGTACTGCCATAAACAACCAGCAGCTATCATGCAATTCAGTTATAATATGTAGAGGTGAGTGATTTTCCTATCTCACAAGTAGGAAAATCAAGTACTCAAAACAATTGCAGGAGTGATAGAGATGTCGGCAAACATTTGGAAAGAAAAAAAAAATACTTTATGTGACTGATGCAGTTCTGTAGGCAAAAGTTGATTTAGAATGAGAGCTAATTAGAAGGTTTGACATCTCTCCTGCTAACACGGTGGATTCTAGGGTAGTTAACGGGTTTATGACAAATCCTTGGTCATGAGAGGATTTTAAAGTATATGTTCTCCAAGGAGCCCATTTGTTACTGAGGTGTGTGATCTAGTAAGATGTTTCTGGACAGAGCAGAGGTACTCCACCTTTCTACAATGGGTGAGTGTCAAACCTCACCAAATTAAGACCTGCCTGGTAACCTATCCCCTGTATTTAACAAATAGGTATGAAAATTAAATGTAGAATTAATCCTGGCCTCATTATCCGGCAACTGAGCGCCTCTATCTTAGCTCCCTGTCAGTCATTTTTATAAGCCCTGTCCAGACAGAATATAGAGAAGAGGAGAAATTAAACCGGGCATCTATTTCTCTTCCTTGTAATAGAAAGAAAGATTTGCGGTGCACACAGAGGTTTACATCTCAATGCAGATTTTTCAGAAAACAGAGTGACAACGTTTCGACTCAATCCATAACTTTATACAGTGAGGGGGGAAAGTATTTGATACTCTGCTATTTTTGAACGTTTGCCCACTGACAAAGAAATGATCAGTCTGTAATTTTAATGGTAGGTGTATTTTAACAGTGAGAGAATAACCTAAAAAAAATCCAGAAAACGCATGTCCAAAAAGTTATAAATTGATTTGCATGTCAATGAGTAAAATAAGTATTTGACCCCTTTTGAGTTAGTACTTGGTGGCAAAACCCCCACTGAGGTCAGATGTTTCTTGTAGTTGGCCACCAGGTTTGCACACATCTCAGGAGAGATTTTGTCCCACTCCTCTTTGCATATCCTCTCCAAGTCATTAATGTATCAAGGCTGACGTTTGGCAACTTGAACCTTCAGCTCCCTCCACAGATTTTCTATGGGATTAAGGTCTGCAAACTGGCTAGGCCACTCCAGGACCTTAATGTACTTCTTCTTGAGCCACTCCTTTGTTGGCTTGGCTGTGTGTTTTGGGTCATTGTCATGCTGAAATACCCATTCACGGCCCATTTTCAATGCCCTGGCTGGGGGAAGGAGGTTCTCACCTCGTCCATAGTCCCTTTTCTGCCATGCAGTTGTCCTATCCCCTTAGCAGTAAAACTCCCCCAAAGCATAGTGTTTCCACCTTCGTGTTTGACGGTGGGGATGGTGTTTTGGGGATCATAGGCAGTATTCCTCCTCCAAATACGGCGAGGTGAGTTGATGCCGAAGAGCTTGATTTTTGTCTAATCTGACCACAACACTTTCACCCAGTTTTACTCTGAATCATTCAGATGTTCATTTGCAAACTTCAGATGGGCCTGTACATGTGCTTTCTTGAGCAGGAGGACCTTGCGGGCGCTGCAGGATTTCAGTCCTTCACGGTGTAGTGTGTCCAATTGTTTTCTTGGTGACTATGGTCCCAGCTGCCTTGAGATCATTAACAAGATCCTCCTGTGTAGTTCTGGGCTGATTCCTCACCGTTCTCATGATCATTGAAACTCCATGAGGTGAGATCTTGCATGGAGCACCAGACCGAGGGAGACTGACAGTTATTTTGTGTTTCTTTCATTTGCGAATAATCGCACCAACTATTGTCACCTTCTCACCAAGCTGCTTGGTGATGATCTTGTCGCCCGTGCCAGCCTTGTGTAGGTCTACAATCTTGTCCCTGACATCCTTGGAGCTCTTTGGTCTTAACCAGGAGGGAGAGTTTCGAATCTGATTGATTGATTGCTTCTGTTAACAGGAGTGCTCCTAAATTCAGCTCGTTACCTGTATAAAAGACACCTGGGAGCCAGAAATCTTGCTGATTGATAGGGGATCAAATACTTATTTCACTCATTGATATGCAAATCAATTTATAACTGTTTTGACTTTTTTTTTGTTATTCTGTCTCTCACTGTTAAAATAAACCCAACCATTAAACGTATAGACTGATAATATCTTTGTCAGTGGACAAACATTCAAAATCAGCAGTGGATCAAATATTTTTTCCCCTCACTGTAAAGGCTAACATGTAGAGTTGAAAGGTTTCCATTCATTTGTCAATGTAAATGTGCACTTGGAAGACCTCTTGGTTCCCAAACATCTCTTTGTTTCATGGATTAGAATAGGAATAGTCTTATTGTTTTTATAGCGTGTGCAATACTTTAACTGTATTTCTATTTTTCTCCTCATCTGCAATGTGTGCCTTGGCTGAACTAGACTGTGATTTAATAGCTAAATCTTTAATATACATTTAAAAGAAAAGAGAATTTCACTTAAAAAAAAAAAGTTCAACACAAGTTATAGGTGATTTTCAATGTTTTATTCACCATTGTAATTTCCTGCAAACTGATTGTTCTCATTTAAGGAGAAAAGTGGAAATGTGACATCAGAGTATGCAAATATAGCTTTAAGCCTTGTTGTTGCATCTTTGCTAAACCTTGTCTTCTGTGAAACCCCAGGAAATACCAGTTGGTGTTTTGCTACACAATCATGGAGAGGAACAGTCGGCAGATGATCCCTATTGTAAGGAGCAGCTTGGGCGGGGACTCTACCCAAACATGCACAAATCCACTTGACAGCTTTTTTCCTTTTGATCCATGTATTTTGAAAAGGTAAGGGTTTTTTCTCTCCTTCTAGGATGCCATTCGTTATATACTTACTAGTACACTTATCTTGATAAACTCAGCAGACCGGAATAAATGCAGGTCACAGCATTTTAGCCAAACATTAGTGAGGCTCATACTAACCCCCACCAGCATGGTGAGGTGGCTCAACTGGGGTAGGTTAATCCACCAATTGTGGCAAATCAGCCCTTGTCCTGCAGCTACATTACCAGGGCGAAGCTCTGAAATCTTTCTCATGGTATCCCACAACTGTCCTCAAGTGTGCTTCAGCCAAATTGTGATATATATTTTTGGAATATTTCTGTCTGCCTGAAGAGCAAGGTCTATGGGCATGCACTTGACATGGTGCCCAAACCCCACACCACATATTTAATTTTTTTTTTTTTAAATGTCTCGAATGCTTTGTGCTCTTCATATGAGGATTTTTGTTCAGTCGCAGCATGTAACCAGTGTCGTCTTGATTATTTATTCATGTTGTGCCTTTTTAAATTATGATGTTTGAAACAATGATGATGAAGATGATGATGAATTTATAATATTTTGAGCTCTGGAGGTGCCACAAATAATTTTATTTTTGTTGTTTTTGTTTTAAATCATGGGCACTATCTATTAAATAAACACTCCAATGTGAAGAAAATGTATTTTCTTTCTTTTTTTTTTTAATATACATTTATTTTTATTTGTTATACAGTTTTATAGATATACCCACAATAAAAACATGCATTTTATTATGCATGTTTTTTTTGGGTATATCTAAAATGGCTTTCAAAAGATTTAAGTTTGTGTGGGGGGGGGCGTTGCTAACTTCCGAAGTAAGCGGACGCATGGAGTGAGAGCTCCATTCCTGAATGAACTAAAAGCCTGATTATTAGCTGCTAACACTGCCCTGCTGCCGGCAAAACAGCACCCTAGCACAGCCCATACAATGGCACTGGCAAAACAAAATAAGTTAACGGACCCGATCCGCCAAGCTAAAAAAGACCGCCTACGGCCTACTCAAGATGGCGACGAAGGCCTATCTCTATCGCTGACGTCTGAAACCCTGCAGGAATCGGACCAAGAAGGGCCGCTACACTGATGTGCCAGTCACTGAAAGAAGACTTTACGCCATGCTACAAGAGTTCAGGGTCACTGACTTAAAGCGGGCGATCTTGCGAAATTAAGCCGGAGATCTTGGAACTGGGTAAACGGACAAACTGCCTGGAGGCCCGCACCGAGGAACTCTGCTCAGAGCATGACACAATGGCGGACACAGTGCAACATTTAGCGGAGGAGCATCTACAACTCAAATGCAATGCCGACTTGAAAGATCGCTCCAGGCGGAACAATGTTCGCTTCTGCGGGATCCTGGAAAATGTGGCAACTGATATGCTCTCAGACTACATAATGGGACTCTGCTAATCCCTGTTGCCAAACGTTACGGAGAATTAATGACTCCTTGATCGGGCACACCGCCTACCAAGGCCTCCAAGACTCACTCAAGATACGCCTCGTGATGTGGTAGTGTGATTCCATTATTTCAAAATGAAAGACGCACTACTCACGGCGGCACGTAAGCTTCCCAAGCTGCCAGAGCCCAGTGACGAAGATGCTAAGGAACCACAACATATAATACCAATGGGGCTATCCAACAAAGATCCTCATATTGAGGAACGAAAAAAATCACACCGTCAACGAGCTACAGGTGGGCATGCGTCTTAATAAAGAATGGGGTCTGTTTTCTGCACAAGCACCAGCAGCAATGGCTGCTCCGTCGCCGAAGCAACTCCAGGGAGAGTGGCAGATGGCGGGATCACTCAACAATGCCTAAGGAACTGTACCTCCGGGACTGTATCTCACCAGCCTGATAACTATGTGGACGTGCATATGTAATATATATCCTTTAAGTTGCATGATGATTTGGGGCTGTTTAAGTATATGCTTATAGGAGTCTGTCACAATGAACTGGTCAACCTATGTCTCATGGCGACTGACATGACCCCATTTTCGAGCGGTTTAGCCATACGAGCGCCGCTCGGGACCCTGGCTGCAATCCATGAACCGGCGCAGAGTGGCATGCTTGGGCACGGTGGTGTGTGGGTCGCGGTTGGGCCCCGAGCGGTGCTACACACAAAATGAACTAGCTCAAATACCCGTCCCTTATGGGAACAGGATAATGTTCGCATACTTGGAGGGTACTCACTAAAGGCGGGAGGTGGGGTTCCTAGAGGTACTAAATATGGGCATAAATTTGATTCATAACCTAATGCAGTTCTACTATGCAAAGCATGTAAGGTCGTTAATGCCTAGCTCCGAACACTGAGCGTACCCCCAAGGATGAGCACAGAAGCTGGATGTTGTTACCGACCTGTGCCTCACCCAAGAGGAGCACCAACTGTGACGAAGGCGCTATATATAAGTCCCAACTTTGCCAATCACGCTCCGTACTACCAAAATTCCAGGTTTCACGGTTCAGCAAGCACTTAACTAGAGATAATGGATGACTCTTTCAAAATTTCCATGAATGTTAAAGGCCTAAATAGCCCCCCCCGTGCAGACTAACTGCCCAGGAGATGACTAAATCTACGGCGGCAATCGCATGCTTGCATAAGTCCTACTTTTGTGCACGAAAACCCCCCGAATATAATATACCTATCATGCCATGTCCCACACCAAGTTGAAAGGTGTCTACGTTTACTTACACGGCGACTGGGTCTTCGCCCCCACTAAGCGATGTGCTAGCAGAGATGGCAGGCTGTTAATACTGGTGGGCTCCCTAAATGGCCTCCAATTAACTGTTGTCTTCTTATATGCCCCGAACAACACACAGAAGACCTTCTTTTTTAAAGATTCTTTATTTCGTTTTTCATAAAGGCAATTTTACAGAAAGAAAGTTTGGTTGTATAGGTAACAACAATTGGATATGACTTTGGGTTGTTTGCATGTGAGTCTGGCACATTAATCATCGTTGTCATTTTTCTATACCCTCTATCGTGGACCGCTATTTGGTGAGGGTCATGGTGTCGGCATAGTTGTTTATGTTGCCTGCTTTCGTTTCTTTTAACGAAGGGGGTTTGGTTGGAATACTATGCCCTAGGTTGGGTAGCGGTCCGGTTTGCTAGCTTCTTTGGCTGAGATTGGTGGTATAGTTTGTGGGTCTGCTGTGCCAGGGGTATTGGTGGGGGGTTGGCTGGTGTGGAGACTGCTGCTTTTATTGGGTAGAGTTGGGTCTGCTGAGCCTGACGTGTAGATTCAGCCACCACTTAGCAAACTTACTACACTCACACGATTACTATGATGTATGGCGCAACCTATACCCCAGCACGAGGGACTACACATTTTATTCACCAGTCCATATGACATACACCAGAATAGATCTTTGCCTTTTCGATAAAAGAACATTTCTGCATACCGCTAGGATGCATATTGGTCCCATCACATAAACGGACCATGCCCCGCTACTGATAACCATGCAAATCCCACACCCAGCCAAGGGGAGAGGCGCATGACAGCTAAACAAAGCCATTTTAGACAACCCAGACTGTCTCCCCAAACCTAAGGCACACCTAGCCACTTACTTTGAGGTCTACACACATTGCACGACCTCGGCTGCCATCCAATGGATAGCCCATAAGGCAGTAATGAGGGGTAATCTTATACAACTAGGCTCCCAAATTAAAAAAAAAATCAATCTGCACAGCGCAAGACAGGCTGGTTCAGGAGGTCTCTGTGGCAGAGGCCAAACACAAAACTAACCCCTCCAAACAAATTCACAAGCTCTTGCAAGCACTCAAAGCAGAACTCCTTTCCCTACAGTTACAGACTACTGAAAAACACCTACGCTACTTAAAACAACCCCACTTCACTTCAGGCAACAAACAAAAACAAACACTGCATAAAACATATACATTCAACATATTCCCAGATAGCTTAGATCTGAGCGCACATTATTACCGAATGGCGCTCAGATCACCTACATACAGTTCAATCACCATGGAGCCAAAGTCTTTCCCATAGTCTTTCGTTATACGAATACGCTCCATGGCATAGCTATCTGGGGTAACACTGTTCATACATTAAAATACAGAATGGACCGGCGTTCAGATAAATTACTAATTGCAGGAGAAGGGAGGTCGGTGGCTCAGCGGTGTTTGTGAATATACTGTCCGTTTTCAGTTTCATGGTTTTGTAGCTGAACACCGCTGGCTGTTTAAGATGGCCGCTGCCACGTGTTCGGCTATACGAACAACGGCCACCCAGCGTTTGTCAATTAAGCTGCGGTTAACCGCTGCTTCTGGGAGGTAAATTACTGGCACACTCCATACCCAGGTGGTCCGGCAGAAAGGCACGAACAAGCCTTTCAAAGGGGAAAATCAAGCTTTTTAACACAGGGCCATAGTCCAGAGGTAGGCGGGCAACCAGGCTTCTCCAGAACATAGTGTCGAGGTTGGTTTTGCCACAAGTTTATTTTTTTTATTTTTTACATATTGCTTTAAAACTTGAGCCATAAAATCTATTTTTTTTAACCATGCTTTTTATGTAAATGCTAACTCATGATCACAATTTTTATTAGTCTTGCCAATTTTCAATGTTTATATTTGAACAGGTGTAAGAAGGTTATTGATCCTATTTATCAGATATGGGAGGAATCGAATGCTGAAGATTTTAAAGGAGGTCATAAACATGTTAAGGTAACGGTGCATATGCCACATCCCCTATGTTATATTAATGTAAAATTAAGGTGCTTCTACCAAGCATTTCCATCCAAATATAACAAACACGAAAACTGTGAAAAGGCAGGTTGTATGGCTCAGTATGAGAACGCCTTGGTGCTCTTATAGGAAGCGCTCAACCTTTCTTGCAGGGCGATCCTCCCTCAAAGGCAAGAAAAACAGACAGGAGAGTAGAGATAGTGTAATACTGTTGACTCCAATAAATACAGAGAAAGGGGGTTAGTGTATTGCAACTAGCCTAACCCAAAGCTGGAGATATCTGGCTCTGAAGTATAATAGCTTAGGTCAGTTAAAGGGACACTATAGTTACCTGAACAACTACAGCTTATTGAATTTGTTCTGGTGAGTAGAATCATTACCTTCAGGCTTTTTTCAGTAAACACTGTCTTTTCAGAGAAAATGCAGTGTTTACATTACAGCCTAGTGATAGATTCACTGGCCACTCCTCAGATGGCTCCTAAAGCTGCTTCCTTGGGCAGAGCTGCAGAGTAAGCAGCACTGCCATTCAGTGTCTCCACCCTCTGCATGCAGACACAACTTTCCTCATAGAAATGCATTGATTCATTGCATCTATATGAGGAGATGCTGATTGGCCAGGGCTGTGTTTGACTTGTGCTGGCTCTGCCCCTGATCTGTAAACAGTCTCAGCGAATCCTATGGGGAAGCATTGTGATTGGCTCGGACCAGCACTTCTGCTGATATCAGCAGGTCAGAGGCAGACAGGGGCAGAGCCAGCAGCTACAGACTTGAGTACAAGTAAGATTTTACTATATTTAGGGAGGTGCTGAGGGGGGGGGGGTTAGGCGGGGTTGGTGGATTTAACGTTCTAGGGTCAGGAATACATGTTTGTTTTCCTGACCCTATATTGTTGCTTCAAAGCATGACACTGCCCAGTGTTTGTCTTTTTCATGTTATATTTGCATTTGAGATTTATTCATATATAACAAGTGATAAGCGTATCCCCTATTCCACTTGTGCCCACTATTATTAAGCACTCCGCACGTTGATATGCAGGAGATTTTTCACTTATATATACTTTTTGTTTTTACATTGGGTGAGGGGAAGAAGGTATCCCTTCACATGTGCTTTTTGAGCTGCTTGTTTAATATCATTTACACTGGTTTTTAAGCACTATTGTTACACATAAAAGGACACTTTTATATTTAATACATTTTAAGTTAACTTATTTAAGGCTGTTTATAATTACTCCTTATGTGAACATTTTTTTTTATCTGTGTATTTCATAAATCCAGGGAGTTGGTGCAGATGAAGAAGATGACTTTCTAAAAGGAGAGACCCCTCACAGCGATACTATGGTTGGAATGACTCCAGGTTCCTTGGAAGCTCACTTTAGGAGCCCTTCAAGCAGTGTGGGCTCTCCTCCAGTGTCTTTCCTCCAACGTCCCTTCTGAGCACCTCTCAGTAAACAAGAATACACAACATTGCTCCACGGAGCTCCTGCGTTAGTCAGGCTTCACCTCACCTATGCTCGTCAGTAAGAGGAACGAACACTAAGTTTTGTATGTGAGTGAATAGTATGACCAGCAGGCAGCATCATTACACTAACACTAGAAGACCAGTTCCAAAATCACAGGACAATATTGAGGATTGGTCATGTGATTATCCGTGTAATCATTTCAAATTTGAGTGGTATGTGCTGCTCAGGGGCTCTGATCTTCTAGCAGAGGGTGTCAAAACAAAGAACTGGTTTGAGCCTGGTTTAGTAGTCTTATATCAGACATAAACTTAAACTAGTTAAGTCAAGAAAAGAGCAGAAGAGGGCAATTTCAGCGCCTATTCTGCTATGATTGGGTACCCACCTCCTCTACGGTCTCATGGTAACAAAATGTACCCAATGTGAAATTAAATGCTGATGTATTTAATTTAAACTCTGACTGTTGAATAGATCGGTTAACAATATGGCACTGTATTCCAGGCAGTGGTTTATATGAAATCAAGGTTTTCCTTCCAGATTTCTTTATAAATACAGTACTTTGTACTGTGAACGCCAGAGTGATTGGGCATTTCACTGGCTATAACTAATGGTGGCTGTTTAGAGCCTTTTAAAATACCCCTGTTTTAGAATGAATCCTGCAGCATTCTTTGAATGTCAATTGATCTCTTCAAAATGCCATTTGGGTAATATGCAGTCTTTGTCCTATAGCGAGTCTTTTTCTTTCTCAATAATACCAGATTTCTATCCAAAGGTAATATTATTTTTTTTTGCTGAATTTGTCTGATTTATTCTTAAAGCAGATTTGTAAGTAGATTACACAATGTGATGCCAATTATTTATTTGTAATTGGGGGAGAAAGGGCAATGTGGGGAAGTGAAGACAAACGACACAACAGAATTTTGATCCCTGTTGGCAGATTTTCTTCCCCTGTGTGTTATCATGTTGTATAGTTTGGAACAAATGTATCAATTGCCTTTATATGAATTCTGATTTTGTTTGTATTAAAATCGATATCGTAATATATTTTTTGTTTGTGACATGACATTATTGTGCTAATTTGTTTGTTTGTACTTGTAATTGTTGAGTGTTTAAAAATGGAAGGAGTTTGTCTTGTATTTAAAATCTGCTGTTCAAATAAAATACTTGCTTTACCTGAATAGTTTTTTTCTTTTTCTCTAAACTATTATACACAGTGTTAATGAAGTTTGTGTAAACATTAATAAAAGTGGTATTTATTTTGCTTTCATTTTGAATTTAAATTTAGCATATATCCAGTTATACAGCTCTGGAAAAAAAATAGATACCACTTTATTTTCTTCTTAAATCAGCATCTCTAAATGTATGGATTCCATTCCATTGTCTGTTAATAAAAACACCGGCACACCTCATTGTACTTAATGAGCTACTGATTTAGGTGACCCAAATATAATTTAATTAAGGGAAGTTCAATAGCCACTGCAGTGGTCAGCATTATCCTCTTTTAATAAGACCAATTGGGTGGACAGCAAAAACAGGCCTATTTACCTGAAAAGTAATTGGAATCAGTAACTATTGACCATGAGCAGATAATTGAAAAGAAAGGTTTTGAGTGAGGAAAGGAAGGGTTCTATTGACATTACTGGCAGAGGGATACAATGACTGTCTGGCTGCTACCATTATTCAAATTGCAAAGATGGTGGTTCATAAGAACAAAGTCAGGCAGCAGACATTGGGGACAACAAAGCTACCGAACAGCAGAGAGAGAAAACAACTCTCCATTGACTGTGATGACCGCCAACTCATTTGACAGTTACTCAACAACCGTAGCATAACATCAAGTGACCTACAAAAAGGATGGTAAATGGCAGCTGGGGTGACATGCACACGGAGAACTGCTCAAAATGAGCTGACCGGGGGGGAGGGGAGGATTGCTTTGGCAATGCTGGAATTGGGCTGATTCATCTTTGTGAAGAAAACAAATCAAGCCACATAAAAGGTTATTTTGGAAAAAACTTGCTTCCTTCTGCTCTGATAATGTTCCTCAACTCTGAGTATTGTTTCACCTGGACAATGCTCCATATCACACAGGCAGTACCACCAGATCAAGACCCTGTGATGGCCAATCCACTCTTCAGACCTAAAGCCCATTGAAAACTGACCAAGAAGAGATGGATGGTTACAAGTCATCAAACAAAGTCGAGCTGCTTGAATATTTGCACCAGCAGTGGCTTTAAGTAACCCAACAGCAATGTTGTAAGAAATTATGACCCTCTTACAAGGATATTCTTTTAGGGAATGTGTGACAAATAAGACACAAACACAAGTGTATAATAAAATGTATTGTTAACATTGACTTCGGATACTGTTACAGATTTAAAAAAGGATATACACATTAAAACCATATTCAGTACATAATCAAAAAAAAAAACATAAAAGGATAATACTTAGACATTTAAATGAAGATCTTCCCCTTGCACCTTCATCTTGGGTAATCTGGGACAGCCTCCTGTGCTTGCTGTGCTGTCCTCTCCAAAAGAGAGGAGAGGGGTCCAACCTCCTTGATTGTTGTTCTTTTAACCCCTTAATGACGAGTGACGGACGAGATCCGTCACTCAGGGGAAACCCTTAACGACAAGTCCGTCACGCGATAAAATTAACCCCAGATCGCGGGGTTAATGGTGCACCCGATAGTGCTGCCCCAGCACATGTGCTCGCTCTGACAGCAAGTTAATTTAAAATCCCACCCCCCTTTATCCATTTTAATAAAAAATTAACCCCTTCCCTGCCAATTGATCGCTGACTACAGTGATCAATTGGCAGGGATTACATTTTACTATGATCTGATTTTTTTTTAACCCCTGAGGGTTAATTCTTTTTTTTAAAAGTATTTTAAAATTATAAAATTAGCTAGCTGGGGTGGGTGGAAGTTAGTGGGGAATTGGGGGATTTGGTGTTAGGCTAACTAGGGGTTAGCGTTAAATAAAAAAAAAAAAAAGTTTTAAAATAAGCTTTACAAAGTTCAAAATTAAGTTAAAAAAAGTTTTAATAACGTTTAAGTAAAAAATTAAAAAACACCCCCCTTTAGCCAGTCCAAATAAAAAATTAACCCCTTCCCTGCCAGTCGATCACTGCCTACAGTGATCAAAACACAGATCACAGTATTATACTGTGATCTAATTTTTTTTAATCCCTGACGATTAACTTTTATGGTTAACGGTAAAAAAAAAAGCTTAGAAAAATGTTAAATCTGTAAAAAAGGTTTTAAGAAAATTTAGGAAAGTTTAAAAAAATTAATAAGCAAAACAAAAGTTTAAAAACTAGTTTTAAAAAGTAAAAAAAGTTTAAAAAAGTAAAAAAATAAATTTAAAAACGCTCATTACCACTACACCTGGAACAAACTAGAGAAAAAATGATCCCACGCCAAGGTTCAAAATATTCCTTTTGAATTACCCCAGGGTGTATTCTTTAATAAATAATATGTGTTTGTGGGGACGTTTCAATAACCAACCATCTAAGCTACTCCAAATTGGAACATCGGAGAGCTTTGGTTCTGTCTATATTTACTTTGTAGCCACATATTTTGCATATTCCTCCATTAATGACAGAAGGTGAGGTATCGTTGTGCTGTGTTTGGTGATTGACAATAGTAGGTCATCTGCATGTGCTGCATCCTTGTACTGCTGAGATTGTACCATGAGACTTATTATCAATGTATTCACTCAAATAGCTTGCAGGAGTGGTTCTAGAGGTAATACAAAAAGTATAGGGGAGAGTGGACACCCTTTTCTTGTTTCATTATATATATGGTGAAAGTAGGAGGATTATTATGTGGGTTGAGAAGATTGGCAGTTGAGTTGGAGTATGTGAGCATTTTAGTAAACAGCTTGATATCTATGTTAAGTAGTGATATACGTCTGTAGTGTCCTGGTTCCAGGTGAGACTTATTAGACTTTGGAATGAGGCATATGTTGCCTGAACCATGTCTTGGGGGGAACAAGTCTCCTCGTAGTATTGCAGTAAATAGCATACTTAAATATTGGATTAGGATGTCTGGGAATGTTTTGTAGTAAATAGGAACATTATTAAGATTAGAAAAATGCTTTAAATTTAACCTGAAGTATTAACTTTCCTAACTTCTATCCCATCCATGTTGATGTCTCCTAAACCCAACCAATGGGGTCAGGTCTTTGCGCTACAGATTGCTATAGTTGCACCTGATGGAGTCAGAGCACAAGCCTCACTCATTAATCTTGCAGTGCGGCCAAGCTTCTCCCTAAGGGAACATTAGGCTCATCAATAAACTGCAATCTTTAAGTATGGATTCCAATATTGTTCAAAGGTCCGTTTGGATTCCGGAAGTCCCTCTAGTGGCTGTCTGGTAGACAACCATTGAGGGCAGACTTAGAGCTGCAATGTAAACATTGCAGTTTCTCTGGAGTGCAACAGGGACACTGCACCCAGACCACTTCAATTAGTTGAAGTGGTCTGAGTGTCTACAGTGTCCCTGTAAATCCCTGCAAGTAAATCCAAGATTAAAGTAAATCCCTCCAAGACAATCAGCCCCAAAAAGGCAGACGGGCTCTATGTGAAACAAAAGGGAAAAGATAGCACAATGGGAGCCTCAACAAACCTCACAATGTTTAATAAATAGAAATGCCAGAAATATGAAGATGCATTCAAAAGATGCAGGAAGGAAACGTTATGCCTCAAGCATCTACACAGTTTGTTTTCTTTTCTCAGAAAGAATTGTACAACAGAGAAATCCTGATTGAGGGCTACCACCCATCTTCATACATAAGCTGGAGAAGGCATTGGATCTTTTTCTATCAGCAGCTCATGCATAGTTGTGATGCCCATACCCAGCTTGTTACCCACGGAGCACAACCTCTCAGAAGCCATAGAGTCGAAAAGCTTGCCTATTTGGAAAGTTGGAATAAAAATGATGGATTTGTCTGTACTGAAATATAGTCAGTCATGACCATCAAGGTCTATCGATGTCAGCAGGAATTGGATGTGGACAGGTGGTAGGAATGTGAAGAAAGTATCTTGTCATTGACAGAAACAATTTGTGGAAAATATTTCTATAAATGTTAAAATGAGTTTAAGGCTGTTATCCTTACATTTAAAAAAGAACAAAAATGCATAACAGTGAGCAGCGGGAACGCGCAGACCGGTAAAACAGGAGACGAAATAGACCAAGAAGTCCCCCGACAGTTACCCACCCCCCCACGGACAGTCCACCCCCTCAACCCCTCCCACACCTCAACACAAACAACAAGAGCAGACAATCAGACCCACTAAAATACCACCTTCAGGGGTCACCCACGACCGCATCAACCTACACGGAGCCACACAACTGCACGGAGGTACAGCCCGCAGAAGTAGGCCGCACCCACAGACGGCTGACACCAAGCCTACACCTAGAGCCCATGTAGAACCTATACGCCACCATAAAAACCGTCAAGGCGTGAACGGCAGTTTAGACACGGAGAACACAGCATGACTTCATGACACAATGGCACTGCCAAACACATACCTGACGACCCGAGAGCGGACGCGTCCAACTAATATGCGGACGAGGGAAATAACCCAACAGACATAATACACAGCTGAACCATATGTCACCGCATTACATATCTACAGCTAATGCCATCAAACCTAAAATGGGCCTGCGTGACGCATGAAAGAGGCTTGATGCGAGATCTGTGTATCTCAAGTTCTATCTATACCTTACCATATTGAAACCTGCGTGTTTCCACTAATCCTAGACTTGAAACATTTGAGTTCCTGCTATAATATTTCACATACTTCATGAGGCCTGCGAGTCTCAATGTTACTTATTTTTTTTGAAAAAATAAATAAAATTCGTATTTACAAAAAAAACAAAAAAAAACAACCAATCCCCTCCACGTGAATGTGTGCATGTAAGCACAGTGGTGTTGGAGAGCTGTCTCTGCAGCACTACCTTGCTTCAGCAGGCATATGTCCACACTGCTGCCAGGAAAACAATTGGGAGGGTGGTAGTAGTAAAAAGAATTAGGAGATTCAGGAATGCCAAGCCTATGTGAATGATTGATACATCTGCACTGTACTCTGCAACAACTGGCACGAGCACAATTCTACTATTGAAATATATACTCAAACAGGATATATAGATTTCTGTTTGCTTAAAACATTAAAGTGGCTTTGTAACCCCTGTCCCTCATAAAGATAAAATCCCAATTAAATAATCACAATATACTGTGTTGGAATTTCACTGAAATTCCTGCGCAGTCAAAACATATACCAAGGCAAAGTTTTTCTATGCTTGACAACACTTGTTTTGTCATTCCCACCCCCTCCAGTGATGGATGTTGGGGAAAAGGCTCTGTCTATGGAGGAACCCTGGAGCACTGAAATTGTCTCCTGGCAATGATGCGCCAGGAGCTGGAGAGGATCAGCAGGAAGACCACCGTGGTGGCCAAGATGAATAGATTCAGGTAAGTAAACCCCACCTTCCCCAGCACACTGTGGCCACCGGACACCCAACAGAGTAATCACCTTCAGGGGTTTTAGCAATTTATGCAAAGACCCCAGACAGTGACAGGACTGCTTTAAGTGGACAGAAAAGAGAGAGGGAGAAGAAATACTGCCCTTGAAGGCTTCATGAAGTTGTTATTACTCTGATGCTGTTTCAAGCTGTATACTACAAGAAGAAACACACTCTAAAGGTGAATATAGCAGTGTTTTATATCCATCAATGACAGTAGTCTGCAATTAGAGCCATTAACGACACTGTGAAACCAATGCAGGTACATTAGTAACTATTTACATAGCTTCTCTCATGCATTTTTCTCAATGGGAGAGCCAAGGCTTTTGCAATAAAGAAACATAGAAACATAGAAACATAGAAACATAGAATGTGACGGCAGATAAGAACCATTCGGCCCATCTAGTCTGCCCAATTTTCTAAATACTTTCATTAGTCCCTGGCCTTATCTTATAGTTAGGATAGCCTTATGCCTATCCCACGCATGCTTAAACTCCTTTACTGTGTTAACCTCTACCACTTCAGCTGGAAGGCTATTCCATGCATCCACTACCCTCTCAGTAAAGTAATACTTCCTGATATTATTTTTAAACCTTTGTCCCTCTAATTTAAGACAATGTCCTCTTGTTGTGGTAGTTTTTCTTCTTTTAAATATAGTCTCCTCCTTTACTGTGTTGATTCCCTTTATATATTTAAATGTTTCTATCATATCCCCCCTGTCTCGTCTTTCCTCCAAGCTATACATGTTAAGATCCTTTAACCTTTCCTGGTAAGTTTTATCCCGCAATCCATGAACCAGTTTAGTAGCCCTTCTCTGAACCCTCTCTAAGGTATCAATATCCTTCTGAAGATACGGTCTCCAGTACTGTGTACAATACTCCAAGTGAGGTCTCACCAGTGTTCTGTACAATGGCATGAGCACTTCCCTCTTTCTACTGCTAATACCTCTCCCTATACAACCAAGCATTCTGCTAGCATTTCCTGCTGCTCTATTACATTGTCTGCCTAGGGATGGGGGGAGAGGGGCTGAGCGGATGGGTACCATCGCTCATTGGGAGCCAGAAGCAAAATACAGACATTGTGAAATACTGTAAGCAATGTCCAGATTTGGCTTTTTGGATGGGCCTCATACAGAACTGGATGGTTTGCCCCAGGGGTCATTTAGACTTGTCGGTGTCTGCACTCATAGCCTCCCTCTCATTCATAGACGTTTGTATATATAAGGGATCCTTGTATATATATATATATGTATATATATATATATACACACACACACACACACATATACATATATAAATAATATATATACTGGATCAGCTGCCAATAAGCTAGACGTAGCTTAGGAGAATTTAAGGATCTCCATACAGGATTCAGGGAGCGATGCAGACCCCGGGTAACATGTCAAGCTGGGAGCAGTCGGTTTGACTCTGGGGTGGCATTAGGGCACTTCTGGCACCATTGTCACCACAGTACAATGCAGTGGTTATGGTACTTGTAGTGATCCTTTATGGGGTTAATTACCCATATCATGGGGAAACTATGCGTACAAATTATGTACTCTCATTCTTTTCTATGAGACAGCTTGTACCATATACTGAATATGCAAAACATATTCACAGAATAAAAATGAAAGGACCAAGATCAATCTCTGCCACTTCCTGGAAGCTCTATTCATTTTTATATAAAAATATTTTAATCACATTTCTAAACAAACAAATTGTTTTTAATATATTTGCTTCTGAGAAACTGCGGCTAAACACATAGCTAAAAAAAACACCACAAACACCAAAGACGCAAAAAATGAGTAATGAGAGGAAAGTAATGAAGTCATGTACCCTCCCTGTATTTCTAATACACTGGGACTACCAATAAGCTCTAACATGTGCACTTGTCAGAACTTCAGGCGCTATGCATGCTGGGATGTGCAGTCTCCCACATCAGCTCTGATGGATATTCCGAAGCCGTTCGCACTACAACTCCCGGCGTACACCGCGCCCTGGTTGCAGCTTGACACTGTGTCATTGTGGAGGAAGTTTGGCTGCCTGGAGCCCACACTTTGCTGGGATGCCACTGTTAATTGGCAGCCAGAGGCTGGATGTCAGTCTGTCAGCTGCCAGGATTGTCCAGGTGCACCCTGAGCTGGAGGTGAGCAGATTGCAGGACATCATGGGGGGAGACTGTGCAGGGACATGCTCCCAGGGCTTGGCTTATGGAGCATCCACTGCAATGATAGAGAGACAGCTGGACTGAGCATTGCCCTCCCTGGGGTGTTACTATAAAGGGGCATTGCATGGTATGTACTGTGCTGTGTGCATGCCTGCCATTCCCACACACTGCTATTATTAGCCCCCTCCTCCTATTGTTATTTAGGCTGTACAGTTTGCTATATTATAGGTAGGGATTTACTATGGAAATAAAAGACTGGAAACAGATTTTGATTTTAGACAGCTAGAGCTATTCATGGGAAAAGGTGCTACATGTTAAGAGACATTTTTTGTAAATGAACCTTATTACTAAACTTATAGATTTTCATAATATCTTTTTGTGGTATTATCACAAAACTTCAAAAAGTTAAGAACAAAGAAGGCACTTGAATCAACCTCACGGCTCACAAAACGAGCAACAGAATGATAGCACACATACAGGCTATTTACTAACTGATTTACTCGCTAAACAGTATTCAGTGATGGAAATGGCCGTATTGCGCCTGGAATGGCAATTCTCATATTTACTATGGCCAAATCCTGTTTGAATTCGGTCGGCCCAAGCAGATTTGCAGCAAACATCCCAATGTATTTGGTGTCCATATTGTTATCGCCATTTATATAGCACCAACAGATTCCGTAGCGCTTTACAATATTATTAGAGGGGGGATTTAACTATAAATAGGACAACTACAAGAAAACTTACAGGAACGATAGGTTGAAGAGGACCCTGCTCAAACGAGCTAACAGTCTATAGGAGGTGGGGTATAAAATTAATTCAGGACCGAATACATCCGGTAGGATGCACGTTCGCATATTATCGTTAACTTGCTTTCTTAAAGTACTATTTGCCTTCTTAAAGTAAAGCAAGCAAGCTAAAATGCTTTATGTATGTGTAGTGTTACTTTACACTACTGCAGGATGCGTTCCCAGGATATGCCAAGTCACAGGACCTGTGTTAGCTAGTGTGTGTCGTGCAGGGCACAGGGACCAGAACGGGTAACTATCAGTATAAGTCTAGCAGCCGTTATTATTCAATTCTCATGCTGTGGGTTTAGGAAGAATATCTATTTTGGCTTTCTAGTTGGCGTGTCTCGGCTACCACTAACAGAGCTAGCATGCAGGTTTGTTTTAAATGAGGTCAGTGAGCCATTTAGAAAGGTAAATGAATCCAATGGGGTTTGAATGCCTAGCAAGTTATAAGCTAATAACGATCATGAGCCATGGCATCAAAACGAAATATAAACAAAGCATAATAGGAAGAGCAACATTTCTTAACTAAAATATGTCAGCATTGATATAGAGAGAGTGGAATTGTGAAAATGAGAGCTATAGCAGATATCCAATGACTTGTAGGAGTTTCGTACAGAGTATATTGTACTAATGGCAAAGTGACAGGAATAAGAGCTCACCTCGGAACATTTGGGGTTATCTCTAAAACGGACACTATAGCCACCAGAACAACTACAGCTTATTGTATTTGTTCTGGCGAGTAGAATCATTACCTTCAGGCTTTTTGAAGTAACACAGTTTTTTTTCAAAGAAAATGCAGTGTTTACATTACAGCCTAGTAATAACTTCACTGGCCACTCCTCAGATGGCGATAAGATGTGCTTCCTGGGGCAGGGCTGCACACTGTGCAGCACTGAAATTCAGTGTCCCCTCCCTCTGCATGCAGACACTGTACTTTCCTCATTGAGATGCATTGACTTAATTAATCTCTATGAGGAGATGCTGATTGGCCAGGGCTGGGTTTGGCTTGTGCTGGCAAGTGGGTGCTAGGGGTGCTAGATTTTAACACGATAGGGCTGGAATACATGTTTGTGTTCCTGACCCTATAGTGTTCCTTTAATAAAGGTCACAAAAGAGGCAGATTTCAACTTTGCTAGTAGTAATTGGACAGGTGAAGACAGGGTGCAGAGTGATCTGGTGCTGAAATGCAGACTTAGATGAACCAGCGCCAGGGACTGCCTGGCATTATATCAATTTAAATTCAATGAAATTCTGATGGTGTTAAAACTGTTCCTCTAAGATACATACCAAATTCAAATATGTCTTTAGTAAACAAATTCCTGAAGTCTGCTCTAAGAAGTTAAATTTCAAAATGTATTTCTTTCACATTGTGTCTATGTAATGTTCACAGGCGTAGCGATTCAAAGTAATGTTATTGTATGTTTTGTGGCTATGCTAATTTTAACTTTTGTTCACTAGGTGCGAGCCAAAGCATTAACAAGCCAACCAATCCATACTTTTGGACCAAAGGGATTTCTATACGTTCAGCAGAGAGAATTAGCTGTAACCACATCTAATGACAGTACGTGAATTTCATTTTTAATAGATTGTCAACTCCTGTTAATAGTTGGTTAATTTAATTCTTCGTTTTTGCTTGGTTTAATACACAAAGAGCAAGATGGCTTGTTAGTCTGTTTCATGTAGATCTAGAATTCTAGTAATCTAACATTAAAAAACGATTACTCTGTATATTAGGAGGTGCATTAAAGGAACACTATAGGGTCAGGAAAACAAATGTGTATTCCTGACTCTATAGTGTTAAAAACACATTTTAGCCACGCAGCCCCACCTTGCACCCTTAAAACAAAAGAAAACGTACCCATAGGAGGCTAATGGGCATGCACGGCAAAAGACCACGCTGGCCAATCAGCATCTCCTCATAGAGATTCATTGACTCAGTGCATCTCTATGAGGAAAGTTCACGTCGTGCAGCACTGACCCAGGAAGCACCTCTAGTGGCCGTCTGAGTTACTGCCAACTACATTAAGCTGTAGTTGTTCTGGTGACTAAAGTGTCCCTTTGAGACAGGACACATGAAGTGTCTGTAAGTCTTGACTGTCTCTGCAATTGCCTGCTTGAATTAAAGGATATATTTGATTTGCAGTAGCTTTATTATGTCATGGGATGGTTACACTTATACGTAAGTGAAGACATCTGACTCTTTCTTCTCTGAATAGGTGCCATTTCTATACTTGGTTCTGATGATGCCACTACGTGCCACATTGTAGTGCTAAGACACACAGGTATGTTACTTTCTCCAATTGCGACTAAAATGGTCATAAACTGGTTTGTTAAAATACGTATTTAAGGGATGGGTTGACGAGATATGACCCCTTATTTAAAATAAAAAAAAATATATCAGTTTATCTTCTTATAGAACTCTCCTCGGCATTGAAACTCCTTTTTGTAAGATTTTTGCTACAACCAGGCTCTTTGTAACAAGACAAAATACACTACAGTTTTATGATGGCAAACATGTCAGCCTCTGTCTTTGGAACATTGGACTAATTTTTTAGGTCTAGAATCCATGATTTTAGGTTTATTCAAAACTGTGTGCTCTGTGTGATGTGCTTTTTTTTTATCTGAAAAATTATCTTATATTGGCAAGATCTTTGACCGTTTTATTTTACTTTTTCTTTTGCCCTCTTTTATCCTTTGCCCTTTCTTCCTCATTCAGCTTTTGAGATGCTTTATATTTTTATTTACTGAAGTTATGTTTCTGTATTATATGTAAAATATTCAATTAAAGCATAATAGAAAAAAAAGATCAGCAATTTAATTGTCTTAGAAATGCATTATAACATTAAATTTGGTCAAATAAGACCAACAGTTATTGACCATGGTTAATGTTTTATTAATGTCATAGTTTTGAGTGTTAGGATTGTGTAGATTGAATATTATCACATCATTTACCTCTTATTTAGTTTTACAGATCTCTAACTGCTAGACTGAAGTACACAAACACAGGCCAAATATTAAAGAAATACACTAAACACCATATTAACGTCATCTCATTCAAGTGATTACGCTATCTGGATCCCCTGGAGCAGTTCCACTATTCAACGTTTTCAATTGGTTCAACACAGAATCAGGGTCCTCGGGTGTATGCAGCCCAGGACTCTCTCTTATACTTGGGCTAATGCTTCCGTATCACACCAAGCAGCAGTGATAGGCTGATCAGAATACTATTACTGTTGTCCATCGCTGGTATGAGGTGATGTAGCCATATCTTCAGTGTGGGACAGATCCATGTGGGGAGAAGGGACCCTTATTCAGTTCTATACCATTTGAAAACAGGTTAACGTTGAACAGTGGTACGGCCTTAGGGGTCTGTGGGTACTATAACCACATCAATGTGTCCCTTTACACAATAAAATAGGATGCAGTGAGAATACTATATTTCTTTATTATTTTTCTAGTCTCGCGTTATTTTCCATACACATCAATATTGTACTCTCACACAATCTCACCTATACTGATATTGGTTATATTTTGGTGTATCAAACAAATTTTGAATGCAGGACACTGATAAGGTCCATAGTAGCAACATAATATAAATAAATATTTAACTCATTTCCACTTCACCCCTTACATGCGGTATTGTCCTTACTTTCGTTTATAGATTTAATTTTCACATTTACTGTATACATGCTCTTATTGATAGAATGTTTTGCTTCAGTGTGCTCACATGTTTTTGTTTACACCAATCATATATCAGGAAGTGAGGCCACGTGCTTAGCACATTGTGATGGGTCGGATACGGAGAGCGAAGTGGCAGACATTTTGTATGCTGTCCAATCCTTATCTCAAAATACTAAGGAAGGAAGGTATGTTTTTATTTGATACACTTGAGAACAAGAATATACCTGACATACTGCTTTAGTATCATAAGAGAACTTCTATAGGTTTCAGATATTTAATATTGTGTGAAATTGGCTATGCCAAGTCCTCTTAAAAATGGCTCCCCTCAGTTTGAAAATTTAAGTTAAAGGGACACCATGGTCACCAAAACAACTATAGCTTAATGAAGCAGTTTGTATGTATAGATCATGCCCCTGCAGTCTCACTGCTCAATTCTCTGCCATTTAGTAGTTAAATTACTTTGTTTATACAGCCCTAGTCACACCTCCCTGCATGTAACTTACACAGCCTTCCAAAACACTTCATGTAAATAGTCATCTAATGTTTACCCTTCCTTTATTGCAAATCCAGATTAATTTCAAATAGGTCATCTCGTGCTTTAATAGCTTGCTAGAACCTGCAGGAGCTTACTTTATGTAATTAATTTGAATCTTAACCCTAATTTTGTGTTAAGAATTGTTATTTACGGATAAACTGTTCTGGTTTTCTCAGGCTAGAATTACACCTTATCGGAGGGTTCATTGATAAAAGACGTCTGTCACAGAAGCTATCAAGTCAGCTCCTTAGTAAGTCAATGAGTAGAATATATGTTTTGTAATAGTTGCCCTTAATGACCTTTAGTTTAATCAAAATATTTAATTAATTTTAAAGGTGCAATTATTTAAGTGAGCACCTCGAACACCATTACCATTACAGCCTGCTGTAGTAGTAATGGTGCCAGGAGTCCTTGGCATGCTCCCAGTGTAATTTGTAAAACTGTTTTAGAATCCAGTAAGCACAATAAGGATTTGGAATTCTCTGCCTGAAGAAGTGGTTTTATCAGAGTCCATACAGATGTTCAAACAGCTACTAGATGCATACTTGCAAAAACAGAATATTCAATTATATCATTTTTCAACTGTAGGGTAATAGCTGATTGATCCAAGGATAAAGCTGACTGCCATTCTGGGGTCAAGAGGGGATTTTTTTCCCCTAGTTTGTTGCAAAATTGGAAGTGCTTCAGATTGTTTTTTTTTTTTTTTTTGCTTTCTTTTGGATCAACCGCAAAAAACAAATGTGAAATGCTGAACTTAATGGACGCGTGTCTCTTTTCAGCCTATGTAACTATGTAACTTACCTGTGTGCCCGCAGCACATCTGGTCTGCTCTTGCAAAAGAAGCCAGATGTCGTCCCTGAGCTAAGCACGGCTCAATAGAGCCAATCAGGGCAGCTTTCATTGCTCAGTGGAACTTAACCAGATTCTGTGACCTCAGGCAGCTGGTGGTAAGTTGTCAAAGTGTTCTGGGAAAGAAATTATACTGGAAAAGTGCTAGAGCACTCCTAATACCATAACTACTGCATAGGGTTTTAGTGGTTATGGTGGCTAGAGTGTTCTTTTATTTTATTATTTTTGCTATTAAAACATTATTTATGGAGAACTGACAAGGGAATTGTAAATTTTAAGCCAAAGGTGGGAAGGAAATAGAGCTTCAACATGCCACAATTTACCATTGACAAATTATGTTTAGGCAACTTCTCAGGAACTGTTACCCAGCCTTAAAGGAATGTTTAAAAAAACGATATTCAGTTTTAACATTTGGATTTTTCCTTTAACTATGAAGATGCACTCCCAAATAAAAATAAGTGAATACATTACTTGTCTTTTTATTCAGCGGCAAGCTCTCTCTCTTACCACTGCTCGGTTTCGCTGCGAGGAGATTGTCCGTGACGATAATCTCCCCTTCCAGTTCAGACCAAATTGGCACATGCCACTCATTGGGAAGCATTAACTAATCCCTAAGTAAGCTCTTTGCTTCTGTTTGAACTGTCATTCAGGAAGAGTTGAAAAGCAACCAAGATGGCGATCAATCAGAATACCATCAACACGGTCCTGTATGATGTGTGTTGCAAGTTGGTGTTTCCTCCATAACTTTATCCTTTTCAGTAGCCACAGGAAATTCATCTGACCTTGGGTCAATCTACCCATTGGATGTGCATAGACACACCAGGAATGATCTGGTAAAAAGCAGCCTTTCATGTGCCATTATATGCAATAGTGATCAGTGTAAATATTATAGAGTCTTAAAGTATAGTAATTTTTATTTATTTTTGCAGAAGCCTTTGACAGACAGACAGATGACATCTATCTAATTACGTTTTGTGTTTCAGGTACAATAATAGTATAGTCATTATTTTTGCATTTTTTGATTATGACTATAAATAAAACACTGGGCGTTTTGTCATGTTTAATCATCTTTAATTACTGGTTGTGTGCTTTAATGCAGGGATGGAACACCAGAAGCCATGTCCTTATTCTGGTGGTTATAGTTTCCCCATTTTACAGTTAAAGAATTCTTAACCAACTTCCTGGTTTAACTTTTGCTGCATCATTTATTCACACTTGGTGGGAATTGCAAAGTCTTCTAGATGGGAAAACTATCGGTACAGGAAGAATGTTTGGCAATTTCACTATCTGTAATCACTGTCTTTGAACGTCCACCAGTCTCCATGCTAAGTATCTATTGACCTGTAACCAGTGGCTTCCAAAAAAACAATAGCACAATTTTTTTTGCATGTTACGGACACCTCAGATGTTATGTACCTTTTGGTTATTGCCATTGTATGGCAGTCCTTGGTTGTCTCCTAATGCATAAAGTTTCCCATTCAGACGGTGGTTTCTCCTAAAACAATTACAATTATTTATGTAGCACCAAAATATTCAACAGCCCTATGCAGTAGGTAAGCAGGGCAAACACATTTTAATGAAACATGTTTGACATATAAGAACAGTAGGTGAAGATGGTCTAAATATGCTTACTATGTGATAACAAGGTGCCAAGCGTGATGATTAAGGATCATAACCTGCTATAGCTTTATCGTTTCAAATTTAAAGGGTATGCAGCAAGTATACCCACATTTTAATGTTTTTATATAAATCCATTAAAATTATAAAAAAAGAAAAATTCTCATTTATAAAGTTCAGAAACGGCAGCATTTGTATGGTTTACAGAAGTTTACTGCAAGTTGCAGACCCTTCCCTTGCCAGGCAGGCACTGCCATCCGAAGCCCCCCATTATCGTTTATAGAATTATTCTTACCTTTAACCCCTTAAGGACACATCCCTTTTATTCCAGAAGTTTGGTCCTTAAGAGATTAAACCCTTGACCAGCTAGAGTCTATAGGACTTCAGTTTTAATCATCACATAGGATGAGTAGAACTGTTCAATAAGCTAATAACATCCATACCTCAGCTCCTATTAGTTTATTTCTCTATCATAATCTTACCAGTGATGCTTAACAGAATGCTCCAAGTACCATAACCACTACAGCCTCCTGGAGTGGTTATGGTGCTAGGAGTGCTCTGGCACTGTCCCACATTAAGTATTAAAAGCTGTCTTAGCAAGGTCTGACAACTTTCTGGTTTCTGCTACAGGCCCTCCTTCTAGTCTTTTATAAGAGAATTTGGTCAGTTCTGCAGGGCTAAGAGTGTGTCTGCGAGTGTCTGCACCCTAGGCCAATGAACTCATCCTGCATCGGTCAGTGACCTCCAGCTTCTTCTTGTAGGAGAGAATTGAATGCTGGTGCATGGGGGACCCGGCTAAGTTGTCTCGCTGTATTTAAACAGTTTGACTTCTTATTGTTGGACGGTGCCAGGCAACTCCTGGCACCATGACCCTTTTACATGTATTCAGTGTATTGGCCACTAGCGTGTCAAATGTGCTGAACTGTCCTTAAAATCTAATATTTGACATGGTTTGCAATGTATAACCACTTGCTGTCATTTACTAATGCCCAAATACTAGGTAACAAGACGACAAATTTGACACAGTATTTTTTTCTCCTTTTCTACAGAATTAAATGACAAGGAGGATAAAGGTATCCATCTTCCAATAATATATGGGATAGGTAAGTTTTGTCAAGAGAAGGGAAATAAGTCATTAATCTGGAGTAAAATTACTCCTGGTGATCAGTCAAAAGAAAAATCTTATTGGAAAATAACTATTCATATAAACAGTTTAATATCTACCATTTTTTTACACTCCACAAGACACACCTTGCCATAAGACGCACCTAGTTTTTAGAGGGGGAAAACAAGAAAAAAAACTAAAAACTAAACTGTACTAAACTATTTAATAAACTATATCAGAATAATATTTCAACCATGTAAAGTGAACAGCAGTCAACAGTGGCATCAAGAACATTGGGACAGTTTACACACGCACACATGCATACACATACACACTGACACACAAATTGCAGTTGAAATATAATTAACTATCCCCTGTTTCCATACCTTTTGCTGCAGGGAGGTGAACTCATGGAGCTGGCTGAGGCTGATGTGATGGGAGTCTGCCTGCAGAGCTCTTTCTCCTCCCTCCCTCCTCTCTCAGCGTGCTCGGTCAGTAAGCTTGGAGGAAGTAACAGATAGTCACTTCCTCCCAGCACTCTCTGCTCGGGAGGGGCTCAGTATCGGCTCTCTGCAGCCTCTCCTCCTCCATGCCGCACAATCTCGGCATGCAATTGCTCCATAAAACGCACAGACATTTCCCCTTACTTTTGAGGAGGAAAAAAGTGCGTCTTATGGAGTGAAAAATATGGTATATGGAAACTGAATAAAAAACCACAACCAAAAACTTACAGGGTTATTTACTAGATTGAGATTTGTCAGGAACTCAAAGTGAATTACAAATTTAAGGCCAGAGTTGCTGAACTGGAAAAAAATCTTAGCTATACTTTCGGTTTGGCTATTTTGGCCTTATTCACTTTGAATTCCTGGCATTTCTCACTTTAGTAAATATCTCTCCTAGATTAATTGTTTGAACATGTCTATATAAAAAAATCCAATGTCTATTATATTTTTTAACAAACATTTTATATTATGTCAGAGTTGCCTATTTTGCCATTACGTTAACCCTCTCCTCATGGCACACCTAACAGTCAAGGATTTAGGGATTACCTGGGTGTTTAGAAAAAAAAAACACTTTAGAGTCTAAGATGTTTTTAGTTTATTTTTTTTATTTTTTTACCGCCTTAGACACACCCACGTAATCCCTAAATCGTGGACTGTTAGGCATGCCACGAAGAGAGGGTTGAGGAGCTCTGTCATAGAGGATACGATGTGAATGGAATAGGTGAAATAAAAAACCCAGTAGATTATATCAAGGATCTATTGTTGCATAGAGCCATATGAACTGGTGATAGGGTCATTCTCAAATGGTACAAAATCCCCCTATTTCTTTGAGGGGACGCAAGTGGTTGATTATGTTTAGTTCTGGTAATTGTGGAGGTCATTGACAGAGGTTAGGTGGTTCCATGGAGGCCAGGATGTAGTCCGGTTGTGTGGTGTATATGATGATATTACAGGGAGTGCAGAATTATTAGGCAAGTTGTATTTTTGAGGATTAATTTTATTATTGAACAACAACCATGTTCTCAATGAACCCAAAAAACTCATTAATATCAAAGCTGAATATTTTTGGAAGTAGTTTTTAGTTTGTTTTTAGTTTTAGCTATGTTAGGGGGATATCTGTGTGTGCAGGTGACTATTACTGTGCATAATTATTAGGCAACTTAACAAAAAACAAATATATACCCATTTCAATTATTTATTATTACCAGTGAAACCAATATAACATCTCAACATTCACAAATATACATTTCTGACATTCAAAAACAAAACAAAAACAAATCAGTGACCAATATAGCCACCTTTCTTTGCAAGGACACTCAAAAGCCTGCCATCCATGGATTCTGTCAGTGTTTTGATCTGTTCACCATCAACATTGTGTGCAGCAGCAACCACAGCCTCCCAGACACTGTTCAGAGAGGTGTACTGTTTTCCCTCCTTGTAAATCTCACATTTGATGATGGACCACAGGTTCTCAATGGGTTTCTTGCCAGCCACGCTGTGGAGTACTTGGACGCGTGTGATGGAGCATTGTCCTGCATGAAAATCATGTTTTTCTTGAAGGATGCAGACTTCTTCCTGTACCACTGCTTGAAGAAGGTGTCTTCCAGGAACTGGCAGTAGGACTGGGAGTTGAGCTTGACTCCATCCTCAACCCGAAAAGGCCCCACAAGCTCATCTTTGATGATACCAGCCCAAACCAGTACTCCACCTCCACCTTGCTGGCGTCTGAGTCGGACTGGAGCTCTCTGCCCTTTACCAATCCAGCCACGGGCCCATCCATCTGGCCCATCAAGACTCACTCTCATTTCATCAGTCCATAAAACCTTAGAAAAATCAGTCTTGAGATATTTCTTGGCCCAGTCTTGACGTTTCAGCTTGTGTGTCTTGTTCAGTGGTGGTCGTCTTTCAGCCTTTCTTACCTTGGCCATGTCTCTGAGTATTGCACACCTTGTGCTTTTGGGCACTCCAGTGATGTTGCAGCTCTGAAATATGGCCAAACTGGTGGCAAGTGGCATCGTGGCAGCTGCACGCTTGACTTTTCTCAGTTCATGGGCAGTTATTTTGCGCCTTGGTTTTTCCACACGCTTCTTGCGACCCTGTTGACTATTTTGAATGAAACGCTTGATTGTTCGATGATCACGCTTCAGAAGCTTTGCAATTTTAAGAGTGCTGCATCCCTCTGCAAGATATTTCACTATTTTTGACTTTTCTGAGCCTGTCAAGTCCTTCTTTTGACCCATTTTGCCAAAGGAAAGGAAGTTGCCTAATAATTATGCACACCTGATATAGGGTGTTGATGTCATTAGACCACACCCCTTCTCATTACAGAGATGCACATCACCTAATATGCTTAATTGGTAGTAGGCTTTCGAGCCTATACAGCTTGGAGTAAGACAACATGCATAAAGAGGATGATGTGGTCAAAATACTCATTTGCCTAATAATTCTGCACTCCCTGTAAACTGGAATATGGGAAAGGCTTGATGGTACAGTGTTTCCTTAGCTGGATGCACTGGTCTTGCCACATTACCTTATCATGATATGACCATGCAGAACAACCATCAGATCTGATGACTTCAACTTCGTTGCTACCATGTATCTACAGATCCCACATCACTTTTTTAACAAACATTGTGCATTGAACAAATCCTTAGGTTTTCTCCATGAGTATGATGTAGCCAGGAAATAATTTGCTAGATACGATTTGTGTTGCAAACAGTGTCTATAGGAGGTATCCAGTGGTCCCAAGCGTCTTCCAGGTCAATAGGAAACCAATGAATACCCCTCATATCCATATCTGTGAAAAATACAAATGTGGTGTAATGCTTGGGCATATGTTTATGCATCTAGAACCTTTTCACTTAATTGAAGATAATCATTGCCTCTTGATTGCAGAGTACAGAATTCCAGCATTCATTAAATGCAAAGAATTTTTAACCAACATGGCTACTCACTAATCTGACAAGTATTGGAGAATTTTTCCAGTTTAGCTATTTTTAGATGTGAAGTGATAGTACTGATTTAAGTATGATTACATTTTTTATGGCTGTTAATTTGTCCCGTTAATCCTAAAATGGACGGCACTTTGTATCTAATGGACTGTAGTTTCTAGATGTTTGTAGATTGAGATATTGTCAAATGAAAGGAATGCTCCAGACACGTAGAGCATGTCCCCTTGCTGAAGTGCTTTATGTTTTTGGAGTCACATTTGTGACAGTTATGCCAGGAGCACCTTCCTTGCTGTCAATCACAGAGCCAATGAGGTTTTCTTCTGCTTGATTGCTCTATCGATCTAACAGTGGTGGCTAGTGCACACCTACCTTCACCCATTCTCAGTGAGTTGTATTACAGCTCATTGAGAAGCATTAGAAATCCACAAATACATGCGCACACATGCTCGAAGCTCCAGCACAGAGACTTTTCAAATGCTGCAGACAAGAGACCTGCAGCTTATGCAAGCTATTTTTAGATATACCCCGAATTAAAAAAAAATACATAAATACGAGCAGGCATGTTTTCATTGCTAAAACCTTTAAAAAAAATTTTTTTTGTCAGGCTGCACTGTAACATGTCATGTTGTGTTTTTTTCGTAATACTTAGGAAGCTAAAATTACTTTTTCTACCGATACTTATGGACTAATCCATACTTTCTCCGGTTGACTATCTGCATTTTAAATCATATCGAACATGTCTGGTGACAAACTAATAACTTTATGTTCCCTTAGCTGTAAATGTTAAAACCGCAGAGATCTTCAAGGCAAACTGCCAAGATAGACATCCGGATGAAGATTTGAGATCTGCTTACACTTTCACCGGAGGAACGGTATAAAAAATTGTTACGAATATATAATATTATGAACCTCCTGTTTATTCACTGGGTGATAATTGTGGCGAATTTACAGATATAAAGATATTTTTATCGGAAAAATAAACAGTTAAGAACAATCTGAATGGGCAAAAACTCAGTAAGTGGTCCATTGGTCTCATACAAGTTTTAGTTTGCATTGTCATTACATTATATTGTGATATATATATATATATATATATATATATATATATATATATATAAAAAAAAAACTAATTTTCAAGTTACAATATAATCTATAATTTTACGCATAAAGATGTGCTTATATCACCATTTAAAGACTATGCCTTTTTTTTTTTCTACATTCACAGATGCTGAGTATTTATGATCCAAAAAAAGAGCAATTAAAGATCGGACCTTATTCCTGGATACCTTTCCCAAACATTGATTTCTGGTTGGAGCAAGAGGATGAACAGATTCTTGAAGTAAGTAATTACATATAGAGAAAGTGTGTGTTTGTGTGTATGTATAATTTTTTTTTTTTTTTTACTAATGGATTAGTAGAGTTGTTTTTCTTTTAGTGTAGGCTTTGGAATCTGATTATCAGTTTTAATGCTAAATATCTCTAGCAGTTATCAGAAACCAGCTCGGATAGTCAATCATTTAAATTTTTTTTATTGAAACAGGAACTGTCCTGTCCTATGATTTGTAATATCAATAGACTTACATGTCCAAATCCACACCTTGTTATCCTGCAACTGGGTGCCTCCATCTTACCTCCCAGTCAATCATTTTAATAAACTTTAACCTTTGCCCTGGGAGTCAGCAAGCGTACAGGGATGAAAAATGAATTTGCAATCTATACCATGGCTGTGCCTGGATTGAACTGTCAATTTCTAAATTCTGAAACTTAAACAAAACAGGAGTGCATCACATAGAAAAGATGTCACCTATATTCAGAGGTGTAATGTCCAGAGCAGTATCAGTTCTCCTTTGATCATCTTCAGGACTATAATTCACAATTTGTTAGTGTTCTGACATCACCTATAAAAAGACAGAGCAATAAGGATCTTATGATTGCTCGGTCTGTGAAAGTGTTGTGACCTCCTTTGACCATAATTGATGCAGGTTGTGCCGAAGTCACAGGTGGACCTCCACACTGACACACGTACAACTGATTTGCTGCTCTTTTCATTAATCTGTTCTTTATTCAATTTAGGTAAATTTATTTTACATTCCAGACATTTCACCCAGTAAAAACTAGGATAAAAAAAACCTATAAAATAAAACCACACTTTCTATAAAAGATTTTCTGCACAGCCTATTAAGGAAACATGAATGCATATATTTATCATTTTTAGGCCGATTAACACATAATGAGATTTCCTGGCCACGCACAGGCCAGTCCCCACTTGTACGGCAGTGATTACACACTTCCTTCTAGCCATACAGATTCATACTAGTCATGGACAGTTGTGATTTGCTAAGAGTGTGAGCAGACCATTTACAGCCCATCACAGCCATCCATTGCTGCTCAGGCTAATGCGTCCTCATTACCCAAAGCAGCAAAGAGGGTATGAGCTGCATGGACTCTTCTTTACCATTAAAAAGGTTTTAACAATAAATTAACGTATGGTGCCAGGGAACTTCAGGCACAATAACCACTTCAATGGGATGAAACACTTACAGTGCCAAGAGTGACAGTTTAAGTTAAATCTAATGTTATACCTCCTTCAAGCCTCTTGTGTTTTCAGTACATTCATTCACATTGGCGTTCTTACACTTTCCTTCTGAGCCAATTCCAGTTTTTGTTGTACTAATTGCTCTTGATTTCTGTACATTCATGCAAGCAAGCCTTTTAATAACTTCTAAGTGAAAAAGTGCTTTAAGATCCACATTTCTAGTCTACCTTGACTATCAAGTGCTGTTGGCGGTGTCTGACTCCCCTACAGTTATGGCTTGAAGTATCCAAGTAATTGTCATACCATGCACAACAGTTCCACATCTCTCTTCTTTTGACAGTGTTTCTCTACGTCACCACTGGCAGAGCCACCACATTTTGTTGCTCACATTCGATCAACCCTTCGGTTTCTTAAAGAAAATCCACAGCCAACAAAGTCCATCTTTACAGATCGAAAACCACGTGTGTACAGGAAACGGGTGGACGGATCCTGGGAGAGAGTGCTAACTGAGATGGTTTAGTGGAATAAGGGATGCGGATTCTATGATCACAGTGCCAAAACTGCCAGTTAATGTTCCATATAAAAAATAAGTACAGTATCATGTGTCTGTGGCACGTAATCATAATTCTGAACAGACTGGGACCATTTAAGGGCTGATGATTTATCTTGTATATGCAAGACTTGTTATCCATTTGTATTTCAGATCCTTCTCACAATGAGCATTCTTTATTTTCCATATGTGTAAATACCACTTATAAAAACACACGCTATTGGACCATGGTGCTTTCATTCTATGCAATTCCTTTAATATGAGGGCCAAGATTGTAATGAAAACATTTGAGGGCTAGAAGAGTGCGAGACACATTGCAATACATGGCGTTCGCACACCAATGTTGGTTTTAGGGTTAAGAGACATCCTGTAGCCTATGTACATGGACTTGTTTATATTACTGTTTGCATTGTTTTAGACCAATTGTCCGTCTGGATTTTATGGTGACCTCAATAACAAAACATTCTGAAAACACTGACTTTGCATTGTCTTTTTATTTATTTTATATCACGATTATTTTACTTGTATGTTTGACATGTTTCAGATCATTCCATGTTGGTGTAAGGTGTTTAGGAATCAGATTGTAGTGAATGCAATATATAACTGGCTCTTACAGGGTTAAATTTCAGTATTGTAGTGCTGACATTTTATAGGGTAAGTTAATATAGAGCCACTGTGTAAGTGGTGGTATTTTAAATTTACCTTGTGAATTTGAACTGTTTTAGGAATTGATGCTATACCTTCTTTCACCAAAGTGCTACTAATATAAAACACAAACATACCCCTCATCTCTAATTAAGATATTTGACATTTCTTGGAGTTGGTAAGATTCCCTTTTTGACTACACCATCTTTTCTAGACCAAACCTCCAAGTAGTCTCTGTGCCACCCAAGAAAAGGTGCCTTAATTACAAACAAAGCACCAAGAAAACTCCCACAAACCTCTCTTCTAGTGGTCAGCACTCTGGTTCATTGATGAAGTATGATGTCATAGAATAGGTTAATATGTACTTGCTGTATTGCAAAGCAATTGTTACCTATTCCAGTTTATTCTGGCTACATACAGATGCCCGCAGTGTTCGGTGTTAAGAAATAAGACTGCAAACTTCTGCTTACTTAGAAAAACAAAAATACCAAGCACAGGTTTACACGTCCTCAGGACGTAGAATTTAACCAGATATGTAAGAGTACAGTATTGTGTGTATTTTAGATGAAAAATGCTATACATCCATGATGACAATCTGACATGAACATCTAAGCAATAAGACATATCATTATCCCCAGCCACCTCACAATGGGTTAAAACTCACCTTTTCGGCTCTCCACGGGTCCGCTAGTGCTGGCTGCGCCCCCTTGGTTACATCCTAAAAAATGCAGATTTTTAGCCAATCCAATGCTTTCCCACGGGTCAGAGAATCATCTCTGAGGAAACTTCAGCGTCCCCATGCAGAGCGTGGGGATGCTGAACGGCAGGGCTGCTTACTGTGCAGCCCTGAGCCAGGAAGCCCCTCCAGTGTCCATCTAAGGAGTGGCCACTTGGAGGTGTACATAGGGGCAATGTAAACACTGCATTTTCTCTGAAACGACAGTGTTTGCATGAAAATGTCTGAAGGGAGCTATTATACTCACCAGAACAACTACATTAAGCTGTAGTTGTTCTGGTGACTATAGTGTCCCTTTAATCTGCTTCTGTACTATCTTTGGTCATTTATAAAGATAAACGGTTTTTAACTTTATTACAAGAATAAAACCCTGAACTCTTTTAGAAGAATCTGTGAATTTTCTGATCTGCAACAGTCATGACCCACAAAATTTGGATTGCTAACCACGTGAATTGTGATGTGCCGGACTGTTTGTTTTACTATATTGTGTTCATTTAATGAGATAAGGTCACTCTCAGTCACTGATAGATGTCTGTTTGCCATGTGTGATCCTGGCTATGATATGTTGTTTACTCTGTTTAAGACATTGACAGTGTCTGAAAGTACCACTCAAGCAGTGGGAACTGTTACACTTCTTGGAACTTTTTCTTAAAAGGTAGCAACACACACCGTATGAAAGCATAAGGACAGTTTACAATCAAATATGTTTTTTATTCAAACATTTAATTGTACATAGTTGTAATTCAATAAACTGAAAGGTAAACTGTAAACCACAATCTCATATATATATATTATATATAAAAACAGTAAAAATTAATTTGTATTAATATTTATACATAGACTGAAATTTTCTCTATCCCCCATGCCCCAGAGTAATCTAAATTCATATAGACTTCATTGCACCAATAACCAGTATACCAGGGAAGACTCTTGGTTCTATTAGCACTTAAATTAAAAAGTGTAGTGATATTTAGAAGGATGATCCTATGCAGGACACAGTAATCTGCTTTGGATGCCCAACACCACAATTAGGATCAGAACAATGCATTTATATTCAAGTGCCCCCCAACCATTACAAATAGTGTAACCAATGCCAAAAAAATACTTGTTTTACTAAAAGGACAAGATGTACTCTTAAACTCAAAAGAGCACTATCCAACTTCAGTTAAGCCAGTTGGCCAGTGCTCGGTTGAACATAAAGTGAAATGCAGGGGGTGAGGGCAGTGGCTACAAATAACTTTTACATAAACATTCACTAGCATATTTTTGAACATTCAACAAATATTGGTGTATGGAATTTGGGTGCTCAGCTCTATTAACATGTACAGACATTTGTAGATATTACATCTGTGTTAGGACCAAATGCATACTTCTCCATATTTAGAAACACTTCAGTTTCTACCATAAATGTTTTCCAAAAAGTTAGTCTATCATTTTTAAGTTAGCATTAGTTCTCATATAGCCCTGCGATGCACATTTTAAAAGTTTTATTCTGGGGTAACTTATTTCTGAACATTCAGCATAGAAACTAGTTATTTGCTGATAACTCCAGATTTACAATTTTGTTTAAAAAATAAAATATATGGACCAGCAACTTTTTGACTAATGCTCTTGACAAAAATGTCCACCTGAAATAATGGTTCAATTATTATACAGGGAATTGCAAAATGTAGAAAGGAACAGTCACTCAAAGCATGTAGGATGCTTTATTCACTAAGCCATTGCAACATTTCAGTTCCTCCAAACCTTGGTTTAGGGGAGCTGTTAAAGTACCTTAAACACACTTTGAGTGCCTGGTCCTTTCTTTAATAGACTGGTAGTGGTGCTTAGAACTGTTTTTTTGGTACTGGATGAGCACCAGATGTGGTGTATGCTACTTCACCTCTGTATTTACGGATCCTGCAAACTCCACTTTATATAAAGCTGTTTTTTTGCAATGCAGTTGAGTTGTAAATTAATCATAAGACTGTTTAATGATTAAACCCATTTTTGTTTAGGTATTTGAGGACTCTCATGGAGATACTCTACTACACTTGGCCCATGATATTTTGTGTAACTAACACTTCTAAACTAGGCATGTGAATGTATTGACATTCTACACGGAACTTCTTATCCAGTTGTGAAAAATAGTGCATTTTCGATTGCTACAATATTTATTCTACAGTATTAATAAGCACGAGAACCAAAGTAAAAATTACTTAATGGACGGTTTCATGTAACTATAAATCATACACTTTGATTAAATTGCAGATCTGTAATTAAAACCAATGGGCAGTAACTAAAAAAACCAAACAAAAAAAAACCCATATAGTATAACGGTATAGTACTGCAGCTTTTCCCATATCCTGAGTTCTACAGTGTTCTTGGCTGCTTTGCCATAACTCTTGGTTGATTGTTGTAAAGGGGCAGGATATTTTTGCTGTCACTATCACAACTTATGCTTGTGTACACCTGTTGTCACTGAGAAAGCCAATATGTAACATATAATCTGACTGGCTCTAATAGAATGGAAGAGATTGATGCCACCAAGTGCACTGATTTCCTGTTCCTTGACGTTAGAACTATGTCTCTTATTACTTGAATACAACATATTTATCAGGTAGAAGATGGGACCCACTGCCACTGGTATTCTTGCTCCTAACTACTCAAAACCATAGGCCCCCTGCATAGGATATAGCCGATAATGTAAATGCAGTTCTGCAATCAACTAGCTGTTCAAATTACAATGTACATAATCAGTTGAGCAGATGTTAGAAAACGTAGCTGTTTATTTGTAAAAAGACAAACCTAGATTTATATATATTTTTTTTAAACAAGAACATAAATAATCTTCATAGATGTAAAATGCCCTTTAGGTTTTACTTCCACCCCAGAGTTTACATTTCAGTTAAGACTAGTTTTGGTTATGGGAAAATGGAAGAATGACCCAACCTTTTGGATAAAGATTACAAAATTAAAAACCATTCTGATTATTGAGTTAACAGAGGGTCAACCCTGGAGTTTCAAGACATGGCATGAAACTGCCAAGGAAGAGCAGTACTCTCAAGCTCATCTAACTTTAAGGAAAAGCCTCATTAAATTCTATTATTTGTGCAGACAAGTTAATAATTTAATTTACAGTACATTCTACTGTAGAATTGTGTGGCACGGTTCACATTATAAATCAGATATACCGTTACAACTTGAGAGTTCATGTTAAGCACTATGAAACCTCTCTCCACAAGGGTTCACTTTATCTGAGGCCTTCTGATTCCTCTGTCTGAAAGCTTAATGCTTCCACGTCTTGGGATACCTCACTTGGGGTTCCGCTTTCAAGAGTTGTCGGTTGTGAAGGTAGTGCTTCAAATATAGGTTGTGATGGGGGTTGCATTTCTGGTGTAGAAAGAGATTCCATGGTTTCTACTTCCTCCAAGTGACTTATTGAGCTTGTCTCGCTCAGTGCATCAGAGTTTCTGGACAGCCTCTTAAACAACTTCTGACCTGTAAAAATAATTATTGTATGAAGAATGGCAATGGTCAAATAAACTCTCAAAATAAAGTGGCTTAGAGGAGAAAATTTTAATTTAAAATATTTAGCAAAATTATGCATATATATATATATATATATATATATATATATATATATATTTATTTGTAAGGCATTATTGGCTCCTTAGTGCAGAAATACATATAATAATTCTAGGTGTACCTGGATATCTTCTGGTCTGTCCAGAAGTTGGTGTTGCAGGTGGTGTCATTCCACTGCCCTGTGCTTTAGATGAATATGTCGGCTCTGTAGACTCCAGAGAACCTGTAGCATAAAATTCATTCAATGTGAAATTCACACTTTTAAACACCCAAAATGGTTAAGCACGCTGATGGCTCAAGTTATTTACTTCACGCTGCCAGTCTACCCAAATGCTCCCCCCATCAGTTCAGCATAAATTTCAAAGTTATGATCCTTGTCTACTGAGCTGTAACACTGCACACACTATCTTCGGCTGTTCTTAAAATAATCTTCAATTAACCCTTTTCGTTCTTCGCACGGCTTGCAGGATTCTCCCTTACTGCACCTACCCTCAAAAATGACTTACCTCACGGTCAGAATCTTCCCCCATTCCATAAATGTAAACATTCTCTGAAAAGTCACCTATTTGGCAAAGCCTACAGAACAAAAATCCAGCCTCATGTAATAATTTGCAATGTTCACAATATTGTGTCTTTGTGTGACTCATTTTAAATGTTGGATATTCCAGTAAATAGACCATGCTGACTCAAAAAACAAACCGCGTTTCTCACCTGCAGTCAGATTGAAAGTTCTGCCCTTTGGTGTGGCTTGGAATGGAGACAACCAGTTGAGCACTGACCCAACCAATGGGATCTGCCGTAGCACACCCTGGAAAATGAATAAATTATTATAAACACTTTAGCATTAAATTGTCAAATAGTACAAACTGCAGAGATTATTATTAAGTCACAAAAGAATGACAAGGCAATTTTTTTTACCTCTGACATGATTTCAGTCAAAGCTCGCAACTAAGGCAAGTGATCAGTTTAATTTCTACTTACAGTGATCATTCTGGGGCTTAATTACTAAATGCTAAATTGTAGAACGTTGATAGCCAAATTGTAAAATGTAGGTAAAGAGTGCTGATATGGTAACATTCGTCATCACTGCTATAAGTCACAGTTTGGCTATTTTAGTACAGTACAATTTAATGTTGGTGATGGACCTCTCTGACCGGATATTTAAGATTCTGCATAATCCTTACATGTGAGGTTAGCATGTCATTTACGGTTAGCTGACTGTTTTTGTGGTGATAAAGAAAAAAATAAAAACTAATGTAGAAAAGTAACCCACTAAGGACCAAGTCGTTTCTCTGATACTGTGCATTAGAAATCGAGGATTTTCTGACACTTCTTTTGGTGACATTCCACCATAATTTTCAGCTATCATGTTTATAAATGTTATCATTTATCATGCTATAAATCACATATAGGACTTGTTTCTCATACCCTATACATTGATTTAAAACCACCTGCCTAATATCATGTAAGCCCTTGTGCTGAAATAACAGTTTTGATGTATCAAGGGATGGACTCCACAAGGTCTCTGAACATGTCCTGTGATATCTGGCATCAAGACCTTAGCAGCAAATTCTTTAAGTCTTGCACGTTGTGAGAAGTGGCCTCCATGAATTGAATTGGTTGTTTCAGCACATCCCACAGATGCTCAATCAGATTGCCATCTGGGGAATTTGGAGGCCATGCAACATCTATGAACTCTTTGTCATGTTCCTCAAACCATTCCTGAAAAATATTGCAATGTGGCAGGTTGCATTATTCTGCCAAAAGAGGCCACTGGCATCAGGGAACACCATTACCATGAAGGGATGTACCTGCTGAAACTACAACTTTACTAATAACCACAATAACTGAAATTACTAAACAGAAGCATATATTTGTAGAAAACACACCCCTCCCAGGGTATTTAACTATGAGATCCATCCATCCACATATTTATGGTTGTTTTTACAAGTGGTTTCACAGTCTACATGTATCTCACTAATGTAAAGAACTCATTTATATTCTGCTACTGCCCTTGAGTACAATAATAACTCAGAATTGCCAGGTATTTTGAGGGCTTGTAGCGTGAAACAGCAGATATGCCCCAAGACTAATCTCATTTGAGCAGGGCCCTCTTTAACCTATTGTTCCTGTAAGTTTTTGTAATTGTCCCATTTACTGTTAAATCTCACCCTTTGATAATATTGTAAAGCGCTACGGAATATGCTGGCGCTATATAAATACCAGTAATAATAATAATAAATAATCCTAATATTAACCATAACCCTAAAACAGAGGGATACCCTTCAGCTGAATTTCCCACTGCTTGCACAGTGCAGAGCGCTCAGTACAAGATCATCGTAGCATCAGAGAATTTCCTCTCACACCGCAGATCTTCATGATGTCCCTGCTGATTATATTGATCGTTGCTGGGCGGCAAGTACATCCCAGCACTTATCAGTTTTTGCAGCGACACATGTAGAGAGACAATATATTGGTCTTTAAGACACCATGGGCCTCCCTCTCACAAGGATATCGGAACACAGTCATTCTGCCATATAAAGTAAAGAGCTGTGAGCAGCACTCCCAGCTTCTCAGTCCGTGGGATGCCACTAAATATGGCCCCATCGGACAATGAGAAGCCCAGGTAACGAGTAATACCTTCAGTCTCCCAGGTACCAGCAGGGATCTAATTGTACTGGGTACTTTTAAGACATATATTTTATGCTGTGCTAGGGCAGTAAAGCCCTGAACTGCATGGGATATCACATTATTATTATTTTCTTATTTATATAGTGCCAGCAAATTCCATAGCACTGTACAATAGGTGGACTAACAGACATGTAATTGTAACCAGACAAATGGACGCACAGAAACAGAGAGGTGGAGGGCTCTGTTCAATGAGCTTACATGCTAGAGGGAGTGGGGTATAGTGACACAAATGGTATAAGATGGGGTAATGAAATAGATTGCTAGAAAAGTATTCACTGATAACTTGGGTTATTTTTGACAGTTGCAGGAGAGGAGTCATGGGAGGGAGATGAAAACCCGCTAACAGTTTAAATGATATGCTTTCCTGAAGAAGTGTGTTTTCAAAGATTTTTTTGAACGAGTGGAGACTGGGTGAAAGTCTAACGGAGAAGGGAAGGGAGTTCCACAGAAAAGGTGCAGCCCTGAGATCCTTTAGGAAATAGGATATTTTGTTCAGTATGCAGATTTTTTTTCTGCTGAGGCACATCTCTCAATGTCACACTGTGTTAGTGTTTGAACGTTCAGATAGTGACACAGATAGTGTCACTGGGATACAAGTAAAGAGCCATGTCTATAGTGTGATCCTGTAACTTCCCTCAAACCTAAGGCATATATTGTAGTGATGTACTCAGAACTCCTAGCTGAAGACAGATATGGAGGGTGTCTAAATAATACAAAAATGAAATAAAATGTGAAAATTGCTTTCAAATATTAAAGGACCACTATAGTGCCAGGAAAACATACTTGTTTTCCTGGCACTATAGTGCCCTGAGGGTGCCCCCACCCTCAGGGACCCCCTCCTGCCCGGCTCTGGAAGGGGGAAAGGGGTAATAACTTACCTTTTTCCAGCGCTGGGCGGAGAGCTCTCCTCCTCCTCTCCGCCTCCGTTACGCCCGCCCTTGAATGCGCAGCAGCGGCAAGAGCTCGCGCGCATTCAGCCGGTCTCATAGGAAAGCATTTACAATGCTTTCCTATGGCTGGCGTGCTCTCACTGTGAATTTTCACAGTGAGAAGCACGCAAGCGCCTCTAGTGGCTGTCAATGAGACAGCCACTAGAGGATTAGGGGGAAGCTTAACCCATTCATAATTATAGCAGTTTCTCTGAAACTGCTATAATTATGAAAAAATGGGTTAACCCTAGAAGGACCTGGCACCCAGACCACTTCATTAAGCTGAAGTGGTCTGGGTGCCTAGAGTGGTCCTTTAACTTTTGATAAGTATATAGCCTCTTAATACTAAAACTACCCAAAGTTAAACAGCCTGGGGGCCTACTTTTGCGAATGGAATATCAAGATGGGGAGATCTGAATTTGGAGACTGTATTATTTATGAGTGTTTGTAATGTGATAGCATATATAAAAATGAACTGTGCATTGTGGAAAAATAAGGCCACTGATGGGACCTGGTGACATTATAATAAACCAAGAGAGCGTATTTAATGCACAGAAAAATATAGTATCTCCGGGTGCACATAAACGTGAATTGTAATGTGACGAATCTGTACAATGTAGTCTTACCTCCTGTAAAAGTCTTTCTTCATTAGCCTTTTGAAGTTGTTCCTCTGCTTCCAGAATGCCTTTTCGTACAACCTCTGTCATGTTCTCCAGCAACTTTAAAGAACAAAAACCGAACAAAATTATAGGATATTTAAAAAAACTGTTGAGAAAAGGTCAACTGTTTCATTCCAGCTTGGTTTGTAATGACAATGTTAGTGAGACTATACAGCACAATAATAAAAGAAATAGAAAAAAACAAAACAAGTGACAACGTAAAATAAGATTTTCATTTTAATTATGGCCATAAAATGACGGTTTGTTTTTATAGATTGTGTTTAGAGTATAAAGCCGTTGTGTTAAGCCGTTCTGTAAAGCAGACCTAGGACAGCAAGTCCATCTCGCATGTAAGCCCTTCTATTTATGTTATTCATCAATCACTAACATGGCCTGTCACCTGCTATACAGGTTTCAGAGTGCACTGTGTACTGAAGCTGAAGTAAATACAACGCAGAAGTTTAAGACGCCAGTGATGTCAGCAAGCAGTGTTGCAGGATTTTTCATAGCGGCCCATCTTTTTAATCTAAACTCACATCTCAACAAATCTCCAAGCAAGCAAAGCTGTACAGAGGTCAGAAGAAAAAGTTGGAAGGGGCTTGTACTTGGGAGAATGAGCTCATTTTTTTTCTTTACAATTTAAACTTCTTGACCATGAGACCCCTCCCACCGCACCCCAAAAACATTTACAATGATAGCTCAGCGCGGAGAACTTTTGGCTGCAAGGAGAGGTGCCAAGTGGACTCCAGATAAAAGAAAAAAATATATAAACTATGCTCAAATGGTAAGATAACTAGCATTTAAAATGTCTACAAAGCTTTTACAGCACGCTGTAGTGGTTATGGTGCGTGCAGTGTTCCTTTAACAATAAGCTGTCAACTAAAATATGGTTTAGGATTTTTTTTCTGGTTTATAATGAAAACATTTTGGCCTCCTAAATGAAATCCATTCTGACAAAAAAATGTCAATTACTGATAGGTTTTTCCATCTTCGAAAACTATTATCACCATTCTGGTACTTATAGTTCATGTTAAATGACCAGGGCTGGTTGCTTTTCTTTGTTAACATACAGACCAGTGGATTATGTTTCATTTATATAAATACCTTTGAATTTTCTTCAATATCTCTGCCCATTGCTGCAATGGTTTCAACAAGCTCTGAAATATCCACATCTTCGGATACCATTCCAATATATACACAATATTTCTCTGCCCCAAATTCGGGCCCTAAAGCAAAAAATACATTCAGATCATCATACCAACAAAGTAAATAAAAATCCTGTGAAAAAATGTTTTCCTGTGGTTGTGTGCTATGAAAAGTTTTTTTGTGTGTGCTGCATAGAGAGGCTGTTTTCACACCCGGTCACTGAATCTTGGGAACTTGCAAATACATTATTTAATATAACGATGAAATATTGACATATGTATTCAATTAAAGAGGACTCTTTACTGCCTTGTTCACAGTTTGGCTTAGTATTTGGGGATTGTTATTTTACACATTACATGGATGAACAAATCTAACTTTTAATCAGGACAGCTATGGAAATGTACATACTAGAGCCTATTTAAAAAAAAAAAAAAAAAAACACTTAAAAAAATAAATTCACTTTAACCTTATTAAAACGCGTGCCAAACTATGCTAGCCAGTATGGTGTTTCAGAGTCTGGAGGAACACATACATGCTTTTGAAAGGTTTCGTTTGTTAAATAGATTATACTCTTAATATTAAATGATGTCACTCACGTTTCAATTTTTTTTTTCCTTTACAAAATTCTTCAAAGCAATACTTTAATGACAAATGATTAATTAATATTATAGTATCGTCACAGCAATTACAGCTTTTGTAGTTTTAGTGTTCTGATTCTATGGGTACAAATGTCTTTCAATTGGTTTAACATAAAATAAATAAATAAATAAATAAAAATCCCCAGCTACCATTGTCCATCTATTTACTTTGCAAAGTCATAATGGAGGTATAGCACTCCTTTATTATCTGTGAAAGTTCTTGTCATGACCACACACTTCTTGCTCACCTTCTCTGAGTGCTTAATGTTCTATATACCCAGCTGGTCTTGGACTCCTGGCCTAATGAATTGAGATATCCCCTCCCCCACAGTGAAGCAGTGCATTTTCACACTGCTTTGGCTGTGCAATGGTCAAACAGATTATTATTTTTTGAATCAATACCTGTAGAAAAGGAAAGATCAGATTCCAGCTCATTTAGCTTCTTAAGGAGTGCAGCATTAATCTTCTCTTGTTCTGCTTCTCGCTTAGTTTCATCCACCTCCTCTGTGAAATGATCATATCTGGGAGGACAGGAGAAAAACAGTGGGGGGTGGGGGGAGTGGAACATATTATTCCAATTAGCATTAATAATTAATATAAATGTATCTATGCAATGTGCACAGAATCAATAACAGAGCGATTACACATTTTAAATAGTCTTTTTTACATTTCTTTGCGTTGTGTCTGTTCACAGGGATGGAGACTAATACCCTAGCTAACGACCTACAGTGACCAGATATTGGGTGGGTGAACTATGAGCATGTACTGGGGCTGTAGGATGAACGTAATGATCAGAGCCACAAGATCGTTTTTTTCCTAGCATACAGCGCCAGAAAATTGAAAGAGTCTTTTTAAGCCTTAAGTATGGTGAATCATAAAGGCAACCACATAACGCAATAAAATATAACAATGCAAAGGAGGGGAGGTTAGGAAATTAGCATTACCATCATATCCCAAAAAAGTTCAAACTGTTTTGTTACTAGGAACGTAGAACCAATAGATGGCGCTGTGACACAATGTGGCTGTGAATAATTGTGCTTTCATTACAGTGTTCAACCAAAAGATGGCGCTGTGCCATACAATATCCATGTGGATGGTTGTGGTTCCACCACAATATATTTCTGCCAAAACCAAATATATTATAAGTGCTTATGGATGGCATATACTTTAAAAAAAACAAAAAAAATAAAAATAAATCTAAAATACAAATGAAACCATTCATAGAACCGTCCATTTTCTTCTTTTTCTCCCATCAAGTTTTATATTGTCTGTGGCTATGCTGAATATATTTTTTTCCTTCCACATTTGCACAGAATAGCAGAAATTGTTGGCAATTTATTGTGTGTTCATGGCTTCTAAACATAGACTATATATTTTCACAATATGTAAACAGTCCCGCCCTACCATTTACCTTAAAACTCCGAGGCCGGCCCAGCTGTAGTCAACAATATATAAGAGGCCTGCTATCCTTTCAACTTCTAGCCTGAATTCCTCTCGGAGTTGTAATGTGTTTTGTATGATGGGAATCTTCACATTTATACACTGCACCAAGTGTTCAATGTCCTCAGCTGTGGTACCTAAAACTAGCGACATTTCATTATTGAAAGCATTGAAAAGAAAACCTCACCAGATATTACTACACAACATGACAAGACTATTTAGTATCAATCCACAAAAGAGATGCAAACACTGTACAAAAATATGTTGTTTGGGGGACTTCAGCTATATATAACTTTAGGAATTATTTATTCAGTTGCAAATCGTTCCTACATACAAACACACACTAATTTTGTTCTGTGAAACGGGTCCATTTAATTAAATAAACTATATTTGCCATTGTAATTGAGTATTCTGTGTTTAATGAAAATTAAAAGTTCAATTTTAAAGAAACGGGCAGACTTAGGGACATAGATTGAAAAGCCAACATCTCAGAAGAGCCAGGAAGAGCACAGATACTGTCCAAGGTTTTAATATGGTAATAGAATAAAATATGTAATTAATAGCATACAATACATAATTGAATAAAACATTCAAAACAACCTATAAACTGTGGTCGGTTTTTTTCCACACGCTGCTCTGTTGTCTTTGAAATGTATATTAAAGATTTAGTGACAAAACGATACAATTCAAACCAGGCACAGCGAGGGCACATAATGCAAATTAGGAGGAAAAAAATGGTTTCTGTGTTAACCAGTCTATACAGACTGGCAGGATCAAAGTGCAGAGCTTTAAACAATGACTGAGATTAGCCAATATGAGGTAAAGAGAGTTGTGATAATTTCTACATTTAACCCCTTAAGGACACACGACATGTGTGACATGTCATGATTCCCTTTTATTCCAGAAGTTTGGCCCTTAAGGGGTTAAAGGGACGCTCTGGCCACTATAACCACTGAGTCTCATTAAAAGAGGTTCTAGTGCCTGTGATTTTACAGCAAATATGCAACTTTCACAGAGATTTTTACATGCTTTTATCTCTATAATGCATATACATGTGTAGTTTTACAGTAGATTAGGGATGTAAAGTTGGTTGTTTTGGACCCTTCATGCAATAAGTTATCCAGAGCTCTGGTTGCCACTAACCTTTTTCACCCCTAGAATCTCTTTTCTCCACTAACCTCTTCGAACATAATAAACATAAAGAGAGATCCATAAGAGGTTAATACACTATTTGCTCTAGAAAGGTCACAATGACCTGGTGGCTCTCTGAATGCCTTTTCAGAAAGGCAGTTTACATGAAAACACATTAAAATGAAAAAGCAGTCTGACACGGGCAGCAGTCCTGCACTCACAGGAATCACAGCTAATCTGTGCACGAATGTAGACATGGCAGTTGACTGTAATTACAGAACATCTTAAACAAGATGCTTAAGATGACACCTGTAGAATGTAGAAGTTTTACTTTGCTATGGATGGATGTGTGTGTGTATATATATATATATATATATTTATTTTTTACTAAAACTATAAACCTAAAAAAATTTAAAAAACAATTGCTGAATATGTATGTTCTGATCAAATAATTTTCAAACACGGGTAGTACTTTAACTAGACACAAAGAATGCTTATTTTGACTGCACAGCTGTAATACCTTCGCAGTCTGTTAGCTTCTCAAGTCTTTCTGTGTCACTACTGTTGTGTTCTATTCCCATTCCCAGTATTCAGACATGTGTTCTACAAGGCTGCACCGAGCCTCTGTTTGCCTGACCTAAATTAACCACAAAATGGGGGAGATTTAACAAACTGCCATGTTCTGCAAAGATGTCAAATGGGCACATTCACCTATAGAATTCTCCTACTGGTTACACTGGTTTCCATGGTGATAGCTCCACTTCTAGTAGATTGTTTCATTTTAGCAGGGCACTCATAGGTCTCTCCCAATATGAATGGGATGAGCCAGCAATATTACATGCTTAATGCACGTATGCTATCCACATTATTATTGTAGAAGGATTCATCATATCAGAAATTGCCAGTTTCTTCTTTTAGAAATGAAACTGATCCATAACTTACCAGCTGATGTCATGAGAGGATTAAATCGGACACAAGTGCCTTCATCTTCTAATTCCACGATGTCCACTCCACAGGATGGAACATGTAGAGCCAGCTGGTCTCCTAACTGCAAAGAAAAGAGTCATCTGCTGTGATAAACGCTCCTTGCCCTGGACGTTTGCTACAAATTCATGGAAGAGTGTAGAAGCTGGCCCCCTGCCCACCGACTATGGGCCATAAACAAAGACCCTGTTTGGAAGCTGAATCTCCCCATCTGCCATTAGTAGCTTGCCCTGGGTGCCCCTGGTTCGGTACTTTCCCTCCATGCGAATGGAACCGAAAGTTGGCTCTCTGGCGGCCGTTTGCGTGAACCAAACCCTCGAATAATCCCAGTGGTACTTAGCCGCGACTGCTATGGAACTAATTTTGGCATGAGGACTTCGTAGGTTCCCGGTCACCTCAGCGGGACTTAGCCACGAATGTTATGGAACTGTTTTTGGCACGAGGTGACCGTGCGGTTCCCGAACAACTCGGTTCGCGGTTTTGAACCACTTTGAAATACGCCAGGAGAGGGCTTTTTGGAGCGAAGGTGCCTGAAAATAAGGGAAACAAATGCTACCTAAGAGCCAGCCAGAGCACCCTGTATTGCGGCCGCAGGAACTCCCAAAAGTTGACAGGCAAAAGCACCAAACGCCCTTGAACTGTTTTGGGCATAGGACCATATGTGCGGCCGGTGAGAATTTTGACACAGTGGCGTTTTCCCTACATTGCATGAATCTGAGCGCTATTTGGAGAACTTGGGCGGTCAAATAAGGGCTATTTAACTATGTAATTTTTGTGGGGTTATTATATATATTTTTATGTTGTTTTCGGGCATTTTTATGCTTAGTCATCCTGACTCAGAAATTAATGGGCATGTTGTGATGATGTGTATAAAAGCAGGCCATCTGGCCAGAATAAATTATTCCTGTTGTACCCTTCATCAAGTCTAGGCTGATGTTTTGATAGCTCAGAGATCATTGCTTCACTTGGAATTTGGGAGAACTACAGCGGATATACTCCATCGAAGTATAGGGGATCCGTTACATTAGCACTTTACAATATCCTGAGATGTCGTAAATAACACACAAGGTCTCCCTCCAACAAGGAGAATACTCTAAATTTATTAGGAGACAACCGGAAAGGAGAAGTGTGCAGGATACCAGTGGTCCTCCCCCCCTCAAGATGCTCTGACAGTCTAGAATTATGGCATTTACCAATGCTATTCTAACAGTAATCCTAAAAGACCTAGATTGTTCATGTGCCACAAGGACAAGGATGGGTGTAGAAATCTATGATAAAAATAGCTACTTCCAAGAAAATGCACATCGAAGTTGGCAAAATTAGATTGCGTAACTTTGGAGAGGACCAAGTAGAATAAAATAATGTTATATCTAAAGATGTAAGAGGGGAAGAATTGTTTAGATCAGCATTTCTTGACTCGTTGCATACACCTGTTTTTAAAGTATCTCTGTTACCCTGAAATGCCTGCTTGTGCTACAACAGCCAAGGGGGAAGCTGAAAGTAGATTTGCTTCTCCAAAGTTTTTCCTTGTAGACCTCCATCTCGGTTGCTGTGACTATATTCAGCAGCGCATTAATGTACAGGAAAGTAAAACACTGAAGTCTATAGAGGATTTCGTGAGACAGTGGCCTCTGTAGGTCAACTCATGGGATACACAAGAAGATGCGCGTTTCCCACAGCCATCACTCGTGATGGTTGTGGGAATCAACAAAACTAAATCGAGGAGGTTCAATCTTTTGTCACGTTTTCTCAACTTTTAAGCACCGTATATACTCGAGTATAAGTTGAGTTTTTCAGCACACTCGAGTCAATGTCTGTATTATGGCAGCTTGTAATGAGCCCGACGGTCCTGTTGGGGACTGGCAGAGAGCTGTAACTTACCTTTCCTGGCTAATCATGGCAGCATCACTTATGGGTAGCTCCTCCCTTAGCAGTCACAGGACAGGAATTAATTAGATTAATTAATCAGACTGATAGGTATAAGGAGTCCCTCCTCCCCCTACACCTCAGTCTTTTTTCCTGTCCTTAGCAAGTTCTACAGGACTTTTTTACATTTTGTTTTATGGCCACCTTCCTGCGTTTGTCGTGGGTTCGTTCCAAATGAAGTTCAGCCTCTCTTCATTTGAAGGACCCAGTAAACAGCCTGCATGAGCAGGACTAACTGGGTCAGGTTCAGTGTAAGTACTGAACTGCAGCGTGGGAAGTAAGTGTTTGAGGGAGACACTGTTTCTGTTTATTTGTGGGGTTGGTTAGCCTTAAAAATTCCCCCTGTTTTCAGCCTGCCCCTACTAATTGGGGTTATATATCCCCCCCCATACCTTGTTGGCAGTATTTGAATCCATGCTTAGGGGTCTTGTCCTTTAGGATCTGTTTCTTGCCTCTTGTTTGGTGCCTTCCCTGCTCCCTGGCTCTGTTCCAGCCTCTGATGGGTTAATGTGAGGCTGTGCAGGCTTCCCTGCTCCCTGGCTCTGTTCCAGCCTCTGATGGGTTAATGTGAGGCTGTGCAGGCTTCCCTGCTCCCTGGCTCTGTTCCAGCCTCTGATGGGTTAATGTGAGGCTGTGCAGGCTTCCCTGCTCCCTGGGGCTCCCTGTGTGCCCGGGCATTGGGGGCTGGAACGCATTATGCGTTCCAGCCGACTGTTTGTTGCTCGCAGCCGGTTCCGGCGAAACCGGAAGTAATTTGCATGCCGGTCGCGAGCGTTTGAAACGCATAGCGTGCGTTCCAGCGCTCTGCGCATGCGTGAACCGGGCAATCAGCTGTTCGCTGCCCGGACCTTTTTTAAAGCATCTAATACAGCTGCCTTGGTGCTATATCTGCTAGCCTTATGTTGGTTTACCCCTGGGAAAGCATTGGTGTCCAGTTTGTGCCCAGCTACTCCTATCTGCTGCCTGGCTGCATAGTGGATGTTCTGCTCTTTAAGGTAGGATTGCTGTTTTTACTACTTATTGGAAGTATTGCTTTGTCAGTTTGCCTATTTATCCCTTTGGGGAATTAGGTCTTGGATTTTCCTTTGGTTCTTCTTTATAGTATGGATTCTCCCTCTGCCTCTGCAAGATCCCTCTCTAGAAAACATAGGTGAGCCATTTCTTAATTTTATTGGGGGGGGTGTTGTTAAAAGAGTGCCATACTGAGCCTGTAATATATGTCATATATGGCTTCATTCCAGCCCCAGCATTCATTTGGATTCTCCAGCGAGAAAATCACGGGAAAATAAATGCATTAATTGTTCTTCGCCTGCTCCGAATAGAAGGAACCTTTGCAAGGAATGCTTGTTGGAAGTCGCTGATGCCCCCAGTAGGAGCTCTCCACAAGACGACCTTAAGCTCTGGATTTCTCAGGCTATTGCTGAGGGCTTTATGGCTACCACGGGATCTAGTGGTCCAAGTAAGAGACGCAGAGCGGAACCTCAGTCTTCCAGCTCTGATGAGGACCCTGATGTCTGGGAGGTATCAGATGAAGGTGAGGAGGAAGCTGAATATGCCTCCACGTCTCTTGACTCCAGGTCTATGGATAGACTTATTACCCTTCTCAGAGACACGCTTAGTCTCACTGAAGAAAGATCTGAATTGAAGGAGGCTGACAGGTTTTTTGAGGACCTATAGCCTAACAGACCTACTTTCCCGGTGCATGCGCCAATCAGGGATATGATCCTTCAGGAATGGAATAAGCCTGAAAAGAAGTCCACCTTAAAAAATAAGTTTGCGAGGGTTTATCCGTACTCTACAGTGGATTGCTGCCTGTGGAACTCAGTTCCTAAAATTGACGCTGCAGTGATCCATATGGCTAAGAAAACTACACTGCCTATTGACTCCATGGCATATCTCAGGGAGCCTATGGAGAAGCGTATGGATGGAGACCTGATTAAAGACTACTTGGCCCTAGGGTCCGCCCTTCATCCGGCAGTGGCACTGACGACTCTCTCCAGAGCCTTGAAAGTGTGGCTCGCTAATCTGAAGGACGACATTGATCAGGGTGTCCGTAGGGAACATCTGTTGGAAAGCTTCAAGGACTTTAGTCTAGCCACGGAATTCTGTTCAGAGGCCTCCCTGGACATCACTCGCATGATTGCCAAAAGCATGGCCCTGTCTGTGGCTTCTAGAAGGGCCTTGTGGCTTCATTCGTGGGGTGCTGACTATGCTTCTAAGGCTTCCCTGTGTGCACTTCCGTTCCGAGGGGATCTCCTTTTTGGGAAGATTCTGGAAGATGCTATTCAAAAAGCTGCTGATGGGAAAAAGGCGTTTACCTCAAGCTGGCAGGAAGAGTTTTTCCCTCCTCCTGGAAGACCAAGCGCTTCAAGGATCGGTCCTTTCGGGACAGCAGGAGCTATAAACCAGGAAGGGAGTTTTCCAGGAATTCTTCATGGAAATCCTATTCGCACTCATCTTCCAATAAGGCTTCCAGAGGAAGGGGTGCTAGAACCTCAGGGAAGACCTTCTGAAGGTCCCCAGGCCGAAGTTCTTCTACCCCATATGGGCCAGCAATATTTCAGACCTATGGGTCACTTCCATCGTAAAAGAAGGTTGCAGAATAGAATTCTCATCTTACCCGAAAACTGCATTCTTCAGAAGATCAAAGGTGCCGGTAGGCATCAAACGAAGGGCCATGAGGTCCTGCATTTCTGTACTCCTGGAACAAAAAGTGGTGAAGAAGTTCCAAAACAGGAATGGTTCCAGGGAATTTACTCCACGGTCTTCTTGGCCCCAAAACCACAGGGAAAGTGGCGTCTCATCTTGAATTTGAAAGGCGTGAACTCCTTGCTCGACGTAAGGACGTTCAAAATGGAATCCTTGAGGACCATCTTGAAGTGTGTCAAAAAAGGAGACTGGATGACCTCAATAGACTTAAGGGACGCCTACTATCAATCTTGGGTCCATCTCAAGGAATTGTAGCTCAACATACGTCGGTGGCAATGTCCATTCTTCAAGACCATGGTTGGCTCCTGAACGTGGGAAAGAGCTCCCTCGTTCCTGCACAAACTATCGTTTTCCTGGGTACGGTAGTGAATACCGTGTCTGCACATGTGTTCCTGTCTCCAGAAAGGGTCACGAAGATCAGAGACAAAGTAAGGAAGCTGCAAGTTCTCGAAACTGCACCTGCAAGAGAAGTCATGAGTCTCCTGGGTTCCTTGACTTCAACAATAGGCTTGGTGAAGTGGGCCCAGTGGAAGTTCCGTCCGGCCCAGAACTGCTTCCTTCCCCAGTTCAACAGAGTGGAAGCGGATTGGGAACAGATGATATCTCTTCCCCTTCCCGTAAGGAAGGCTTAAACTGGTGGAAGAGCGAGAGGAATTTGACAACAGGCTTCCCGTTGGAAGACCCCCCTTGGAAGGTTATTACAACAGATGCCAGTTCTTTTGGATGGGGTGCCCACTTCAGTCCTGTATGGACTCAAGGGAACTGGACCCGAGAAGAGAGTCACCTACACTCAAACTTAAGGGAACTGAGAGCGGTTTACAAGGCCATTTTGAGATTCCTGCCGAGGCTACGGAATTCTTGGGTTCTAATCAAAACAGACAACCGAGCGGTGGCCTCATATGTGAACAACCAAGGTGGCACGAGGAGCAGGTTGCTCCTGGAAGAGCTGGCTCCCTTAATGGCTATAGCCATGACCTATCTTCAAGGCCTGAAGGCGATTTATCTCCCAGGTTCGGAGAACGTAACGGCAGACTTCCTCAGCAGAAGGAAATTCTTCCGGGAGAATGGCAACTTCACCCGGCGATCTTTGCAGAAATTGCTCATCGGTGGGGCATGCCCCAGATCGACCTGATGGCATCATCTCAGAATCACCAGGTGGAGAATTACTTCTCTCTCCATCCGGACTGTCAGGCACTGGGCCAGGATGCTCTCTCTCTGCCTTGGTCGTTCGATCTGGGGTATGTTTTCCCTCCCCTACCCATGATACCCAGGTTCCTGCGGAAGGTTTGGTTGGAAGGCAAGAAAGTCATTGCCGTAATTCCAATTTGGCCTCGGAGGCCGTGGTTTCCCCTATTGGCCATGATGAGCCAGGAACAACCTTGGCCTCTTCCAGTGATGGAGGATCTGCTATCGCAAGGCCCTGTATTCCATCCTCATCCGGAATGCCTCAAAATGGGGGTATGGGTCTTGAGAAAGAAAGACTCCAATTACTAGGTCTCGCGGAGGCGGTGATCATTACCCTTCTGCTCTCCAGAAAGGCTTCTACTTCTTCATGCTGGCATAGGATCTGGGATGTGTTCCAAACTTGGGCATCGTCTCATAATGTGGACTTTCGGCATCCTAGCAATACTGAAGTTTGGAGTTTCTGCAAGAGGGCCTGGACAAGGGCCTTAGCCTCAGCACCTTGAAGGTTCAGTCTTCGGCACTTTCAGCTTTGTGCAACATCTCATGGGCTTCGGATCCTTTGATTTCCAGGTTCTTCAAAGCGGCCTTCAGGTTGAGGCCTCCTTCCAGATCTACTACCCCTCCTTGGGACCTTCCTATGGTGCTCAATTATCTCACTGAGGATCTGTTTGTTCCTCTTGAAAGTTTGGATGCTACTCTCCTGACGTATAAAACTTTTACTTCCGCAAGAAGGATTTCAGAAATTAAGGCATTTTCTACATCTTCTTCTTGTTTACGATTCTACCGAGATAGGGTTTGTCTGAAACCAAAACCAGAGTTTCTTCCTAAGGTAGTTTCTCAGTTTCACCTCTCTCAAGAAGTGGTTCTTCCATCATTTTACCCCAACCCCTCTTCTCAGGAGGAGGTTAGATGGCAACGTTTGGATGTCATGAACTGCTTGTCTGCATATCTTAAACGCTCTGAGTCTTTCCGTAAAACGGACCAACTCTTCGTTTTGCCGTTGGGAGCAAGGAGAGGTGAGGCGGCTTCTTTATCTACGTTGAAACGTTGGATTTCTCTGATAATTAAGAAGGCGTATATCTCTAAAGGTATATCACCACCTCGGGAGATAAGAACTCATTCTACTAGAGCATTATCAACTTCATGGGCTAGCTGTGCAGAGGTTCCATACGATGATATTTGCAGAGCAGCCACCTGGTCTTCTCCGATGACATTCATGAAGCACTACAAACTTGATGTGCAGTCTCCTTCCACCTCCTTTGGACAGAGTGTCCTGTCTACGGTCTCTTATCCCGTTGATATTAAACTTTTCTTTGCTGCATGTGTTTCAGTTTTGTGTAATTTCTTGGATTATTATTCCCACCCTATTTTTCTGTGAAGCTTGGGTATTACCCATAAGTGATGCTGCCATGATTAGCCAGGAATAGAGAAAATTTATGACAAACTTACCGTAATTTTCTTTTCCTGGCTATTTCTCATGGCAGCATCAGGGTTCCCGCCCATTCTTTATTTCAGCTTTATAATTGGACTGAGGTGTAGGGGGAGGAGGGACTCCTTATACCTATCAGTCTGATTAATTAATCTAATTAATTCCTGTCCTGTGACTGCTAAGGGAGGAGCTACCCATAAGTGATGCTGCCATGAGAAATAGCCAGGAAAAGAAAATTACGGTAAGTTTGTCATAAATTTTCTCTATTCCTGCAGCTCCTTTCTCCTCCGGTCTGGTCAGCTCCCCTGCAAGTCTCGCGGGGTCAGAGCGTTGCCACAGGTTACCGTGGCAACGCTCCGCGCGGCACTCAGACCGCGAGACTTGCAGAGGCAGCTGACAGGGGAGTTTACCGGACCGGAGGAGAAGGGAGATTACAAGAGCTGCAGGAAAGGTAAGTTACAGCTCTCTGCCAGCCCCCCTCCTGCACAGCCCATCCACTGGCCCACCAGGGAATGAGAGCCCCACCCCCCAGCCATGTATCAAGCAGGGAGGGGGGACGAATAAAAATATTTTTTTTTTTAAATAATATTAAAAAATGTATAATAAAAATAATATAAAAAAAATATTAAAATAATTTAAAAAAACAAGGCTCTACATCACATACACAAAAACACTCTGCATCACACACACACTGTATTCATTATATATACACATACTGTAAATAAATATTTAATTAATATAATTTTTGGGGGATATAATTTTATTTAGAAATTTACCAGTAGCTGCTGCATTTCCCATCCTAGTCTTATACTCGAGTCAATAAGTTTTCCCAGTTATTGAGGGTAAAATTAGGGGTCTCGACTTATATTCAGGTCGACATATGCTCGAGTATATACGGTATAACCCCACACATTTCTTTGTCACCATATCTGGTTCTGTGTCCCATAGATCCAGCCTCTTTAATTTTTTTTTGCCAGGATGGGGGCAATATTCTCAGGTGTTGCTTTACAATGCAATAAAGACTTACCCACTGGTTCATAGCATCGGCTTCTCTTTCTATAATGCTCAAATTCAGAGTGGAATCTAGAAATAACAAAATGCAGTTTTATACGTATTTGGTTGTAACAAGCAAAGTAGAGTTCAATGTGTGGTACTCAAAGTGATGCATTACTTTACACAATTCCAATACATAGTGTTCATTTTAGCATCTAAGGCATTTCAACACACAGGGTTTGCTTGAACAGTCAATAAAGAACTATTTTACAGAATCTTTGCCAAGTTGTATCTGATTTTCTCCACTAATTCCTTCACTCTGATTTGTTGTGAGATGAATGTCAGTATAAGACAACATGCTTGCATCATGCCAGTGGCACTCATTTTAACTTCTACCATATTAGGCCAGTTGCACAATTAGCATATTGTGGATATTGTGAGTGTGTGGGGCATGGATCAGGAGATTGAAGGAGAGAGAGGTCATGTAGGTGTTTAAGGCTACATGACCTCCAGTCTAACTAAATGGGTGACATCACACATCAGTTCTACAAGCAGATTGAGCACGTGTGAGGTCTCTACTCTCACAGTGTCATTAAATAAAAACAAAAAATGCAGCTTGTAGCAGACACAGCAGAAACAGTAATCCATCCAAACATTGTTATTCAACCAATAGTCTGTACTGCAGAGAAAGGAGAGCAGGAGACTGTAATCATCAGAGAGACTGATGCACCTCCGTTTTTCCTAGCAAAATAAGTTCTGTCCTAAAGCCATATATATTTATTATAATAATAATAATACAATTTACAAGAAATGATCTGCCCACTGACAATACACAAAATATATTTTTTTAGAAATAAATTTACAGCAATTATCTGGTAAGGAATGCCAGAAGTAACCCTCTGGTCAAGTCAAAACCGCTTAGCATCTGCTTTAGTTCAGTGATGGAGCATCAGTTTAAATAAAAATGGTAATACAAGATACAGCAATACTCCAGTCAGGGCCAGATTAACATAGGGGCTGATGGAGCTGCAGCTCCAGGCCTATGTCCATGGAATAGGCCCGGTGCTAAAAAAAATAAAAAAATAAAAAAAAAATATTAATTGACTGGTCTTCTCATGCTCTTGCTTAAGTATGGAAACTCAAGAAGGATGTAGGGGAACAAACCTGGTGTGGACTGGCTGACAAATTAGTTACGGTAAAGCTGACTTTACGCAAATGCTCTTGCTGCTTCAGTTTCTCTAACACTGTGTCACGTTCCCTTTCTTCTACACTCACTACCTACACCTTTTTTCCGGTTATGTGATTCGCATCAGTGGCCCATCCTTTTATCCCACCCACTGATGTCCTGCTTCACTGGACATTGCTGTTAGGAGGTATGGATTTACTTGAGAGATAAAAGCAAGAGATTAGCATAGGGTATGTTTTTTCTTATTGCTATATCCTGCGAGTTTTCCTTCAGCACCACCTCCACCAGATACATGACACTGTTTTAGTGTTTTCTGTCGATAAGTTTCTGTAATTAGGCCCATCATATTTGTCAGCACCAGGCCCAGTAAATTTTTAATCTGTCCCTGACTATTATTTTGCATTAACATCATTATCATTCAGAAAGTGCCGATAGCTCTTGCCTGTAGATTAACTCTTACAAATCTATTTGGCATATTCAGAGTGCCATGTTTACAGTCTAATGTTTACAGAAGATGTGGTAGGCCATGAACAATTCCATTGCTTTTACCGAATTTTCTAGAAAAAGTTAATTACCTCATGCCATAGACAGCATTACTATAGCTGCTCTTCGATAATAATCGCCACAATTATTTTCCAATATTGAGTTTTCAGTGCGTTTATCCTCCTAAATAAATGTGGCTTTTTTGTAATATCAAAATGTTTCAAACCTGATTTTGATCCCTCGTAATTGTATTTGAAAACGACCACTGGAGAGCTGTCCTCATTTTCAACCTGACGGAAAAAAGGAAGAGGAAAAAAACAAAATAAAAAAAAACTATAAATGTATTTTTTTATCTTTATATACAGAACCGTTTAGTTCTTTTGTAACAGTGTGTTTCCTTTCCTCCACTAAATAACATTTACGTTCTTTCTGTGCCTTTCAGTCAGTTAACCCTTAGGGCTCATCAGTCTGCTATTGCCTTCAACTGTGCCTAAGTCTACCACTTTTCCCCATGCATGATAATTTACTGTTACTTGTGAGAGAAATGCTAAGAGTTAGCATGGATGAAATTCAAGGATAATTAAGTGGTTTTGAAGTTAAATCACTAAGATTATATAGTCCTAGCCACACCTCCCCTGGCTGTGACACACACGGCCCTCCCATGGAATAAAAGTATTATTTCAATCAGATCTTACATCACAGTGTGTTTACTGTAGAAGTCATCTCCTGCTCTGTTAATTGAACTTATACACAGGACGTAGCTGTATTGTCTAGAAGGCAAATAACACAGAAGGAAATAACATGTTCTAAATGAAACAACATGCAATAAAGGATTTTAACTTTCTTTCAAGAACTGTGTAGGAAGTAACATGCAGCGGAGATGTGGCTAGTTCTCCAGTGATTTAAAAGTGATTTAAAGACTAAATGGCAGTTATTTGTGAGACAGCAGGGGCATAATTTATACATCAAAACTGCTTCATTGAACTAGAAGCTTTTTGGTGCTTTGAGTGCCCCTTTAATGTACCACTGCCAGATCTACATTTTAATGTCTGAGTACATGAATAGCGCCTGTGTTATACTCAAAAACAATATCTCTTTCACAGTACGAAACAACTGTACATTTCCAACAAGCATGCGGTTGTAACATTAGCCTCTCAGTTGTCTAACTCGCTGAAACAAAATCCTGGTGGAGAAATTACCCTGAACAAATGTGCTCCTTCTAGACAACCGCTAGAAAATGTTAAATAATGTATACTTTACCGATGTTTTAATATAGCTCAGGTTCTTTAAATGCTCGAGCAGTTTTTGACTCTGTGAATAAAACAAAATTAAAATCGAGTAAATTTGAGAAGCAAAGCCAGAATTATTATTATTATTTTTTTTTTTTTTAAATCAAACCCTAATATGTAGTGAGCATCTATTAATGATAGCAAGTTTGAACAAAAGTAATAAATCCATTCCTATTTACCTTAGTAGAGATATACATTAGTGTGACTTCATACATATACATACATATATATATATATATTTTTTTTTTTTTTAGTAGCACAGATTGCTTTATCCTCCCACCACCAAGACAAATTGATTAAGTAAAATAGCTCATTAGTTTGATTGTAAGATATGCTTCTCACTATATGTCCTTTGCTAATGCCGATCAATAAGTCACTAGTTCACCTGTGGGCGTTTTGAATCACACTAAACATCAGCCAATGAGTTCCCATAGTGACCAATTTATTTCCCTTTTAAAAGTAACCTTCACACAAAGTCACCGCTAAGAGCATCAACCAGGAGAATGTCATTGCCATTTAACTGTGAATCCTTCAATGTAGCTGTAACAAACAAGTATCTTTACATCCTAATAACATAGGTCTCAATGTATTTTATAGAATGAACAGAAAACAGCACTAGCCAAGCAGAATAAAGCAACAGCATATCCCTTGTAAAAATTAAAAAAAATATTTAATTTAAAAAGAAGTAATTTTTATTTGCAAGCCCACATGTTGGAACAGGCACTCTCTAAGTAGCAGTGAGATAGATGTACATCACACACTGCGGCAAAACTGAATAGTTTCGTTTTTTTGATGGAGAGTGGTGAAAGGATTATGCAAAATACTTTTCTGTTTGTGTTGTATAATGACAGATTATGTCCCCAATTTAATATTTTTGGATAGGCTTTCCAATTTTTTTTTTATTATTTTTGGATAAACTTTTAAAATAATTTAATATTATGAAAAATGTTTAAATGTCGTAATATTGTAATATTTGTGGGTATACGGATCTATTTTTTTTTAATTGCGCGATATATTTTTTGATATTTTAAGATTTTGTGAAAAATCATTGTAAAAGTTTATTCAAAAATATTAAATTGAGGCCTATGTTAGATTCACTTTTTGGGACAAGCAAAAAACACACCGTGACTCCAACTTGTTTCCCACTTTTTAGAAAACAAAAGTTAGGGCTCTTCTTTATACATTTTATTTTATTTGTATGTATTAACCACTAGTCGCCAATCTTTTTGACTGCATATTGCTTACTTTACTCTTGTTTACATTTAAGATCATTTCATAAAGCTCAATAATAAACAGTGTAAGCACACAGTATTTATTTTACTGCTAGACCCATGAAATTAATCCATGTTATATTTGCCTGTTAAGCCGGTATTAACATTAACCCAATGCAAATATGAAGTTCCGTGATAACATACCAGTTGAGATGCATGTTTTATTCGCTCAATGATCCCGTTGTGGCCGAGATACTGCAGAGACAACCACAGGGGAAGTGCTCGGAGCTTCTCAACAGGCTGGCTAGATGTTAGGCCTGCAGCAAGTGACTGAAATAATGGAAATACAATGCATCACTTACTTGCTAAACAAGTACAATATATACAAAATTGCCAATGAAACAAGGTAACGTATCAGCCATAGGGAATCCTCAATACATAGTGCACTAACACGCACTACTGACATGTACGGTTTTGAATAGGTAAAATACAGATTTTATCATTTTGCTGCTATGAAAATAAAAGTGATGTCCAGGATGGAGTTTGAGATCTCACTCGTTTTGCAACATGACATGGATCTTATCCATTAAAACACATGCATACTTTAAATCAATAACATAATCAAATGTGAAAGATGACCATGTGCCGTAATGCCCGTGGTCAGCAGGTACCAGCAAGTGTCAGATCTTTCTCAAGCAGTCTTTGTTTTGGTAATCAGAATTTGTGGAAGTACAGCTTTTATCAGCGTTTTATTCATAAGGAAATTGAATGAAACGTCTTGGTAAATAGTAGCCATACTATTTGCTTGATTTTAACTACACGCATCCACTTATTCCATTAATAAAGGCATTCACAAACCACTTGAGAGAGGTACTCATACAGACAATCTAATAAATAGTTATGAGTGAGCCTGTGTGACTCATGGCAGAGCATGTAAAAACACTGATCTTGTATGGTTAGAGGATTCTTTACACATTTCTCATATTACACTACAGAGTAAGGGGAGTGGACACATCGAACAAGATAAAGGGATATGAGGAGGCAGGGAGCTCAATGGAGCAGAACTAGGCGAGGAGTATCCGTGACTTTAAATGGTCATGGTGCATGCAGTGTCCTATTACATTTAACCAAGATAAATAATCTAATGATATAGAGGTTTACAGGTCATTCAGCACAGTTCTAGCAATCAATTGTATTGATCTCACCCAAGTAATAAAAAGACTGGCATCTCCAGTTACGTTCCTTACTTACTAAACCTGTACAGAGTAAATTAACCCAAACTGTATTATTTTTGGCTTATTTCGTGTGAAATGTGAGTTTGGTTCACTATTCTGACACTGCGAATGCAGAAAAAGAGCTGAAACAATATCTATTATAAAGCTTCCTCGTCTATCAACTTCAATAGGTGTCAGGACATGAATGACGCCTGGAAGTGTGTTCCTAAGCAGTGTTATGAAGTTGAATTACACAAGTCTCCACTCCTCTACACTCCCAGGTCTCTCTCTCTCTCTCCATTAGTTCCCTCCTACTTACCTAGACTGACTACAGTGTATATTGAATGGAACAAACAGCCTGGAACAAGTGACTTTACTCTAAGTAGGCACAGACCATTCCAAATGTTCCCCATAGACTCATCTTCCTAAATGAGTTAATTCTGCAAAGGCTATGAAATTATATCCCCCGGCAGCTTTCAAATTGATTATTAAGTCATGGATTGCAGGGAAGAAAGTTGCCTGTGCCAACCAGATAGAGAGCAAGCATGCCAGCCCAAGAGTGCCCCAAATTGGCATAGTGAGTGCTGTAGCACTACACAAAGAATTAGCATCATATCTTCTACTTTATCTTGGACATAAATATATATCTGTACTGGTAGTTCAGCATATAAACAAAAAAGGATTCATAATAGTCCTATCCAAATGTTAAAATAAACACATATTTATATCAGGGACATATTAGCCGCAAGGCAAACAAGGCATTTGCCTTGGGTGGCACTTTCCAGGGGGCGGCAAAACAAAAGCCACCCCAAATGCCCAGGGAAAATGTCTTGTTAGCCTAGCGGCTAACTAAAAATCCGGTCGGGCGGTGCTGGCGAGGGTGCACTTTCCCCTGAGCGCTCTGCTCAGTTGCCTCGCGCGCTGCAGAGTGATGCCGGGAGCCGGAATATGACGTCATATTCCGGCTCCCAGCATCACCCTGCGGCGCACGAGGGAGCTGAGCAGAGACAGCTCACTAATCAGTGCTCCCTTGCCAGCGCCGCCCGCCTGCCCCAGTGGACCCCAGGGAAAGGGAGAACCCCCTCCCAGTATTCCCAAAGGTAAGTAAGTGTGTTAATGTGTGTGTGTGTCTGTGTTAGTTTGTGTCTGTCAGGGAGTGTGTAACTATGTGTGTGTTTGTTAGTTAGATGTATGTGTGTCTGCTAGTGACTGTGTGTGTCTGCTAGTGACTGTGTGTGTCTGTTAGTGAGTGTGTATGTCTGTTAGTGAGTGTGTATGTCTGTTAGTGAGTGTGTATGTGTGTGTATTTAGAAGGCGGGGTTGGCGGGGGCGCCCGAGTTTGGTCATACCTAGGGCAGAACAAAACCAGGATACAACGCTGATATATATATATATATAAATAAATAAAATAGAGGAGGGCATTTGAATGGCACATCTTAAATTGAGAGAGACTTTCTATGTTATTAAATTGTGTCTGAAACATATAGTGCAAAAAACTTACCAGGGATGGATCTTCATGTCGGTACAAAGTCACAGCAGGGACTGCAGGGAGTCCTAACCATGGCCCAAGAGTCAGAGTCATACTGTCACACTTTGTTGCCGCCTGGTACACAAACAGAATTTGAATGCATGAAAAGGAATACAAAATACATTGTATACTGTACAGAATTCTTAGAGTACTCTTAGAGTGGAATCATGTAATAATGGAACATCATATAGTGTATATTTGTAGCTTTTATGATTGCGAAAGAGATTACTCAAACAAATGATCAGTTCTGTTTATTGTACTAATGATTTAATGTGGACACTGCTCGCATGCAGTACATTTAGTTCAAAAGGAGGAATAGTAAGTGTGCTAACATCAACCTTCTTTATACTTGGTGAAATAGGGCAACACTGAAAATGTCAGAGCTCTTTTAAAACAAATGTTTTGATCTATACTTTGTGCTAGTCAGATTTTTAAAGACACTTTGTGATATAAAATAGGAAAAATTTCGGTAATATTATAACCTATTAGCCATCACCCATGTCCCAAATCAAAACCCAACAGTGTTACGCTTGAAATAAAAAAATTAAAAAAATAGAACTAATATATTCTAAAACATGCATTTCCTGGACACGTTGTTTGCAGTAAATCGCACACCTTGAGATAACACAGCTATACAAGCAATAAAAACACTGAGCCTACTGCAAAGCAACTCTTAATGCTATGAATCAATAATATAAGGACTTGCTAAGTAATATACCTATATACACATGCATACACACACACACACAAACATATATGGTTACATACATATACCTATTTCATGAGCAAACAGGGCAGCATTTACATATTACTTATTTAAGGGTTAGCTCTTCCCATTAGAAAGGACAGGAAATAGAACTCGGTTTAGTATGCTTTTCCATGTCAGATAAGTACATTAGTAATTTAGATTAAAGGCTATAAGTACCTGGGTTTCTATTCATTCAGTTCCTCCAAGTTGCTTACATTCTAACAAATAGGTCACATTTAGGAGGTTTGTGGTGAGCATTAATGTAAGTTTATATATTTAATGATGCATTTTACAAAATAATGCTGCTAATGGATACCCTGGCTATATAAAGTCTGTCTGAATACCACAGTCCTGATAACAGAGAATAAGCCAATACATACAGTAAGAGAAGGCTTTCCGAGGTGACTTATTGAACACATTTGTATATTTGTTTAAACGTCCATGCAGATACTTCCTAACACGGCATGTGGAATTGATTGCAGTTACCTGTGCAGTTCAGTAGATAAGCAAACTTCTTTCAGAGAGTGCAAGATAATATATTGTTTGTATCTTCTTGCTTATCTAAATCAGCATATGAGACCAAGTTAGCCTCTCTGTAAGCGAGCTGGTGTGAAGACAGTCTATGTACTTGTGTCCATTATATGCCCAAGTTACTGTGAAGAAACTGCATCAGTAACTCATACATATAGCATATAGTGGAAACATACAGTGAGGCAGTTTCTTCACAGTAACTCATACATATAACATGTAGTGGAAACATATACCGAGGCGGTATCTTTACAGTAACTCATACATATAACATATAGTGGAAACATACACTGAGGCGGTATCTTTACAGTAACTCGTACATATAACATATAGTGGGAACATACACTGAGGCAGTTTCTTCACAGTAACTCATACATATAACATAGTGGAAACATATACTGAGGCAGTTTCTTTACGGTAACTCATACATATAGCATATAGTGGGAACATACACTGAGGCGGTATCTTTACAGTAACTCGTACATATAACATATAGTGAGAACATACACTGAGGCAGTTTCTTTACGGTAACTCATACATATAGCATATAGTGGGAACATATACTGAGGCAGTTTCTTTACAGTAACTCATACATATAACATATAGTGGGAACATACACTGAGGCAGTTTCTTCACAGTAACTCATACATATAACATATAGTGGAAACATATAGTGAGGCAGTTTCATTACAGTAACTCATACATATAACATATAGTGGAAACATATACCGAGGCGGTATCTTCACAGTAACTCATACATATAACATATAGTGGAAACATATACTGAGGCGGTATCTTCACAGTAACTCATACATATAGCATATAGTGGGAACATACACTGAGGCAGTTTCATTACAGTAACTCATACATATAACATATAGTGGAAACATATAGTGAGGCGGTATCTTCACAGTAACTCATACATATAGCATATAGTGGAAACATATAGTGAGGCAGTTTCTTTACAGTAACTCATACATATAGCATATAGTGGAAACATATAGTGAGGCGGTATCTTCACAGTAACTCATACATATAACATGTAGTGGAAACATATAGTGAGGCGGTATCTTCACAGTAACTCGTACATATAACATATAGTGGAAACATATACTGAGGCAGTTTCTTTACAGTAACTCATACATATAACATATAGTGGGAACATACACTGAGGCAGTTTCATTACAGTAACTCATACATATAACATATAGTGGAAACATATAGTGAGGCGGTATCTTCACAGTAACTCATACATATAACATGTAGTGGAAACATATAGTGAGGCGGTATCTTCACAGTAACTCATACATATAACATATAGTGGAAACATATACTGAGGCAGTTTCTTAACAGTAACTCGTACATATAACATATAGTGGGAACATATACTGAGGCAGTTTCTTTACAGTAACTCATACATATAACATATAGTGGGAACATATACTGAGGCAGTTTCTTCACAGTAACTCATACATATAACATATAGTGGGAACATATACTGAGGCAGTTTCTTCACAGTAACTCATACATATAACATATAGTGGGAACATATACCAAGGCACTTTCTTCACAGTAACTCATACATATAACATATAGTGGGAACATATACTGAGGAAGTTTCTTCACAGTAACTCATACATATAACATATAGTGGGAACATACACTGAGGCAGTTTCTTTACAGTAACTCATACATATAACATATAGTGGGAACATATACTGAGGCAGTTTCTTTACAGTAACTCATACATATAACATATAGTGGGAACATACACTGAGGCGGTATCTTTACAGTAACTCGTACATATAACATATAGTGAGAACATACACTGAGGCAGTTTCTTTACGGTAACTCATACATATAGCATATAGTGGGAACATATACTGAGGCAGTTTCTTTACAGTAACTCATACATATAACATATAGTGGGAACATACACTGAGGCAGTTTCTTCACAGTAACTCATACATATAACATATAGTGGAAACATATAGTGAGGCAGTTTCATTACAGTAACTCATACATATAACATATAGTGGAAACATATACCGAGGCGGTATCTTCACAGTAACTCATACATATAACATATAGTGGAAACATATACTGAGGCGGTATCTTCACAGTAACTCATACATATAGCATATAGTGGGAACATACACTGAGGCAGTTTCATTACAGTAACTCATACATATAACATATAGTGGAAACATATAGTGAGGCGGTATCTTCACAGTAACTCATACATATAGCATATAGTGGAAACATATAGTGAGGCAGTTTCTTTACAGTAACTCATACATATAGCATATAGTGGAAACATATAGTGAGGCGGTATCTTCACAGTAACTCATACATATAACATGTAGTGGAAACATATAGTGAGGCGGTATCTTCACAGTAACTCGTACATATAACATATAGTGGAAACATATACTGAGGCAGTTTCTTTACAGTAACTCATACATATAACATATAGTGGGAACATACACTGAGGCAGTTTCATTACAGTAACTCATACATATAACATATAGTGGAAACATATAGTGAGGCGGTATCTTCACAGTAACTCATACATATAACATGTAGTGGAAACATATACTGAGGCAGTTTCTTAACAGTAACTCGTACATATAACATATAGTGGGAACATATACTGAGGCAGTTTCTTTACAGTAACTCATACATATAACATATAGTGGGAACATATACTGAGGCAGTTTCTTCACAGTAACTCATACATATAACATATAGTGGGAACATATACTGAGGCAGTATCTTCACAGTAACTCATACATATAACATATAGTGGGAACATATACTGAGGCAGTTTCTTCACAGTAACTCATACATATAACATATAGTGGGAACATATACTGAGGCAGTATCTTCACAGTAACTCATACATATAACATATAGTGGGAACATATACTGAGGCAGTTTCTTTACAGTAACTCATACATATAACATATAGTGGAAACATATAGTGAGGCAGTTTCTTTACAGTAACTCATACATATAACATATAGTGGAAACATATAGTGAGGCAGTTTCTTTACAGTAACTCGTACATATAACATATAGTGGAAACATACACTGAGGCAGTTTCTTTACAGTAACTCATACATATAACATATAGTGGAAACATACACTGAGGCAGTTTCTTTACGGTAACTCATACATATAACATATAGTGGGAACATATACTGAGGCAGTATCTTCACAGTAACTCATACATATAACATATAGTGGGAACATACACTGAGGCAGTTTCTTCACAGTAACTCATACATATAACATATAGTGGGAACATACACTGAGACAGTTTCTTTACGGTAACTCATACATATAACATATAGTGGAAACATATAGTGAGGCAGTTTCATTACAGTAACTCATACATATAACATAGTGGGAACATATACTGAGGCAGTTTCATTACAGTAACTCATACATATAGCATATAGTGGAAACATATAGTGAGGCGGTATCTTCACAGTAACTCATACATATAGCATATAGTGGAAACATATACTGAGGCAGTTTCATTACAGTAACTCATACATATAACATATAGTGGAAACATATACTGAGGCAGTTTCTTAACAGTAACTCGTACATATAACATATAGTGGAAACATACACTGAGGCAGTTTCTTTACAGTAACTCATACATATAACATATAGTGGGAACATATACTGAGGCAGTTTCTTCACAGTAACTCATACATATAACATATAGTGGGAACATACACTGAGGCAGTTTCTTTACAGTAACTCATACATATAACATATAGTGGGAACATACACTGAGGCAGTTTCTTCACAGTAACTCATACATATAACATATAGTGGGAACATATACTGAGGCAGTATCTTCACAGTAACTCATACATATAACATATAGTGGGAACATATACTGAGGCAGTTTCTTTACAGTAACTCATACATATAACATATAGTGGAAACATATAGTGAGGCAGTATCTTTACAGTAACTCATACATATAACATATAGTGGAAACATATAGTGAGGCAGTTTCTTTACAGTAACTCGTACATATAACATATAGTGGAAACATACACTGAGGCAGTTTCTTTACAGTAACTCATACATATAACATATAGTGGAAACATACACTGAGGCAGTTTCTTTACGGTAACTCATACATATAACATATAGTGGGAACATATACTGAGGCAGTATCTTCACAGTAACTCATACATATAACATATAGTGGAAACATATAGTGAGGCAGTTTCATTACAGTAACTCATACATATAACATATAGTGGAAACATATACCGAGGCGGTATCTTCACAGTAACTCATACATATAACATAGTGGGAACATATACTGAGGCAGTTTCATTACAGTAACTCATATATATAGCATATAGTGGAAACATATAGTGAGGCAGTATCTTCACAGTAACTCATACATATAGCATATAGTGGGAACATATAGTGAGGCGGTATCTTCACAGTAACTCATACATATAACATATAGTGGAAACATATACTGAGGCAGTTTCTTTACAGTAACTCGTACATATAACATATAGTGGAAACATATAGTGAGGCAGTTTCTTTACGGTAACTCATACATATAACATATAGTGGAAACATATACTGAGGCGGTATCTTCACAGTAACTCATACATATAACATAGTGGGAACATATAGTGAGGCAGTTTCTTTACGGTAACTCATACATATAACATATAGTGGGAACATATACTGAGGCAGTTTTTTCACAGTAACTCATACATATAACATAGTGGGAACATACACTGAGGCGGTATCTTCACAGTAACTCATACATATAACATATAGTGGAAACATATACTGAAGCAGTTTCTTCACAGTAACTCATACATATAACATATAGTGGGAACATACACTGAGGCAGTTTTTTCACAGTAACTCATAGATATAACATATAGTGGAAACATATACTGAGGCAGTTTCATTACAGTAACTCATACATATAACATATAGTGGAAACATATACTGAGGCGGTATCTTCACAGTAACTCATACATATAACATAGTGGGAACATATAGTGAGGCAGTTTCTTTACGGTAACTCATACATATAACATATAGTGGGAACATATACTGAGGCAGTTTCATTACAGTAACTCATACATAAAACATATAGTGGGAACATACACTGAGGCAGTTTTTTCACAGTAACTCATACATATAACATAGTGGGAACATACACTGAGGCGGTATCTTCACAGTAACTCATACATATAACATATAGTGGAAACATATACTGAAGCAGTTTCTTCACAGTAACTCATACATATAACATATAGTGGAAACATACTGAGGCAGTTTCTTTACGGTAACTCATACATATAACATATAGTGGAAACATATAGTGAGGCAGTTTCTTTACAGTAACTCATACATATAGCATATAGTGGGAACATACACTGAGGCGGTATCTTCACAGTAACTTATACATATAACATATAGTGGGAACATACACTGAGGCAGTTTCATTACAGTAACTCATACATATAGCATATAGTGGGAACATACACTGAGGCGGTATCTTCACAGTAACTTATACATATAACATATAGTGGAAACATATACTGAGGCAGTTTCATTACAGTAACTCGTACATATATAGTGGAAACATATACTGAGGCAGTTTCTTTACAGTAACTCATACATATAACATATAGTGGAAACATATAGTGAGGCAGTTTCTTCACAGTAACTCATACATATAGCATATAGTGGAAAGAAACTGCCTCCCTATATGTTTCCACTATATGTTACATGTATGAGTTACTGTGAAGAAAGTGCCTCGGTATATGTTTCCACTATATGTTAAATGTATGAGTTACTGTAAAGAAACTGCCTCAATATAGGTTTCCACTATATGTTAGTTAGTTGCCACAATTTCTATGGTTGATCCTGATATTCTTTCAGAGTTGTGAAGCTAGTTACAAAGACTGCCTGATGGGAAGGGGAGGATCTATTTATACCAGTTTCAGAGTTCTATTTCCTGTCCTTTCTGCTGTGAGGGGAGGAGCTAACCCATGAGTAAATGCTGCCATATATAATGATCAGGAAAAGAAAATTAAAGCAAGTATGAAATAAAAGTTGGAAACTCACCAGAACTGAAGAATTAACATATCCTAAAGCCAAGGTTGCCAAATTTACTCTGAGGAGAAACAAAGAAATAAAATCAGCAGTTTTCATCAAACAAGTTCTAATCAACAGATTAATATTTAATGAGTAGATGCAATTTTGCTCTTTCTACCAATTACTTAGAAGTTTCAAGAGTTCGGGTAACCTGGGAGACTATAAGCAGTTTAAATTACTTAAATTACTTGTTTTTACAAAAATTATACTTTTATTGGTTTTGATAAAAACTCTCCAGAAATGTAAAAACATGGAGCAATAGAATGAGTACAAGATTCAGAAAATGATTCCACTTTAACAGGCTTTTGAGAAGGCTAACATATATAAGCCCACATATATACATACATTGTAAATCGAGGCCTGTGAGCTTCAACGTACACAGAATTTTCATATCTACATTATCCGCAATCTCCTCCAATCCACTGCTTGTCAAGGAGAAGCAATGGATTGGAACTAGACATGCAAGGCCAAACTGCCAAAGGAGTAGCATTTGATTCCAAGAGTTTCACTGGGTTCGAGAGGAGGAGGAAGTGCTTCTTGTGGCTGTCCAGAAGACAAATTTGCTGTTTGTTGCATAAATTATAGTCAAGCATTTAGCAAATCCCCCTCTTTAATCTAGCACAAATGACAAAAATTTGAATTTAGGTCCTTCATATCTATCCATATTTGCATCTGTCGTAGTATTTAATACAACTAGTAGGCAATATAATAGATTAGGGGTCGGCAAACTATGGCACATGGGGTGCCTTCTCGTAGCATGAAAGGCTGCCAGACTCAAATAGGCCAACTGGGGAGATCAGAGGATTTCCCCAGCTGGTCTGGAGGGCTTTTCTCTGTGAGTGTAAGAGTGCCTATGGTATGCACCCCCAACAAGTGCAGACACCCCCTCCAATCTCCTTGGAGAGTCAAAACGTTGTTGAAGTCTACCATGAAAATGTTCTCTCTCTCTGGAAAGGTGCTGGAGTGGAGAAAGAGTGGAATAAAAGGTGCAGACCATGATCTGCAACTATCAGACCATCAGGAAATAAGGATTCATGATTCCCTCACTGGCAACAAGTATGCAAGAATGAAAGGGGCATAACAAAGCCTTTATAAAAACTTATACACACAGTCCCCACACAACAATACAGGCAGCCACACACACAAAAACTTGCATTGAAGGCAACCCCAACTCCCCCCCACAATTCCACAGACAGCCCACATTACACATACAAGTACTACAAGCAACCTACACACATTTAACATTGTACGCAGCCCACACACACACAATACTACAAGCAGTTCAAATACACCCAAACACCAACGACAGCATTCACCACACACAATAACACAAACAGTCCACATAGATAAACAATATCATAGATAGTCCCACACAGATAAATACCACAAACTTCGTACACACATACACAACAGCAGGCAGCTCGTAATCACTCGCTCAAAACAACAAATAACTCCACAAACATTCCACACATATGCCAAATCGCAAACTGCTCTACACATATACACTATACAACTACATACACTCCTAACACCACAGACATCCCACGCACAATAAATACAGCCCTTATGCATGTTAACTTGTAGAGAAATGAAATTAATACAGCAGTCAGTTTTTAGCCACAGGCTTAAAACAAGGGACCATGCACACCTAAATGCAAAGTTCAACTGTCCCATGTTTAGGTCTTCATGGACACTTTTGTAACAGTTTGGATTAGCGTGTAATAGTTTAAGAAAAACAAAATACAAAACATCTCTTTGTTATAATACAAAAATGTTAATGTATTTTTTTTTAAATTAAGAAAAGTTTTAAATTATAGTTATTACTCTAATATTATGTGCTGAGAACACCCATGTTATTTTATCTATACTTTTTTTTTGTTGGTGAAAGGTCACATGGTCATCCCGCGCACACAATACAGTGACATGTTCCCAGTATCGTTTGTCCTGCAATGTTTTAAATGGTAACATTCCAAGTCATGTTATTAAATAGATAAAATAGGCTAAAAAAGGAAACAGGAACTAGATTTCCAACTCGAGCGTCCGTTTAGTATTTCTTAAAAAAACAACAACTGTACAAGCATCAAACATCATACCCTTCCACGTGCAGCCATATATTGTACTGATTACAAAGCTCTTTCAGTCTTGCTAGCTTGTCTGTGTGTCCTGCACCTGGTGTACCTTAAAGAAAATAAAACACAAAAATTACCTTAATAAATACATTCACAAACTGGAGAAAAGATTAGTATTTGCAAATAATAATAAATAAATATCCCAATAAATGCCTAAAAAAGATATTACTGGAGAGACAAGTGATGAAACACCCTTCCCTCCACAGCACATAATGATTAAGATTTGGACCAATCAATGGGAGGCAGCAGCTGCTGAGCATTCCTTCCACAGTCCTGTTTTCAAGGTACCTGTAAAGTGCTCTATAGTGTGGTGTAATACACATAGAAACATGGAATGTGACGGCAGATAAGAACCATTTGGCCCATCTAGTCTGCCCAATTTTCGAAATACACCACATAGGAGAAATGTTTAACTACACTGCATGTCTTGTGATTCACAATAGCAGTTTCGGTTTTGTTTGGTTTTATTTAAAAATAAATAAATCATTAGTGTATATTTGTTAAACCTACAGCTTGCTAGCTGAGGACTATGACTACGATCATCCCTGGAAATTATGGAGTTTCTGTCTAGCAGATGGATGACTACATGAACACTAATAGGGCTATTCACCAAAGTAAGATCAGAAGGTGATTTTCTGATACAAAGGCCAAAACTGCAGAACTGGAAACTTAGTTGATTTACAGAATTTTTCCAGTTTGGCTATTCTGGCCTTCAATTTGCAATTAACTGTGAATTCTCTCAGTTTACTTAATAATCCTGTGTTATATTAAATATATCATTTAGCATCAATGTACTGAGGTTTTAAAAAATGTCTGCTTTTCCTTTGTTGCTGGCGATGCTTGCTTTAACCAGGAAGTGACAGATTTCTCAGCCAGACTGTTTTAAAATAGAAACAAAAAGGAGAAGCATTGCGCTTGTGACCTTAACGCACACAAATGTGCAATGCTTCTCCTGCCACACAGGAAAAACATACATTTTCACCATATAAATAAATGGTAGATATTCATAAAAAGAAGAATACTGAGGTCATCTATTTAATTTAAGAGGACTGTGAATCTATTTTACATGCATTCATGGTTTCCAGTTATCTCTGTAGGGAAGAAACCATGTATTTGCAGATCAATGAATGTAATTAAAGGAACACTCCAAGCACCGTAACCACTACAGGAGTGCCCTGGCACCTCCATTGCAAGTTCTTATCTGGGGTTTGCCTTGCTCCGCTTCCCACCTGCACTACATCAGGAGCTTCCGTTAGCTCTCCATAACTAAGCTCTGCAGTGCTCAGTGGCTAAGGGTGTCGAGTGATTGCTCTCAGTCAATGATATAGGCACTACACAGACAGGTTTAGCTCAACTAAAGAGATGGTGGCCCCCATGTAAGAAGCCAAACAATTCTAAAATGTTTTTTACTACTTCTACTACTAAGAAGGGGGAGGAGGACAATCACTGCAGTTGCTATGGTGCTTGAAATGTTTCTTTAAGCATGCTCTCTACAGCCTCTAACAAAATAGATTCAATGTCAGGGAAGGCAGGAAAAAATAAAACATAGCAAAGAGAGAATCCAATTATTAGTATCACTCAGGAAAAACAAGAGTTGACATCAGTAAGTGATAGCCCTATTCATGTTTTTTTTTTTTTTCTTGGGGAATTTGTGGACATGACCACACATGCACACATTAGCAGTAATGGTTCCCTAATAAAATACCACGAAGGAGCTTATTAAGCACAAGCTATATTGTTTCTAACAAAGATGACATCATTTGCAAATAAATGGAGCTATGTACAACAAAGAAGTATGCCAATCAAAGTAACATACCAGCATTGGCCACCAACAGAAGAGGACATTTTCCAGACTGAAGGTCATCTTTTAGAAGTCGATCCAGCAATGCCACATCCTGAAATCAAGATGGCAGTTTCAGTAAAATATTCAACCGTTTGTTTTATATCCAAATATAAAGATTAAAACTTCTCGCAAACTTTACAGCAAATTAAAATGGCTGCTCAGCAGCATAGCTAAATCACAAAGTAATTTTGTCCATTTTTGTACTAACCCTCTTGCGCCCTAAAGCTAACCTTCATGCAACTTTTTTTTTTTCTTTTTTTTTTTTATTAATGTTATCCCCCAAAAAACGTAATAATAGAACCATCACACAGAACTTTTTGTTTTATTATTAGTACTAAAACCTGTCTTTTTTTTTTGGATTTTTTTCCTTTTTTAACATGTATTATACATACATATAAAATATTACATAGACAATAAAATACATACAAAGATAAATACAGGAAGACATTCAAAAAGTATTTCAATACTTATAGCTCTAGCTCCTTATTAAACATTATTCATGTTCTCCGCAGAAAATATTTCCAACCTTTCAGTACAGAAAGGAAGTATCAGATGCATAAGATAGAATAGCGTTCACTTTTCTCTCTTCTACTGAGCTAATATTACACACTTACACACACAAAACATAACTAACAATAAAGTTGACATTATATTCATGATGTTTATTATATCCTTCCTAACACCTATTTACTGCCACCCTTTAAGGGGACTCCTTTTTATCTTTAAATAGACTATCTTATATTGAATTTTCACCCTTCATTCAACTTATGTACAGGTAAACAAAGATATTTTAATGAAATATGCAAATAGGTACGAGCATTCTGTTAACAGTTGATTACCATCTGATGCTGGGATCCAAACATGGTATTACAAGGCACACGGCAGAGGCAGGAGAGAGGAAGTCCGAGCTGCAAGACATACCGTATTATTAAATAACACAATACATTAAGTTCTTTGCATCATATTTGCATTACTGTCTTGTACTATAAAGTGGGAAGAGATATTGATCGGATCTACATGATTGTTCCTTTCCATTAATTCAATTTTGGGGGGGTTTTAACGCTTTGTCAGTGGGAGGGAAGAGGGGGCAGGAGCGGTGCATAGGAACACGTTTAGTGTTAGGAATACAACTGTGTAGGGGAAACGTTTTTGGAAGACAGCCAAGGTACACAGTGAAAGGGGGATAACCCCTAGTAGAAATGAATACAAAACAAACGAAGTGTGTACCTTCAAGGAGGACTAGTCGAGGCCTGAAACTATTACACTAAATGTGTGGAATACAGGCTCATCTAAAAGGGACCACAAGGTCCAAAAAATAAAAAAGCAAATTTATTGAAAATAATTGAAAAATAATAATAATACTAAAATCTAAGAATAACACAGAGATCTGAATATATATATAAGTTAGACTCTGATTGTAATAGGAATGAAACCCAGAAATATAGTAATATATACAAAATAAACTCTGATTGGGTGATAATATATAAACCTATTCCTAGCGCACGTCTGCGCAAGAGGAATAAAAAAAGAAAAGAAATGGGGGGGTGGAGAGGAAGGTAAAAGAATTCCAATTACAGAAAGTGGAAAAGATAGAAAAATAAATAAGGTAGCGTGTTAGAATGCTCCTGCATACAGAATCCTAGTACGTGTGGCTAGATATATGTGATCACACCTCTATGGGTGTGTTCACAGCCCCATAGAGGTGTGATCACATATATCTAGCCACACGTACTAGGATTCTGTATGCAGGAGCATTCTAACACGCTACCTTATTTATTTTTCTATCTTTTCCACTTTCTGTAATTGGAATTCTTTTACCTTCCTCTCCACCCCCCTCACCCCCATTTCTTTTCTTTTTTTATTCCTCTTGCGCAGACGTGCGCTAGGAATAGGTTTATATATTATCACCCAATCAGAGTTTATTTTGTATATATTACTATATTTCTGGGTTTCATCCCTATTACAATCAGAGTCTAACTTATATATATATTCAGATCTCTGTGTTATTCTTAGATTTTAGTATTATTATTATTTTTCAATTACAACTGTGTAATACTAGCAAGTGACAATTTGCCTTTAATAATAAGTGTGTTCTTACATACAATTATAACACAGGTCTATTTCTTAAAGGATCACTATAGTGTCAGGAAAACAAATTGTTTTCCTGACACTATATAACCCTTAGGTTCCCCCCCCTCCCACTCCGACGTCAGCAGCCAGAGCTGCGCGCGCATTAAAAAAGCCCATAGGAAAGCATTTCTCAATTTCTCAATGCTTTCCTATATATGTTCTGCACACTGAATGCGATTTACGCATTCAGCGTCGCAGAAGCGCATCTAGCGGCTGTCAGGAAGACAGCCACTAGAGGCTGGATTAACCCTGCAATGTAAACATAGCAGTTTCTCTGAAACTGCTATGTTTACATCTGAAGGGTTAAAACCTGGGGGACCTGGCACCCAGACCACTTTATTGAGCTGAAGTGGTCTGGGTGACTATAGTGGTCCTTTAACTATTTGAATATCAGTTTGGTGTTAGAAGATTTCTTCTAACAGTCGCATAAAAAATCATAACTAGAAAACTGGGGTTAATGGTTCCAAATTACCTGATTACAAAGAGACTGGCCGAGTCCTGGCCTTGAAGCAGCACTAATGTAAATAACAGGCTGTCTGTTACATAAAACACTGAATCCTTCCGTTGTGTAATCTTCGTAGCGGGAATGTATAACAAGCCTGCACACCTTAAGAAGACCTTCGCGATCATCCTCGTGATAATAAGCCGAACCATTTTCGTATCTTTAAAAAAAAAAAATATTTCCGTATAAAACTATCCATACCGTCATATTTATGGATTATGCACTCTACTGATATTCTTGCCAATGTTTACCTTGATATGTAATGCATTACTGAAGATATAAGTATTTATTTGAAAAGAGAATCAATTCCTGCACTATGATAAGTAAACGTATTCTTGAGAAGTCACTTAAATCAACTGCAAGATTCTTTTATCACTTTTTGATCTCAAAGTTTCAAAGAACCAAAGACAAACACTACATTGAATAGTCCCAGAAAGGTGCAATGGTGCTTTTTAAGGCTGATAATTTGTTCACAGAGAGCCTAGCCTGTACATTGGTACAACATGTTTTGTTCTTTGGTCTAAAACAGCAGGTCACTGCAAAATGGATCTAAAGTAATGTGGGTTTGGATATATGTAGGTGACAATGTGATTTTTGCTTATTTACATACTTAGCACTGAATGCTGGAAGGGTAGTTGAAATGCTTTCATAGTTGCCGTCTATTTTTCTAAAGTACTTTATGTTATGTAGATGCTGTACATGTACATATGGATATACAAAAAAGATACAAAGACATACATAGACCTACATACACATAAAATATTTTATCTTTTATTTGCATGGAAATATGTCCAGGAGTACATCTTAAGCTAAACTTATATTTTATAGTGTCGAATACTTGACAAATGTTCTGTTCACAGATCAAGCTATTAGATATTTAGTATTTGTCTGATTAGTGGATTTTGTTCAGGTAACATAGCATTAGTAAAAAAAAAAACCCCTCAATTCTTTTTCACTTGGAATAGTGTGTGATTTAGCAGCAGTCTGGCCCTTGTATCCTACCTAGTGCCTTAACAATACAGATATGTGTTAGGCTTTGTAATGCACATTTACCTGAATAGCCTACATAGCCACAGTGTTGTGTCAGACAGAATTCTGGTGGTCAGCTTCCTTAATCGCTCCCTGCCCAGTACAGAGATATAAGCAGCTAAGCTGTGTCCTAGCAGGGCCATGTGTCCCTGTTCTCCAACATTCTGAATTCGCCTAAAATCACAGAAATATAAATTGTTAGAAGACATCTTATTACAACCAGCTATGGAGCTCAATGTAAGTGACAAACAGAATTATCTCATGTAAAGTCATGGTTTAACCATTTTAATTCGATGTGCTCTGGGGGATCTCATTTGTAAATGGCCAACCTGTCATATGGTTGGTATGCAATTCAAACCATCAATTCATAAAGCACTGTTTTGACTTATCAAAGGATCTGGAGTTGGCTTGGTCAACAACTGACACTGAAAATGCAGTAAGGTGGCTAGCCCCCCCCCCTTACGCTCCTTAAAAGCATGAAAAACTCACCTTATTTCCAGCGCCGTGCAGGTCAGCCGGCACTGGCCCTGCCCCCTTGGTGACATCATCAGGATTGCCGATTTTTAGCCAATCCATGGGGAAAGCTTTGGATTGGCTAAAATCGGCTAGGGGGAGGGGCAAAATGACATTTTGACCAATCAGCACCTCCTCTTAGAGATGCATTGAATCAATTAATCTTTATAAGGGAAATTCCCCATGCAGAGCGTGGAGATGCTGAACGGCACTGCTGCCTACTGTATAGCACTGAGCCAGGAAGCACCTCTAGTGGCTATCTGAGGAGTGGCCACTTGGAGGTGTCCCTAGGGGCAATGTAAACACTGCCTTTTCTCTTAAAAGGCATTGTTTACATAAAAACGCCTGAAGGGAGCTATTATACTCACCAGAACAACTACATTAAGCTGTAGTTGTTCTGGTGACTATAGTGTCCCTTTAATGAAAAATATATACAGAATCTATTGACTGCAAAATAACACAATGAAAGGAATTGCTCTAATAGACAGTCACAAACTTTCTAGAGATTTTGTTCAGCTGGTAAATAGTAGTCAGTCCCTTAGTACACAATGCAATGTCCTTTGAGGCACAAGCATTATTTATCTTAGGCAGAACAACAATTAATCCTCTTGCCAATACAGAAATTGCACTGCACACACTTTCAACTGCAAATTGCTGGACATTTTATAATTAATGGGGGAAAAAAGCTCCGATGTGATACGCTTGCCTAGTGTAGTGCATAGAATGTATTCCATGGAAAATGTGTGAATTCATGTTAAAACAAACTGTAAATTGTTCTAGAACCAGAAGGATTGTGTAATAGTGTATTTGTTTGTCCAGCAGTAAAATGTTAGAACCTTAAACGATTACAAATAGGAGTAATGATAAAACACACCAACTTTCATCCAGATAAAAACTTCTGCAAGTTTAGAAAGCAAACTTTTAGATCAAATAAAAAAATAAAAAACGCAGTGCTTCTCACAGATTGTCTTTTTAAATTAACCAGTTCAGAAAGCCTACCGGTAAGATTGAGGCTCCTCTTCATCCTCTTCATGCATGAGGTTCTGAACTAGCTGTAGGATGCTTACCATATCCTGACCACTGGGGGAAAAAAAAAAGATCACTATTAGGAAATGGCGGCACATGAGATGTTAACATCTAGAGCTTGTGAGATAAGCGGTCTACTAAGGTAGCATTTATGAACACCCCTAGAAAGCAGAAAAGATTATTAACGGTCAGGAAAACCATCAGTCGTTCCTCAGTCTGATCTCCTTGTGTCTACTGACTGAGGCTCTCTCATCCCTTCATCATATTAGTACTTAATACACTGTACCTGCAAGCAGTAAATGTATGAACTGCTGCTGCTACAATCAAGATGCAGTGGATGTACATAGGACTGATTGAATGCGCAATAAGGATATCCTTGAGATAAAAGAGTTAAAGGGATACTCTAAGCACCAAAACACCTCTATATAATGAAGCAGTCTTTGTGTATAAATCACAAAGCTGTCTCATTGCTAATTTCTCTGCCACTTAGGAGTTAAATCACTTTTTCTTCTGTGAACGCATTCCTAGCGCTTCTTCGCTGGCCATGACTCACACAGCAAACATGAAAAAATTATTTAATTTTTAATCAGATGTGACAGCTTTGTGTTTACTTTAGAAGTTTTGAAATCCAACTCTGTTAATTTAACTTTAATCGCACATGGGAGGTTCCTGCTGGCTACTAACAAAGAAGGAGATAATAAATTCTGTGCAATGAAGGAAATTTAAACATTGGATTTCTCTTTACAGAAAATGTGTAGGGAGACTGTAGGTCTCAAGCAGGGGAGGCGTGACACGGGCTACATTAACAAAGTGATTTAATTCCAAAATGGTCAAGAATTGAGCAGTTAGACTATAGCGGCATGATCTATACACCAAGACTGCTTCATTAAGCTAAAGTTGTTTCGGTGCTTTTAGTGTACCTTTAAAAGTTTTTTTAAAAGAATAAAGAACCGTTTAATAAGTTTATTCCCTACTGTATCTGCCTCGTTTGTAATGTTTGGGTTGTCCCAGATTTCACTCTTGGCCATGTGCAAATATTTTTCTAGCCACAATGCTGGCCATCACCCACCTTCCTTGAAGTGGCCCAGGGATATCCTTCCTCGTGTATTTGTTGATATCCCCTTCATCATCTGCTGACCTGAATAAAAGCAAAATAAAACAAATTCCATATCACTGCAATCAACTGGCAAAGTCAAGAGTTTTTTTTCCAAATACGGTTTACTCTCTGTTTAGTACGTATGTTCGGCTCCGGCAAGCCTCCAATGACGATAAGGAAAAGGTCGGGCTATGTTCCGCTTCATGCCATACAAGGACTAGGTAGTGGGCAGTGATATACTGCAAGCATCAGCTGAGCATGTTCACTCAATTGACATCCCCAATCTTTGGTATGGCACGTGGTGGAAGCAAAGCTTCGCCTCTGGCATATAATCATTGGAGGCTGAGCTTCAGGCTGCCGGAGACAGCAAATCTTTACTGAACCATTTAGTGGTGATGCAGGACTAAGCACCTAGAGACTCCAGGAACTATAACCACTTCAATCTGTTGAAGTGGTTAATGGTGCTTCCAGTGGTCCTTTATTTTTAAACTACAATTATACCCACGGAGGTGTCCTCTGCATAGTGTTTGAAATGCCCACTAAATGTTACAGTTTTTTTTTCTTTTTTAATTTAGTTGAACCCGACACTTCAAAATGGTCAGTAAACATTTGAGAAAATTATTTGTTACTAACTTTTTGCTCACTTAAAACACGAAAATACTGCTAGATGGAAAACAATGTGGATATTAAAATGGAACAAATAATTAAAGATAGTTGCAACACCTTAGAAGAAACTGATTTTGACAAATGATTTCCTTTTAACATACAGTTGCAAGAAAAAGTATGTGAACCCTTTGGAATGATATGGATTTCTGCACAAATTGGTCATAAAATGTGATCTGATCATCATCTAAGTAACAACAATAGACAATCACAGTCTGCTTAAACTAATAACACACAAATAATGAAATGTTGCCATGTTTTTATTGAACACACCATGTAAACATTCACAGTGCAGGTGGAAAAAGTATGTGGACCCCTAGACTAATGACATCTCCAAGAGCTAATTGGAGTGAGATGGTCAGCCAACTGGAGTCCAATCAATGAGATGAGATTGGAGGTGTTGGTTACAGCTACCCTGCCCTATAAAAAACACACACCAGTTCTGGGTTTTCTTTTCACAAGAAGCATTGCCTGATGTGAATGATGCCTCGCACAAAAGAGCTCTCAGAAGACCTACGATTAAGAATTGTTGACTTGCATAAAGCTGGAAAAGGTTATAAAAGTATCTCCAAAAGCCTTGCTGTTCATCAGTCCACGGTAAGACAAATTGTCTATAAATGTAGAAAGTTCAGCACTGCTGCTACTCTCCCTAGGAGTGTCCTTTCATGGGAGGATACCACAGAGGAAGCCACTGCTGTCCAAACAAAACATTGCTGCACGTTTACAGTTTGCACAAGAGCACCTGGATGTTCCATAGCAGTACTGGCAAAATATTCTGTGGACAGATGAAACCAAAGTTGAGTTGTTTGGAAGAAACACACAACACTATGTGTGGCGAAAAAAGGCACAGCAAACCAACATCAAAACCTCATCCCAACTGTGAAGTATGGTGGTGGGGGGCATCATGGTTTGGGGCTGCTTCAGGGCCTGGACGGATTGCTATCATCGAAGGAAAAATGAATTCCCAAGTTTATCAAGACATTTTGCAGGAGAACTTAAGGCCATCTGTCTACCAGCTGAAGCTCAACAGAAGATGAGTAGCAACAGGACAATGACCCAAAGCATAGAAGTAAATCAACAACAGAATGGCTTAAACAGAAGAAAATACGCCTTCTGAAGTGGCCCAATCAGAGTCCTGACCTCAACCCGATTAAGATGCTGTGGCATGACCTCAAGAAAGCGATTCACACCAGACATCCCAAGAATATTGCTGAACTGAAACAGTTCTGTAAAGAGGAACGGTCAAGAATTACTCCTGACCGTTGTGCACATCTGATCTGCAACTACAGGAAACGTTTGGTTGAAGTTATTGCGGCCAAAGGAGGTTCAACCAGTTATTAAATCCAAAGGTTCACATACTTTTTCCACCTGCACTGTGAATGTTTACATGGTGTGTTCAATAAAAACATGGCAACATTTCATTCTTTGTGTGTTATTAGTTTAAGCAGACTGTCATTGTCTATTGTTGTGACTTAGATGATGATCAGATCACATTTTATGACCAATTTGTGCAGAAATCCATATCTTTCCAAAGGGTTCACATACTTTTTCTTGCAACTGTATGAAGAAGCCCTTAAGGTTAATACGAGAGGTCATGCAGGCTTAGAGAAACCTGTTTGTCGGCTCAAAGGAGTGGAAACCAGGAAACAAAGCACATGACAAAGTGCACAAAGCAGTTTTACAGCTTTGTTTAACTGCCTTATCTGTCCGGTGTCCTTTTCCTGCAGGTGTATCCAACTGTATAAATTACGTACGTGGAATGATTGAGCTGGCATTAGTTTTATAGGGCATTCTATTTTTCATGAAACACAGTACCTCGGATTCTCTTCCAACATTTTCATGGCTTCGTTAAGGTTCTTTCCCATTTCTGCCAAGGTTGGGTCAACCATCTGCAAGGAGCATGAGTAACAAAATATAGTCAGTCAGTCAGTCAGTTAAACAATGCCAGTAGAAACTAAAGGGTATTTCTACAGTATGTGTGTGTGATCTATCAATCTATTCACACAGAGAAAAGAGAACATTGCACAATCTGAGATTAGAAGACAGACATGAATATTTCATTTTGCAAGCATTATGGATCCCATTGGTGTATTTTGAAAAGTACTTAAAACCTTAACATTCATGTGAACCAAAGTACCCAGTGTTTTTTATAATCATACACAGTACACTAGGCACATGATCAATTTAAAAAGCTTTATCAAAGGATGCATACAAACACTTTTAGCAATTTTTCCATAAATCTAACTCTGCATCTCCAAACACACCTTCACATATAACACATTTGGTATTAATGTATTTCACTTTTGTTTACATTTTAATAAGACTTTTCTCATACAGCTTCTGGTTTATAGCCTTCCCTCCTGCAACATGTGAAGTCAGACATTCAGCCAACCTCCATATCTTAAAGGGGCACTCCGGAACCCTAAACAGCTTTAGCTTGCTGAAAAGCTTTATGTGTAAAGAGTGTGTCCTATTTTTTCATTTTGCAAAAAAATGCAGATTTCAATAGATATTGACACTTTTATAAAATAACCTGGTTACACCCCCTTGGCCTTTAAGCAGACAACAGGTGATGCTACTTCCTGGTTTTGTTAGCTCAATGCAGCTGACCTCAAGAGGCAGCAATTGCCCAGAGCACCTGCCTTACAAAGATTTCTCATTGAGCTGTATTGGAAAGTCTGAGATTGGACAGCCACAGAAAGTCTGGGTGGAGTTAGAAGGGGAGAGCTTGCAAAGGCAGCAGACAAGAGATCTGCAGTTTTTGCATGCTGTTTTAGGTATATTTCCAATGAAAAAAAAATACATTATTAAATGCATGCAAGTTTTCTTTTGGTGTATATCTACTAAAGAGTGATTTTTATTTATTTTGTACTTGGGCAGTAGAGTGTCCCTTTAAGATACTCTTTGAAAACTGACCTAATCAAGTTCATCTTCATGCAACAAGCTTAAAAACGTATCCATCACTCTTTATTAGAATCACCAAGAGGTTGTTACAAGTACCAATCCCCATCAATCTCACCCGTCCATTTATAAAGAATGAGACCCCCATGCAATGTTTATTGAAGGTCGGCAACTCTCTTTATACGGTTTATAATATATTTATATTGTGTACAAATATTCCCTCCAAGACGCTAAAGATATATCTGAGTAGACACAATGGTTCACAGATGCACAAACACATACTCCCACAATTGCCATTTGTTTGCAGTTGTAATTAATGGCTGCACACTCAACAGATTTTTTTTACTGATGTGTCTGCCATAACAGAAGAGAGAGGGCAACATTGCATTTTTTCCTCTTAATAATCCCCTATGTGCAGAATAGAAGAATACAATTATATTTTATGATAAAACAGAATTTATCAGAAGAAAGCAAGCCTTGTCTGGTGTATACAGATGTGTGTTTAAATATTCAGCCTCACTTACTCAACACCATACAAATTTTTCTTCGCTAGGAGACCTAGATTTTATACATTTGCTTCAGCTTAGACAAACCGCGGATGCAGTTGTCATGGTAACAGGCTGAGAACTTTTGGACTAGTTAAATAATGTAGCGAATTTTGAATTGTGAAATGCTAATCACTTGATTTTTTTTTATCTCACTTTTCATACTTGGGAAATTGGAATGTATAACTATTCCAGTCCTTTATACTGCTGTGGGCTACATGAGAAGTTTTACAAAACAGATCATCAACTTCACAACTTTACTTTTCATCCATTAAATTGTAGACTAACTGGATTATTCACCAAGTGGGTATTTAAAATAAACTTAACATTTAAGGTCAAAGTAGCCAAACTGAAGACATAGCTGACTTAGAGAATGCTTCAAATTCAGCTATTTTGACCTTGAAATTCACTTTGCATTCTCACTTTAGTTAATAGGTTTAGATCCATGAACCACCACCATTGCCTGGTTTGTAGTAAGCAATTGCATCATGACCGTTCTTAAAGGACCACTATAGGCACCCAGACCACTTCAGCTTAATGAAGTGGTCTGGGTGCCAGATCCATCTAGGATTAACCCTTTTTTTTTTTTTTTTTTTTTATAAACATAACAGTTTCAGAGAAACTATATATATAATATGGTTAATCCAGCCTCTAGTGGCTGTCTCTTGACAGCCGCTAGGGGCGCTTGCGTGCTTCTCACTGTGAAAATCACAGTGAGTAGACGCCAGCGTCCATAGGAAAGCATTGTAAATGTCCTACGAACTGGCTGAATGCGCGCGCGGCTCCTACCGTTCTCCTAACTTGCCTGGGAGAGGAACGAGCAGCGGTACAAGTTTCTCTGGAGTTTGCGGGCTCGCGTAGCAGGCCCAGAGTTCCAGACACTAGACGACCATGTCCTGCTGCCTACGTTCAGGAAACAAAATGGCCGCCATTCACTAGAGCATGTGTGTTCGGTTATACGAATGGCGGCCACACAGGAAAAGCACTTGAACTATTTTTTTTTTTTTTGTTAAAGTTAATGATCGAGGGGTGATCTGTGTACGAAGGATATAAAAGGGGAGACTACACACGCTCCATTCGGTCCAGGAACAAGGGGGTACAGATCAATTTGGGAAATATGGAGATAGGCACGGGCAACCGAAGGGAATAATACAGAGTTTGCCACAGGCTTGTTGAAGTTTTCTTTTATCGATCTTCCTAGAGAACCACGCTTCCACATTGTACCCAATTTGTGGCTAAGTTTTCTACTATTGTTTTGTATTTTTGCTTATTACTTCCTATTACCTGTGGGCCTACATCCAGGCCCTGGGAGTTGAGCTATTCCCATTCCAAGCCCATACATACCACACTCTCCTACGTCGGCATTGCAAACCTCATTTTTAAAGGCCACCTTTCCTATGGCTGAATGAATATCCCTTCCAATTCCACGCCGTGCAAAATCGATGTCAAAGGGAATTTCAATACTCAATAGCAATCAGGTCTCCTTCATATCACACAAAGATGTTTTAGATACAGAAGGTAGATATGGTCTACACCACGGGGAAACTATAAGCCCCAAACTCTGATCAAAGAAATTTCGTCCACAAAATGTTGTCCAAACTTTCACCAATCCAACAGGGCATAACGCTCATCTGTGGAGATTTCTCTACCACAGGTATCTAAACTCCACAATGTGCACAACGTTCCTGGCAAAGCTTTGAGTTATTGGAAATGCACAACTTATATGACATTTGGAGGGTTCTTCTCCCTGGGGAAAAGACTATACACACACACTTCTCTCAGGTCCATAACAAGTACTCACGCGTAGATGGGTTTTTATTGACTGGCACACACCTAGACAAGATATTGTACTGTTCGGACTAATGTTACAGTGTTCCTTTTACTGTACCAACACCTTGTTTATACAGCATAAATTACAGTAGCATCTACAGTTTGCATGAAGCCAGAAACAGACAATAGTCTGGTACAGAGCAGGGGATAAATACAACACAACCATATGTTTCACACATCAGGAAACCTAAAAATAATTTCTGCAGGTGGTAATCCAAGACTAAACTTATATTTAATAGACAATGTCAAAGAACTGGATAATTAAAGGGTTACTCTAAGTACCATGACCATTTGAAGTAGTCATGGTGCTTGGTGTCCGTACGTGCAGCATTTTACTATAAAAACACGGCACACTGATTTAATTCGCTTTGATACTGATGTGAATTCTGTGCAGAGGACAATTCATTGGCCAAGAGCGATTAGCTGACACTCTCTGCCAATGGATGAGTGGCAAAATCAGCAGCAGACTTCTGAAGCTCTGCAGAAGAAAGATGTCTTAAACGTGTCTACAGAGGAGACCAGGCGCCCGGTGGGAGACCAGGCAAACGGGCAAAACTTTCCAAAAAATCTGTTTGCTCTAGGGATGCACCGAAATGAAAATTCTGGGCCGAAACCGAAAATTCAGGATGCCTTTGGCCGAAAACCAAAAATGACCTTTTTCCCCCAAATGATTTTAAATTATTTTTCTTCTAATATTAGACTTTTTAATGAATCTAATATGAAAAACTTCAATTTTCCCTTCCCTGTACCTTAGTCCCTCCACATTAATGTTCCTCACCCCTCTCTCCCCCCCCCCCCGTCCCATGGTGTTCTTTCTTTCCTTCTCCCCACCCCGTCCCATGGTGTTCTTCTCCCCACCCCGTCCCATGGTGTTCTTCTCCCCACCCCCGTCCATGGTGTTCTTTCCACCTCCCTGTCCCATAGTGTTCCCCCCTCCCCGTCCCATAGTATTCTCCCCAGCCCTCGGTCCCAAGTGCAGTATTCTTGACTTTTCATGTTATCATTACTATCTTTCATTGTGATATATAATCATCTGAAATGTTAATGCAAGCATGTCTGTTACACTATGCACTACAGAAATATATATATATATATATATATATATATATAAATTTAACATTTAAAAAAAATTATAATTTAGGCAAATTTTACCCATATTCGGCCAAAAAGTTTGGTGCATCCCTAGAATTGGACACAATGGGGGCACTTAGCAATTCAAAACATTGTTTAAAATACTGAAAGCAATCACAATGGAAACCAGTGGACGTAATAGGCATATTTCATTGGTGACTCCTCTTTCTTTCCACAGCTTTTCAGAACAGAACATTTTGTTTGAGATATATCTGTGCAGGGACATGAATGCCTCCTTGTTCAATGCATCTTCCAATAAACCAAAATATTAACAAAAACAAAGAATGTGAAAAAATATGAATCTATTTACCCAAGGCTATCTTTAATTTTACTAGTTAAAACAATGTGCATTTCTTATTAAATTTCAGATCTTACATACTGAAAAATCCCATCTATTCCATCATCACTCCTTTGATGAAATGAACAGAAATATTCTCTGAAAGATTTAGATTGACGATGAAACTTCGTCTGTTTTCCAGCCAGTTCTACACCTAGTCCAATCAATGCCATATTAAAATCTTCTGAGATAGATCAATAAAGGAAACATTTTAAACAGTTGCTTGGGCACACTGAGTAACACATGTGACAATGACATCTATTTTAGTAAAATCAACATTTAGAAATAAATATTTTTTATCAGAAGATGGCAACATTACAACACTATAAAACATATGCTTCTTAGCAAAATGCTGGCTTTCCTCCATGTTTTCATGAGTTATTATTATTATTTGAGCACCACAATGAGTTAGAGCAAACTATGGCCAGTGTTAAAAAGAAAAAGCTGACATTCCATTGAATGTAAGGGGTAGAGTGGGCTTGCTTATTAATTCCCATTGCTCATGAGAATCCTGTGGGCAATGGCAAATCAGAGTGTGTTACTGAATGTAAATGAGAAGGAAGCAGTGCACTGTATTATAAGAGCCAGGTTCATTTTCCCCAAATCAGCTACTACAAATCAAACTAAATTAGCTATAATCATACATTTCAAATTTGTTATGAAGCTAAAATCAGGCTTTTCAATAAACAATCCAAAACCTAGAACACAAACAGACAGCATTGTCACAACATGACAAGCACTGATAACTTAAGCCAACACTGAACAGTGTCAGCGTGGTGCAAACAATGAATACATAATTCCATTTATGAAGGGCCAGGATTAAAGTTTGCGAGACACTGTTTGCAATTAATGGATTCTGACGTCTAAAGCCAGTTGTTAATCCAAGATGTATTAAAAAGCTGCAGTGGTCAAGTAGTCCTTACAAGGCACTTGACACTGTAGAGCGTGATGTCAAAAATCAAAAGGATGTATTGTTTTTTCAATCAAGTGGTTATTTACCACTGTTGTGGAGGCTGCTGGGATTTGAGTTAAAGAAGTACTGCAGATATATTTTGCAGTTTTTGTAGACCCTCAAAAGGAAAAGAAAACAAAAACATTTTGTGCAGAAATGTATACTTAAAATACATTTACATCACCCACTACCTGCATAAATTAAAAAAAAAACACACTACATTTTTCAGCCTCACTTTATTTACAGTTTCTCATAATCCCATCAGCAGTTACTGTCTCCCACACGACTTTCATGTTAGCATCCTTGAACACAGTTTGCCCTCTAGGATACATTTCTTTTTTTTGCCAAAGTCTGCTCTCGACTTGCCTGTGCATTGATGCTGACTTTACAATGCTGACATAATCATTCAAAAGAAAATAAAAGTTTCAAAAGAATTTACAGAAAGGACCTGCTCATTTTTAAAAGGACAGTCTAAGTTCCAAAATCATCTCGGTTTACGTGATTTATGAGCATATATGCTACTCCTCCAAATTTGCAGCTAAAAGCACTGTTTACGTATGATAATTACCACGTGTCTAATGGCTGTCAGACAATTATTAGAAACTTCAGACTATATTTTACACCTGTAGTTAGTATGCAAAATACGCTGTAGCACTGGGTGCTTACAATGTTCTCCATGAGCGAAAGCTGTGCATGTGCTGTAGTTCATCTTTTCTATGTGAGGCATTGGATAATAGTCATCCTGCTTGATAACTACAACCAGGTAGGACCAGGCTTCTGTAAGGAGTCTGTCAGGGAACTTGCAAATCTTAAACTTAAATTAACGAATATGGTAATTTTTTTTTATAATACAACCATTGCCATGTATTGAATTATACATTTACAACATTCTATTTGCTATATAAAGGTTTAAAAACAACAATCTAGTCTACTCAACAGAGACTTGTATAGTCTCCTTAGTGTGATGCTTCATGGGAATAAGCTCCTGTGTAGCAACTGCAGGTCACCAAATCTCCCATTTAAAAAAAAAAAAAAAAAATCCCTCCAAGTGATATTTTTGTTTTTTTTTCTCATTCTTTACCAGAGACCTGGGACTCAGTTTTGTCCAATATTCAGTTGTCCCTAGTACAGGACAGAGATCTCAGACTTCCCGCCCTTGGTCTGCTAAAGCTACTTTTCAAACGTGGGAGTCACAGCCCTTAGTGCTTCTATCACTATTGGGACAACTACTTTGACTTCACTTTCAACATCCTCATTCAGCCCTTGGTATATACCTGCTTATGTGTTTTCTTTTTGATTTTATGGTATTTGCACATCCACAAACACGACAAGTTTCTCTTCCTTGTCCACCACCACAAAGTCTAGCTTGTTAGCCAGGACTGGTTTGCCTGTCTAGCTCTGGAAATTCCACAGAATCTTAGTCCTGTTATTCTCAAGTACTCCTTGTGGCAGGTCCAGTCCATATTCAGTTTGGTGGGCCTTTCAATGTATGTTGTCCCTGCTAACATTTGAGAAGCGGCTAATCTATACTAGATTGTCTCTGATGCCGCCTTGCATAGTATGCACTCTGAAATGCACACTTGTCTAGTGCAATAGCCTCCAGTTCCTATTGCTCTGCTGCCGAGTGCCTTCTCCTGCGCTGCGAGTAGTGACCCTGCACGGTCATTTTTTTTTTTTTTACTTTCCCAACTACTGGCAGATAAGCCATATCCTGTCATGACTGCTAGTGTGGTCCAGCACGCAGAACTATGTAACATCTACATAGAAAACAGAAAGGAAATAGAAAGGATAAAACGTAAACTGGTCCTTAGAATGGCTGGACTAATACGTTAGAGACAGAGAATAGTCAAGGGATAGCCGAGGTCAAGGAAGCCAGAAATACACAAATACCATTTAACAAGCCAAGACAGGGGAACCAGAAATCAGCGTAGTCAGGAATAGCCAAGGTCAAAATACCGGAAATCCCAATGACAGCAAGGATAAACGCACTCTCGGGAACCAGTACAGGAAACCTGTGGGGCGGATCTATTGATGGCCGCGACCGCATGGTCGGCGCCATCTTTGTTTTGGGCAAACTGCCCAGAGGATGTGGAGGAGCGGTTCCCGGCTGGCCGCTGAGCAGGTAAGCTCAGCTTGTCAGCGCGGTCGTGCCAGTCGGGCACAAACGCGCCATGCGGCGAGCCAGGAGCTGTGACACATCCACTATCTGCCGGTGGGAGATCCTGCACCCACCCACCCATAACTGCACCCACCGCCTACTTCTGTCTGAGTTGCTTGAAACATTCCCATAGCAGTTCATCTTTGGTTCCCATTTTTATACCATACTCATGGATGCTCTGTTTTGACCAGGATAGTGGCCTTGACACTCGGACTACGACATCCTCCCTTCAGGCTGGTGTACAGTGTCTGTATACTGACTTTGGTTGAAGGTGTGGATTTTGTTCTTGCCACTGAACTGTGCTTTAGGACCTATCTAACTTTCTGGAAGTACTTAGGTTGGCTGTTTTCCTTGCTGCCTCCTAATTTTTGCGGTACTCCGATGTACTTATAGCTATCTATGTCTCCGATGGTCCTCTGATACTTCAACCCCTTCAAAGTCTAGATCATGTTCCCTCTTTTGCCATCTTTCTTTCACAAATAGCTACTCCGAACGACATTCCTATGTCCCTGCTGCTGCAAATAATAGTTATACACGTTGAAACACTGTAGGCATCATCGTGAAAAAAATAAATGTTATTACGCCTATAAAAAGTTTTATATACTTTGAAAGTTCTTTTAAAATGCGTTAAAGTTGACTTTTGCACCTGAAAAAAAAAAAAAAAGCTTTTGAGTCTAGAGCTGGTGGAAATTTTTTAACGTTGTTCAAACAGAGAGGCATTGTGTATCTCCTTGGGGATATACAGAAACAGGGCTCAGTTTAATTCTGGGAAGCAGAATCTTGCCAGTGTAGATAGCAAATTGATATATTTTGCCAAATAAACAGACACTCTAAGCAACATCAGAACACGATTCCTAAATATGTTATGGTCCAGGTAAGCCTCTGTACCTGACTTCACACACAGGAACACTCCAAGCACCAAAACCACTGCAGCACGACGTAGTGGTAGTGTTTCCAGGAATGCCCTTGCACCTCAATTTCCACTGTAAGTAATCAGAGTAACGTTACTTCTTAGCTAGGGTCCACTGGGGGGCTGCTTCCCCTTTTCACTACATCAGCCAGCAGCGGTCTGAGCCCAGCCCAGCGATGCAGAGCTTAGCTCATTGGCTGAAAGTGATCAGAGCTAGCCTGGCATTGAAAGGCTTAGCTCAGGAGAGATTATGGAAGCTCTAAGAAAAAACTTCCAGCTCACAGGATGATGTAGAGAAGAGCAAGGTAAAAAAAAAAAAAAAATGTAGTGCTGTAGTGGTTATGGTGCTTGGAGGGCTCATTTAAATACAGGTTTCCATTCCAAACGCTATAGAGTTCCTATAATAAATATTTTGTAGGACTGGTTTTAGCTTGGCATATCCAAGGTTGCTGTGCAGCCATTATGCTCACTTTTGTGCACAAACACTTTTAACACTTTCCTTAAAGTACCACTATAGGCACCCAAACCACTTCAGCCACTTCAACCCTGCAGTTGAAAATATAGCAGTTTTAAAGAGACACTAGAGGTGCTTCTGCGATTTACACTGAGTAAATCGCACTTATTTGACGCTGGAGGTCCACTGAGTAATGCTTTCCTATGGGCGGGTTTGAATGCGCGTGAGCCTCTGGGCGTGCATGCGCGTTCGGCTCCTCTCTGGAACTGACGTTGGCAGGGGAAGAGAGGTCATCAGCACCAAGGGAGCCCGGCGCTGAATTAGGGTAAGTGGCTTAAGGGCTTTTAACCCCTTCAGTGCTGAGGGAGGGGGGCACTCCAAGAGCCTATAGTGCCAGGAAAATGGGTTTGCTTCAAAATATTAGTACTTCTTTAAATGAAACTGCCAAGTTTAAAAAAAAGTCATATTACAAGATTTCAAAAAACATTACCTACAGCCAATTACTTTGCTTACTTGCACAGAAGAGGAAAAAAAATACGAAGTGCCAAGTTGAGCATATTTTTCCCCAGTTGACACAATTAGAAATTCTACCTTATGCAGTGTGAAATGGTAATCTGCATGAAAAAAAAACATATGTAACAATCGCATAGCTGGCTTGGATTTGCGACGATTATTGTGTTCATTGTGTAAACACTCAAAGAATTCAAAAGGAAAAAACAAACAAAAAAAAAACTCTGGTTATTCTTGTATCATCATAAATAAAGAGTGTTGGTGAGCAAATAAGGTTCCATAAATAAATGACCCAAAGTAAAGAAAAGAGAAGGAAAAAGTAAGTAAGAGCAAGGTAGAGGGGGTTAAAAGAAAACCTCAAGAACCATACCAACTACAACTTGTTGTAGCAGTTACAGAGTTCCACGGCTATTCACCTGAAAACAGTATACAGAGACTGTACATCAGCCTGAAGGATCTAATAAGGGTCAAGGTCACTGTTCTGGACGGTTTTATCATGGTTTGACAATTTACCAGGGTCAACCTACATCTGTTCTTCTTCAGCAGGGGAAGCCAAAAGTTGCATTGGAGCAAAACAAAACCTCAAAAAAAATCAATTGCGGAGTGCTGAAACAGTTTGACACGTTATCATTGCATGGGTCTAGGGCACTCCTTGCACTATAACAACAACAGGCTTGGAGGTAGAAGGAATCCACACTCTTCTAGGTCAATAACACAGGGTGCTGAACTTGGCCGAGGCAGGCATACCCCAATACACACGTGAAATAACAGAGATGGCCCAGGCAGTCAGGGGTGACTCATAAGGCAGGACACTTCAGGCACCCAGACCACTTCAGCTAATTGAATTTGTCTGGGTGCTGTGCCCCTATTGCACTGAGTGCTGCAAAGTAAAACATTGCAGACGTAGATTGCTTACGTAATTCAAACGGACCTTTGGTTGGTTATCTGACGCTGGACGTCCTCACAGACCTCCAGCGTCAGTTTTTTTCCCATAGAAAAGCATTGAATAATGCTTTCCTGTGGGGAGCTCTAATACACGCGGCCATTGCCGCGCATGCGCATTAGGTCTCCCCCGCCGGCTGACATTGGAGAGGGTAGAGCATGGGCGGAGCCTGATCCAGCGCCGAGTGACATCAGTGCTGGATTCAGGTAAGTAGTTTTAACCCCTTTAGCGACATGGGATGGGGGCACTGCAGGTTTGTTTTCCTGGCACTGGAGAGTCCCTTTAATGGAGATAAATGAATATTAGATAAAGCAATGTTTCGACCTCCAAATTAGTTCAATACCATATCAATTTAAAATGTTATCTGTAATTTTACGCAGAATCTTTGAGAAAGATGTAACCCCATCTTTACCCTGAATTTCAGGTAAGGTTCTCCAAGCTCCAAAGGACCTAGAGAGAAGGAATGTTCAAGGGGAATGGTGGCCCATAGCACAGATTGCAACTCCCCCAACAGTTTTACTTTGGGGCATTGTCACTTTATATGAAGGAAATTACCACTTTGACCACTCAGCTTACAGAGGCCCATAGTGGTCATTTCTCATTTAATACAGAGTATCTTTAGAGTTACAAATTAAACAATGCTTGTCTATGAGACGTTTCTGATTAGACAGAGATCATCATGATTGATGGTGCAGAGGAGACGGTCTCGGTGCTGGATTACAGGTAAATTTAAAGGGACACTAGTCACCAGTGCAACTACATGTATTCCTGACCCTATAGTGTTAACACGACCATCTAGCCCCTGGGCCCCTCATGCCTCCATAAATATAGTAAAAATCTTACTGTATTCAAGCCAGAAGCTGTAAATCTGTATGCTGTTAGACTCAGGAAAAACAAGCAGTCTGCTGACATGTGATAGCCTGATCCAATCACAGTGCTTCCCATAGGATTGGCTGAGACTGACAAGGAGGCAGATTAGGGGCAGAGCCAGCATGAGTCAAACACAGCCCTGGCCAATCAGCATCTCCTCATAGAGATTCATTGAATCAATGAATCTCTATGAGGAAAGTTCAGTGTCTGCATGCAGTGGGAGGAGATACTGAATCACAGGATGCTCGTGCACATCAGATCTGAGTGGATGGAGGCATATTATGCCTCCATTAACTCAGAAGTCCCTCTGGTTCACTCTGAGTGACTGCAACTGGAGGTGTTCCTAGCTTTCAAGGTAAACACTGTATTTTCTCAGAAAATACAGTGTTTACATGAGAAAGGCTGCAGGGAGCTATAGTTCTCACCTGAAGTTGTTCAGGTGACTTTAGTGTCCCTTTAAATTTGATATCTCCTCTTTTTTAGGGTGGGGGAGAGAGGTTAAACAGAATGGGGTCAGTAACCTAAACTGATCGACATATCTGACTTGAAACATTGTATATTTCCAAAGTCAGAGTGTTCCACCAAAGCTACTAAAGCTAAAGGCACATAGACGCAATGTTTACATTACCTACGTGCTGTGTCATGAAAGTACATACGGAATGCTGGTGAAGGAATATTCCAGCCGTTTCAAACTTTTTGTATTCGTGCATAGAATCAAAATGTAGCTATATATGAAATGATATGTTTTTCTCTTCTCTCTTCAACAGTTAGATTTTAAATACGCAACCTTGCATTGTAAATGCTTTCATACTTCAACAAAATTATCTCAAAAGAAATCTCAAATGTCAATAACTACAAATGTAACTGCATTTCTCAAGTGCAGAATATTACATTCTGGGGAGAAATAATAAACGTCAACTATTCATTTCCATTCTACACAAAGAAGAAATACTAAGCAAGCATTTAATATACTGCATTTGGGTTGCTGGCATATGACAGCTACACAGTGCCCCGCTGTCCAAATTCACTTAGAATAAAGAATTTGTTTGAATTTGCAGACAGCTGACCTGCTTCCTGCCATGTGCGAACACAGTTCCTGTTGTCAGGGACACGTTAGGTCATTGGCTTCATTTTTACATTTTGTAAAATGCGTGTCTTCTAATATAAAGCAAAAAAAAAAAGGAAAAGAAAAAATATTTTTTTTTTGTATGTTTCTCTTTGAAAACCACAACTGTAGAAAGTGTTCCTTGGGTTTGTCTTTTGTTTTATTAGTCAGCCCACAAACCAGAGTATGAAACCAGTGTAGTACAAACATTCAGTCAAAGACACCATTTAAAGGGCTCTCACACAAGAACCTACTGAGACTATGGAGAGATTGAGGAGAACCCGTGACAAGTCCACATGTTAAACCACCAGTTCTATCCCAGCTAGATTGGTTCAACTCTGGGCCACAACTGTAAACACAGATTACTTATCAATTCAGTTATTAAATGGTCATCCCAGGCAAACAGGAAAACTGATAAGCTCAAAGCATATCGCATTACATCCTGGTACATTATCTATTAAGAAGGGGGTTAACCCATCAGAAATAATAAATGCCCCTTTAAACCAAGGGGGTGTGGGGGGGGACTTAGCCTCAGGTAGTGATGAGAATCCTAAATCATAAACCTTTTCTAATAAGAATGATCACAATATATTCACACACAATTTAACTGTTGATGCTTTCATTGAGAACAATGGGAAACAACTGATCGGAGGATAAACCAAACCTATTTCCTGGTTGTAGCAGAACTAAAATATGCAAAATAGCAAAAACATTTCTTTATACACAATAATAATCGAACTGCAGGTTTTTTGTTACCCCACAACATTCTCACTAATATATTTTGAGCAGATTGTGGTCTAATTCCAGAGGTTTAAAAACAGCTGTACACATACTATTGTACTGAGTGTAGTGCAGGCACAGAATATAGTGACCTACATAGAGAGCAGGCAAGCATGAATAATGTATATCAATTCACCATCATCACATCATGGATTTATAAACTTTAATAAACAGCACTGCTACGCAGGTCATCCACATAGCAAATCAAACACATTTTTAAATGTGTATTTTGTGTATTTGGAAGAGAAGCATGAAATGACTATTTAAAACTTTATGTTGGAATATGTGAACTTTTTTAAAATCACCGAAAAAAACAAAATAAAAAACAAGCCCCCCAAAAATGCATATCAACATTTTTTTTTTGTCATTTATAAAGAAATCCCCACTTAAAGGATAAAGATAAAAAAAACCTTTCAGAACTGGGAGTTGTTATAAATGGTTATACATTATGGTTCAGCATTAAGCAGCTTTATGCGGCACCCTCACAAGGTTACAGTTGCAAAGGGCTTATAGGAATACTCCAATATTCCAAGCACTATAACCACAACAGTGCACTGGGCCTAGCTCCTTGGTTGCTTATATAATTCCAGCTCTCAGGCAACAGTAGAGGAGGTGAGGAGCACACCAAGCAGACTCTGGGTAAAAAGTCAAACCGTTAAAAAAAAAAATTTAAAAAATAGTTTGACTACTTACAATGTGGGAGCGCCAGAAAAATCTACCACAGCGAGCTGGTGCCTGGAGTGTTCCGCTAAAAAAAAATATATAATTGAAGAGATCCCCCACGATTTTTTTAAGGAGCAAGATTCAATTCAAAGAATAAAACTATGTGACATCATTTTACATGATCATTATCCCTTTAATCTGAGAGATATTGGTGCTGGAAGCAGATAAATGACAATGTTTTTTAACACCATCAATGCTGCAAGGGGGGGTGGGAGAGATACTTTGTATTCCTAGCCCTATAGTTTTAATTTAAAGTCAAATACATTTCCCTTCCAAAAAACAGATTTCAGAACAAATGTCTGTCTTTCTAAACATATTTTTATTTTTTTCCTGGCATATATTATATACAACTATCAGCAGAACACAAATAAATATACATAGTTATTGTAAACTTGTCATTTTAGTTGGGTTTAACCATTCTTTTTAATTGCGACTCAAACATGTTACAAATAATTGTAGTAATGAATCCTGACCTCAAAACACATGTACAACAAAAACAGAAACATGGTTTATTTGTGTAAAGGTGGAAAACGAGACTATCTTCACTATATTTTAGTACATTATGTATAGGATGTTCTGCACTGTCAGTGTTACTTATTAGTCATGCCACCCCTTAAAATAATGTGTTGTAAAAATAACAGACAGCATGAATATGAAAGGCGATGCTATAAATAAACCCTTAGTCATCACACAAACAACAATTACATAATAGTAATCTTTTTAAATAGACTATTTCTGGAGTGATGTAAACTATTCTGTCACGGTGTGCTGGGAGAGGCTGCTTGCTGCCTGGTCCAGTTTGTGAGCAGTCAACATACAATGTCCTTTGCACAATCATCCATAGAAAGAAAGGGGAGGAGTGCATGATTAGAGGGACACACTAAGCACCAAAACCACATGTAGATGCAGATGCTGTACCTTTTCTCTTACAATGTAAAATATTGTCGTTTCTGAGAAAAGACACGTCTACATCTGGCTGAGAAAATGCCTCTAGAAGCTGTCAAACAGCCAACAGGACAGCCTCTAGCGGAAATTCATCTTTAAAGGAATACTCCAAGGTTAGAAATTATAATTCTGAGAAACTGCAATTATACAGACACTCCTCACTTACCAACCGGGTTCCGTTCCTACGACCCGGTCGTAGAACAAATCAATCGGTAAGTAAGGAGTTAAGGGATTCCCTGCTCTGGTGCACTTTTCTATGTTCAGGGAAATTTCCTCGAACATAGATTTAAGGGATTCCCTGCTCTGGTGCGTTCGTCTAGGTTTGGGGAAATTTCCCCGAACATAGACGAACGCAGCAGAGCAGGGTATCCATTTAATTCTCACAACGGCTTGCACTTACCACTCCGGTCGTAAGTGTGAGCCGTTGTAAAACAGGTCGGTCGTAAAAAAAAGGACCACCTGTATTGCAGGGTTAACTCCTCCTCTAGGTGCAGTTTGCCAGATGTTTTATATTGCTTATATTGGTGCTTAGAAAGTGTCTAATAAGAGGGGAAAAAAAAGGGTTCAGTGGTCCCTGACTTTGGGATCAAGACCTGTCTGGCTACATGGTCTGTCCCTTCTCCTTCTGAGATATATTAAATTAACCCATGTTATTGTGCACATCACAGTCTATTAAACATCTGGAGAGCATGCTACCTTCAAAAAGAAGGCAAAGCTTAGGGGATAAAGTATGACAAAATCTAAATGCAAAATGTTCATAAATTACTCTGTAAAAGTAAATTAACAACACGGGGATTGGCTCTTCGCCTTTTACCATCAGGTCATAAAAACCTAGTCATCACATCCACTAATATCTCAGAATAAAATATCAGAACAACGAACTTTGGCCTAACCCATTTCAATTAATGCATGTTAATCAGTCGGTTTCCTCTAATAACTAACTACAAGACAGAAGATGGAGTAATAATAGAATTACATTCACCAACAAATACTTTGTTTGACGTATCAATTTATATAACGGATGTTTTATAGGAAGTGAAAATAAATCTCTCTTAAAGGGCACTATAGTCACCTGAACAACTTTAGCTTAATGAAGCTGTTTTGGTGTATAGAACATGCCCCTGCAGTCTCAGTGCTCAATCCTCTGCCATTTAGGAGTTAAATCCCTTTGTTTATGAACCCTAGTCACACCTCCCTGCATATGACTTGCACAGCCTTCCATAAACACTTCCTGTAAAGAGAGCCCTACTTAGGCTTTCTTTATTGCAAGTTCTGTTTAATTAAGATTTTCTTATCCCCTGCTATGTTAATAGCTTGCTAGACCCTGCAAGAGCCTCCTGTATGTGATTAAAGTTCAATTTAGAGATTGAGATACAATTATTTAAGGTAAATTACATCTGTTTGAAAGTGATACCAGTTTTTTTTTTTTTCATGCAGGCTCTGTTGGTCATAGCCAGGGGAGGTGTGGCTAGAGCTGCATAAACAGAAACAAAGTGATTTAACTCCTAAATGACAGTGAATTGAGCAGTGAAATTGCAGGGGAATGATCTATACACTAAAACTGCTTTATTTAGCTCAAGTAATTTAGGTGACTATAGTGTTCCTTTAAAGAAATAGTTTAGTGTCTGGTTTCTTGAATATTAAAATACATAAATCTCTATTACAGACATACCATTAAAAAATTGGATTAAAAAGGACAGTCACAAACAGGAATATCATCAAATGTGGTGCCTACAACATGAAGACTCAGAGATCCCCAACAACTTATCTAAATTATTAACGCATTCATTTATGGTGCAGGGAAGGCCACTGCTCCAGCCTATTCACAGTTATCTATAAATTCAGCTCTTTGCAGGAATCACACCAGCTATTAGTATGTGTATGTCACACATTGCAGGAATAAACTATATTTCTTGTTCTGCCAATATTGTATAGTATGCATGTTTCATAAGAGCATGACATTCAACTCCCAATCAGACCTCACTGGCCCTTGGAGAGAACCCACATTGTTGCAGCTTTACTCATCGCATGTGATAAAAAGAATGTTATTTGGGTGTGATTTACGTATTGCATAAACCCCTGCTTGAGATTGATTGACAGGATAATATCAGGCTGTATAGGACACAATGAGATGCTTTGATTCTTCCTAGGCTAGACAGAGCTCATTCCTAGTTCTTGCTCCTATCTGGAACAACTGAATTAACGTTTAATTTATTTTTTGGGTGTTTTATTTTTACATATCAATTACCTATACAAGCCAATAAAAAAGTTGGTCACTTCTTAGCTCCCAAATACTATAAAATTTTACCAGAAATACAAAAATAAATGCAATAAGTGTTTTTCTGTTTTTAAAATGGACAAAATAAAAAAAATTAGTCACAGATTTATATACTCACCAATAAAATAAAAAAATAAAAAAAGACTTATGAAACAAGCTTGTAAGTATATTGTATAAATGCCACATGCGCTAGTAGGCAGGGTTCTGCTTTCATTTCGTACTTGTACGTCTTATTATATATATTAGTTACTCCTAATTCACCGATTATAGAAATAAAAGTGGTAATAATTCCTTTTTCATTATGCTTATAATCACAGTTGGCACTATGCAATTTGGCGTCCTACGAAATGTCAGATAAAGTGCGATTGAGTTTCAGTTTCAAGTTCTAATGGTGGCAAACTTTACCACACTGCACATGGGGATTACGGAAGTATGTAGCTACTTGGGCCATAGAAACCCATTTAGTAAAGCTCCTGATGAACAAGTTTTGTATTACACTATCGGGGTTATTTATTTAAAGTGACGCTATAGTCTCCAAAACAACCTTCGCTTAATCAAGCAGTTTTGGTGTATAAATCTTGACCCTGCAGTCTCACTGCTCAAGTCTCTGCCATTGAGGAGTTAAATCACATTGCTTATTCAGCGCTAGTCACACCTCCCTGCATGTGAATTCACAGGCTTCCTAAACACATCCTGTAAAGAGTCATCTAATGTTTATCCTTTCATTACTGCAAATTCTGTTTAATTTAGAATTTCTTATATCCTGCTCTGTTAATAGCTTGCTAGACCTTGCTGGAGCCTCCTGTAACGAAAGTTTAATTTACAAAGCAGGATATACAAACTTTTAAAGTTATTTACATCTGATTGAAAATGAAACTATATATTTTCATGGAGGCTGTGTTAGTCACAGCTTGGTGAGGTGTGGCTAGGGCTGCATAAACAGAAACAAAAGTGATTTAACTCCTAACTGGCAGAAAATTGAGCAGTGATCGTGCAGGGGCATGATCTATACACCAAATTGCTTCATTAAGCTAAAGTTGTTTTGGTGACTATAGTGTACCTATAAGTTAGAATTGTCAGAAACTGAAAGAATTCAGGGTGAATTTCAAATTCTACACTCTGCACGTATACGATATTTGCAGTTCATAGATAATTACACTACAAAGCAACAACATTTACAAGTTAAATGGGGCATCTTTAGCAGACAGGGCTGACAATTTTAACAAAATGACTTATTAGAAAGAGGGCGTGACCATGCATTGAGACCTGTAGTACAGTCCATTCTACTGTTTGTCTCCAACACTGGGTGTGGCCAAATAATTTTAATTAACTCCACTAATTAGAAACTTTTTGTACATTCTTTTAGTCCTGATGTGTACCCACAATGGGACTTTAAATCTGATCCTTCAACAACTTGCTTAGAAACCAGGTGGTCTAACAGAGGTCCTACGGAAGTACAGGTTGTGCAAGACGGACTCGCTCTGTACGTTTTTTTTATTAAACCAACAAGAACCAAGGTATTCGGTTGCTTTACTTGCAGTAATACAATGTGGCAATCTTCTTCTGTACTAGGAACAAAACCTTCAGGTAAGCCCCTGTCTTGTCTGATGTGACTTCAGGAACACAAACAGGCTAATAAACCCAGAAGAACAGCCTTTTAGCATCACATAATTAAAAACTGCATTTTTTTTTAAAATGCAATGAAGAGGATATAATCATAATTTTTAATGTTATCTTACATTTGTATGACCACTTATTTTTCTTAATATTAGAATTTTTTTTCACATTAAACAAAGGCCCTCACTTAAGAAAATAAAAAGCAAAACAAAAAAAAAAGCATTTTGAAGGAACACTCCAAGCACCATAACCACTATAACTAGCTGTAGTGCTTATGGTGCCAGGAGTGACCTGGTGTTTGCCCCCAATGTAAGTAGTCATACAGTTTGATAAAGGTTTGACTTCTCTGAGGTCTGCGGACCCCATTCCCTGCCTCTGCTACTGCCAGAAGCACGCTGAGCTCAGTGCAGGGGTTAGCTCATTGGCGGAATGCTGGCACGCCGACTGAGTACCTCCGCCAATCGATGCTCCTAGTGCTCGCTGAGGACTCCAAGCACTCCAACCGACACCATCAGCACTGCAGACCCCACTTCCAGCGATGCAACTCCGCCGGGGTCTCTGCTGTTTCCACCCACCCTGGACCCAAGGCCAGGATCCAGCTTCCAGTGGGTGAACCTCTCTTTCCCCAGAGAGCAGGAACAGGAACAAATCAAGCTATTGCAAAAGCTTCCTCTGGGGAGTAAGTGATTATAGCAATCCCCAGAGTGTAGGTATCCCTTCCCCCAAACATGAGCCAAGGCTTAATGCTGGAACAAGACTGATTTACTGGCACACAGAACTCACAATTTATGCAACACAAAACTCCTCCTCTGGGCCAGGCTAGATAATTGAGTTTCTACAATACACAAAGCTCAATTATCTGCTGGCCAGAAATAATACAGTTTCATAAAACACACAGGGACCCCAAAACATGCAATAACCCCATAAAAAGTATATCCTTGGAACCGGGGGATCTGGGTGAACCACATATCCAAAATTCACCCAGATCCGTTCAGTACTTTGGAAAATACAGTTTAATGCAGATTCTGCAGAACATATACAGGCTAAATGAAAAACAATCACTGTATAACGTGTCCCCTGCTGTATAGTCCAAAACCACTGCACGATGTCTCTGTGCACCAAATACCAGCGAGATGGCCGCCATCCATTGTTCTCACCATGTGCTTCTGATACAGGAAATGGTGGCCACCCAGTAACTCCACAGTATGTCCCCAGATGGTTCTCAAAGGGCCAGCAGCAGCACAACACAAATCCATTATGCCCAAATCATGTCTTTAAAGGGCAATACATCCCAGGGGCCATAGTCACAGGGCAAGAGGCGGGCAAGCAGTCCTCTCCAGGCACAAGTGGCGAAGGGCACTTCGTCACAGCCATCAGCTGACATTCTTAGCCAATCAGCTGGACCCTGCACGGCTTAGCTCAAGAGAGCTGATGAAAGAAGCACATAGCTGGAGTGGCAATGCCACCATGCAGCACCCCGCAAACCTAAAGTAAAAAGACAAACTGTTCTCAAAACTTACTACATACAACGAGGGAGCACACCATAACTGCTACACAGCACTGCAGTGCAGATAGTGCTTAGAGTGTTCTTCTAAAATTGCTGCTTAAAGGAACACTATACCTTTAGGAGTATAAACCTGTATTCGTAAAGCTACAGTGTTCTACTCCCGATCTAGATTCAGAGCCACATCTAAATGTAGTAAAAAACAAAAACAAAAAAAAACTATATATATATATATATATATATATATATATATATATATATATATATTTTAAAATGGGGAGAAAAATGGTTATACTTTTTCAGTGCTGAGATCCGGTCCCATGTCACTGACTCCTTTTCTTGTCCAATCCAATGCTTTTTATATAGAAGCATTGGGGACAAGTAGCACATGTGTGGCGAGCAACGAGCCTCATAGAAAGGCATCAAATCCAAGTTATTTCTTTGTTCGGCATTTGATAAACGTCACATAACCAAACCAAACTCTGTTGTCACAGTTGAAGCACTTAGGGAAAACAACTAGAGGTGAGTTTGGTCCTGCAATGAAAACATTGGTATTTAAAAAAAATAAAAAATAAATGGCAGTGTTTTACATTGCAGGACAAAACCTACAGGGCCATTGCACCCAAACCACTTATTTGGGATTAAACAGGGTTATTCAATAAAGTGAGAATCCAAAATAAATTTCAAATGTTAGGCCCGAGTACCTGAAATGAAATTATAGCAGGTTTAGAGAATTTTTCCAGTCTGACTTTACCTTAAATTTGAATTCTCACATTAGTAAATAACACTATAAGTGGTCAGGGTTACTCAAACCACCACAACTACTACAGTAATTTAAAGTGGTTATGGTAGTAGGCATGTGTATGTGCAATGTTTCAGTTTGAAACACTGCACATGCTGAAACATTGCAACTCAGTTCCGGGCTGAAAAATGTCAATGCTGTGCATAAATTACATCCAGTAAGCGTCAGAGCTTTGACTATGCCAGTTTCCAGGTGAGTAAACATCTTTATTTAAAAAGATTTTTGTGGCCAGAATAGTAAAAAACTAAAAGTTAGCATTTAGTAATTAAAAAAAACAACAACCCAGAGCGAGGAAGATAAAATGATCTATAAGATTAGGCAGAAAAAGGCTAAGCAAGTTATAAGGGCTTCCAAATCACACACAGAAGAGAAAATAGCACAGTCAGTAAAAAAAAAAAAGAGGACAACACATTTTTTTAGACACATAAATGAGAAAAGAAAAGTAAAACAAGGGTTACTTAGATTAAAAACAAAAGAAGGAAGGTATGTAGAAGAGGATAAAGGTCTAGCTGACTGCCTCAATTAATATTTTTGTTCAGTATTTACAGATGAAAATAAAGGAAAGGGGCCTCAGTTAGGAAAAAGGACAAATGAGTAATTTATTACATATGAGTTTACAGAGGAAGAGGTTCTATTTCAACGGTCAAAAGTAAAGACAAATAAGTCAATGGGACCTGATGGAATACACCCAAAGTTATTAAAAGAGCTTAGTGGTGTACTAGCAAAACCATTAACAGATTTATTTAACCAATCATTGTTAACAGGAGTAGTTCCAGAGGATTGGAAGTTAGCGAATGTTGTGCCCATTCACAAGAAAGGTAATAGGGAGGAGTCGGGCAACTATAGGCCAGTAAGCCTTATTTCAGTAGTGGGGAAAGTGATGGAAACCATGTTAAAGGATAGGATTGTTGAACATCTAAAAATACATGGACTGCAAGATCAGAGACAACATGGGTTTACTTCAGGGAGATCATGCCAAACTAATCTTATTGATTTTTTTGGATTGGATAACTAAAATTATAGATCAGGGTGGTGCAGTAGACATTGCTTACCTTGATTTTAGTAAGGCTTTTGACACTGTTGCACACAGAAGGCTTATCAATAAATTGCAATCTTTACGTTTGCATTCCAATATTGTTGAATGGGTAAGGCAGTTGCTGAGTGACAGGCAACAGAGAGTTGTAGTCAATGGAGTATATTTGAAAATTGGGCTTGTCACCAGTGGGGTACCTCAGGGATCTGTACTTGGACCCATTCTCTTTAATATTTTTATTAGTGATATTGCAGAAGGTCTTGATGGTAAGGTATGTCTTTTGTAACAGGGTTGATGTTCCAGGAGGGATAAGCCAAATGACAAATGATTTAGGTAAACTAGAAAAATGGTCAGAGTTGTTGCAACTGACATTTAATGTGGATAAGTGCAAGAGAATGCATCTTGGATGTAAAAACCCAAGTGCAGACTACAGAATATTTGATAGAGTCCTAACCTTAACATATGTGGAAATGGATTTAGGGGTGATTATTTCTGATGATTTAAAGGTAGGCAGACAATGTAATAAAGCAGCAGAAAATGCTAACAGAATGCTTGGTTGTATAGGGAGAGGTATTAGCAGTAGAAAAGGGGAAATACTCATGCTATTGTATAGAACACTGGTGAGACCTCACTTGGAGTATTGTACGCAGTGCTGGAGACCGTATCTTCCGAAGGATATTGATACTTTAGAGAGAGTTCAGAGAAGGGCTACTAAACTGGTTCATGGATTGCAGGATAAAACGTATCAGGAAAGGTTAAAAGAACTTAACATATATAGCTTGGAGGAAAGACGAGACAGGGGGGATATGATAGAAACATTTAAATACATAAAGGGAATCAACACAGTAAAGGAGGAGACCATATTTAACCCCTTAAGGACACGACATGTGTGACATGTCATGATTCCCTTTTATTCCAGAAGTTTGGTCCTTAAGGGGTTAAAAGAAGAAAAACTACAAGAGGACATAGTCTTAAATTAGAGGGGCAAAGGTTTAAAAATAATATTACTTTACTGAGAGGGTAGTGGATGCATGGAATAGCCTTCCAGCTGAAATGGTAGAGGTTAACACAGTAAAGGAGTTTAAGCATGCGTGGGATAGGCATAAGGCTATCCTAACTATAAGATAAGGCCAGAGACTAATGAAAGTACCAGTATTTAGAAAATTGGGCAGACTAGATGGGCCGAATAGTTCTTATCTGCCGTCACATTCTATGTTTACTGCAATTCAAAGGGGGACCCAATTCATAGTGCCCAATAGGACATATCACACATAAAAGGCCCCCCACCTCCAAAGGGTTGGAGTAACCTAGTAAAAGCACCAGGTGCTATAAATACCTGAGGTTATTAAAGTGGTTATGGTCCCAGCATACTTTCTCTGCACTCTTAGGTTTTAATTACTTAGCAAAATGACAAAATAGGGTATTAAAGCTTGTAGCTCTGCCTACAAAGCTAGTCAAAGAGCCAATAATTCCACTTCCTGGTTCTCATACCGATGAGTTGCCATTTCCGTACACACCTGCAATACTAAAAGAGAGACCTCTCCCTGAGATGATTGGTGCTACGCGTCCACACTGGTAAGTAAATTTAAACCAAAGACAGCAGAGAAGTTATTTTGGCACCATAACCACTTCAGTAAACTAAAGTGGACATACTGCCCAGAGTGTACCTTTAAGGACATCCATTTAACTGCTAATGTGGTTCTTTGACAAGAGAATTGCAAAATTAACATTGAAATATCTGAAATCTAAAATATTCTCCAAATGCTACTTTTTCGCTTGGCTATAAAGCCTAACAAATGCAATTTCCTTGTCAGTTGTCAGCAATTTCTAATTTAGTGAATGGCCCTAGCAGTACAAGTCATGAAATACTTCATAAAACACTGAAGGCTTCACTGCCTATCACACATGGCAATTACTAGGGGAATCCTGAAAATAAGGTGTTTAGCCCCCAAAATCAAAATTTGCCCCCCCAATTCACGTCAAGGCCATTTTTTTGACTGACAGACACATGCTCTCATTGATACATGCACTGATATACACTCACTGACAGATACACTGTCATTGGCACACACATACAGTCATTGGCACACACTGTTTAACCACTCTCAGATACGCCTAAAATGACAGGCACACACTCACAGGCACACCCATTCTCACTCACAGACACACACTGACAGCTACACTCATTCGTTCACAGTAAGGTGGACAGTCCCAGAACACAAAGGCAAACAAGGCTTTTGTCTGGGAGCTTGGGGTGGAATTTTTTGGCGCCCCCCTGAAAGTGCCGTCCTAGGCAAATGCCTTGTTTGCCTTGTGGTAAATACATCCCTGGGAACACCTCTAGTTGCCACTCTTCATACAGCCACTAGAGCTGTTTCCTGGGTCAGTGCTCACTCTCTGCATGAGAAGATGTTGATTGGCCAAGTCGGCGTTTGGCCCTGTCTCCGCCTTGCCTCCTTGACTATCTCAGCCAGTCTGATGCTGTTCATCAGTTCTGATGATGTCAGTCAAGAAGGCTGATTGGAGGTGGGGCTAGAACCGGCAGACCTGCGTGGCGCTGAAAATAAGGTAAGTTTTCTTAACTTTTAAGGGGGGGGGAGGGGGGTCGCAAGTCACTTAAATGGTGGTTTTAAAACTAGAGGGTCAGGAATACTGACCGTATAGTGTTCCTTTAATTAGGGATCTGAGAGTGGTTTACTCTTCCCTATGCCACAGCAAGTCAACAAAAAAATTCTTTGTTATAGTAAAATTTCGATTCAAAGGATATTTGTATATCACTATCATAACCACTCTGTCTGAAACACACCTTCCTTTTATGACACTTCACTATACCTGTAATCTCATAACCTTCAAAGAGATGTCATGCACAGCACACAATATGTAGCATAAGTAGCAGTGTTGATTGTCAGCTCACTTTTCCAGCAAAAATGCTCACTACAAAATTTTAGGGTACTCCTGAATATTTAAACAAAGTTGTCAAGCAAACTAAACTCGCTAGTCGGGTTCAACTTGTGTTTTAAATGAACACGCCATACACTATAACCCCAAAGCATGCTGTAGTGGTTATGGTGCCTTGTGCATCCCACTATTAGAGTATTAGAACTCTTTTACTTGAATTGCAAAAATAAAGATAAAAAATAAAACCAAACAAAAATAGAGAAACAGAAAAAAAAAAAAAGGATTAATTTAAAAATCAAAACCTGCAAAGAGACAGAGCCACTTTCATGCAACTTGGCCATGTATGCAATATAACAGAGTTCCATTGCCCCTTGTTTTATTTTCCACCAATATGCTAAGCAAATGACCCGGTATTCTTTAGAATGCATTGTGCATATATCATATTGCACAAGGATGCATAGACAGGTGCACGTACATAGAACTTTTGTATGCCTCTTCTCCATTACAGCAACCACAAATAGTGCAGTTCATTGGTTTCCACATTAGCTCACCCAACTCTGGACAGCAGTGTATTCTAAAAAAAAAAAAAAGTACTAAGTGTGTAGAAATCTCCACTTAAATTAGTGGAATCTGCAAGTGCATTCTATACACCCCTTTTTACAAATTAAACAAACTTACACACGCACAATTTCAACTGAAACCACAGGCATATATTGCATTACAACCCAGAGATTTTACAGTGAAAATGGCACAGATATTGATCAAAATAAATAAATCAGAAGAGCCTAATAAGGGACAACAAAGCTAAAATCAAAACAAATAAAGTTATATATTAATGGCCGTAAGTTTAAGGAACACCTCAAGCACCATAACCACTACAGTGCTCTATAGTCGTTATGTTGCCAGGAATGCCATGTCTTGGCTTCTTACCTGGGGACAGAGAGCATCAGCCGATCACTATCAGCCAATAAAACCTTGCATCAATGTACTTAGCTCAATAAAGATAGTTTTTGGTTGTAGAGAGGCAGGGTACAGAACCTGGCAAACCCCAGGTAAACTAGAAAAATGGTCAGAATTGTGGCAACTGACATTTAATGTGGATAAGTGCAAGATAATGCATCTTGGATGTAAAAACCCAAGGGCAGAGTACAGAATATTTGATAGAGTTCTAACCTCAACATATGAGGAAAGGGATTTAGGGGTGATTATTTCTGATGACTAAAAGGTAGGCAGACAATGTAATAGAGCAGCAGGAAATGCTAGCAGAATGCTTGGTTGTATAGGGAGAGGTATTAGCAGTAGAAAGAGGGAAGTGCTCATGCCATTATACAGAACACTGGTGAGACCTTACTTGGAGTATTGTACACAGTACTGGAGACCGTATCTCCAGAAGGATATTGATACCTTAGAGAGGGTTCAGAGAAGGGCTACTAAACTGGTTTATGGATTGCGGGATAAAACTTACCAGGAAAGGTTAAAGGATCTTAACATGTATAGCTTGGAGGAAAGACGAGACAGGGGGGATATGATAGAAACATTTAAATATATAAAGGGAATCAACACAGTAAAAGAGGAGACTATATTTAAAAGAAGAAAAGCTACCACAACAAGAGGACATAGTCTTAAATTAGAGGGACAAAGGTTTAAAAATAATATCAGGAAGTATTATTTTACTGAGAGGGTAGTGGATGCATGGAATAGCCTTCCAGCTGAAGTGGTAGAGGTTAACACAGTAAAGGAGTTTAAGCATGCATGGGATAGGCATAAGGCTATCCTAACTATAAGATAAGGCTAGGGACTAATTAAAGTTTTTAGAAAATTGGGCAGACTAGATGGGCCGAATGGTTCTTATCTGCCGTCACATTCTATGTTTCTATGTAATCAAACTGTTAACAAATGGTCTAACTACTTACACTGAGGAGACACCAGGGCACTCCTAACACCATAAACACTGCGGAATATGAACTCTAGACTACCCCTACATTAATGCTCAGCCAGCTTGTGGCCACTGGGTCCTGTTTCCTTCAGGCTCTCTGCAAGATTCTAGCATCACAGCCGTTTATGACTGGCAATACGGTACAATCTTACTCCATGACTTACTCCAGTTCCTGCTGCAGCTTCATGGGCAAGCAGCAGCAAGCCCCTCACAGATCAGAAAGAGGCTCCATCAATCAGGAGCCTCTCATTCTGGTCTATGTGGTCTGATCGTATCCCTCCCTAGAATGGATTTTTGGAAAATGCAGTTTGGCCTCCAGCAGCTGTTCTATTTATCTAACAAACTGAACTTTTGCATATGCTTTTAGCAGCCAGAATATAGCTGCTATTAGCTTACTGATGGCCCCATACTCACATTTATTTATTTTTTAAAATAAGGTTGTGCATAGCTGCCAACTGCTGTGTACCCATGTCCTACCAATATTTGTGTGGTCAATGGCAAAATATACTTTTATGTCAGAGGGAAAAGCTTATAGCTACTGAAGTTTTTACAAAAAGCTACAGTTATAGGAAATAGGGAAAGATGTCCAAGCACGATAATTTCTACAAACATATAGTGTGAGAAAAGTCAATGTTTACATTGGTGCTTAGTATATCCTATAGTGTTACTAGAGGTAAGGAGATGCTGATAGGTGCAATAGCCTCCAATGCTTTCCAAAGGGAAAACATTGGATTGGCTGTGATAATGAAGATTAATCTCAGCCATGGAGGCGGGGTAAGAAGCAGCTAATCCAGCATGGCGTGGGAGAAAAGGTGAGAAAAATCACCTTTTCAAAGCGATCTAAGGGGGATAGGTCACCTAAATAGCCACTTCAGGATTTTGGCGTCAAAAAAACATACATGTTTGTGTTCCTGACAGTGTAGTATTCCTTTAAGATGATGTTTTGGTGCTTTGAGTGTCCTGCTGCCCATGAATATCTAGCTTTACAAATCAAAATGGTCAAGAAAAACTTTTACTAAATGACTGAAGTTTCACGCAAACAATTTTACATAAAGGAGGTTGAATGAAGCCAGCCAACGTTTCATATGCCAAATATAAGTTACGAAGTGATCAGTCTTTATAAAGTCGTCTGATAACTTAGTCACAAATCCCACACGAAGCAATGACCACAGCATTCCACTAGTTGAATTTAAAAAAAAAAAAAAAAGAAAGAAGGGGGAGTTGGCATATAATTATTATAAATACAGACTAGAAAAATCAGTCAACAACATTCTGTAGCATCTTAAAATTATATAACTAGTACATTTATATTTAGGAACGTCTACTCCCCATATCACATTAGCCATAAAAACAAAAACAAAATAACATTCATTAGAAAGAGTATCTCTTCAATAAGTAAGTTTAGTTTTTTTTTTTGTGTTTATTATTTCCAAAATGAATCTACCATCACTGTCATCGTGAAACATCCCATTATAAATCTATATCTCAGTGTTCTAATTTCGGTGTTCTAACACAACAAATGTTCTAAATTTAAACATTTGAACCCAAGTTTAGTATTTCTGCTCACATTCCTTGCAAGATAATACCTCTGATAACATCATAGAAGAAAGCCCACTAAAAAGACTACAATAACCTACAAATCTGCACACACATACACATATATATCCTAACATAAAGTGATAGCAACCTCTTTATAGTAACATCCCAACTTGTGTCACATACAGGAAGTTCTCTAAGATTATTACCTGTATGCAGGCAATGCATGGGATACATGGACTATTACTATATATATATATATATATATATATATATATATATATATATATATAATCTCCACCCCCAACCCGGATATCTCTCTCTGTATGTATATCACTCTCTCTCTCTATATATCTGTATCTCTCTCTCTCTCTCTCTATATCTGTATATATATATGTATATCTATCTCTCTCTCTCTCTCTCTATATATCTATATGCATATCTCTCTCTGTATATATATATATATATCTCTCGGTATATCTCTCTCTCGGTATATCTCTCTCTCGGTATATCTCTCTCTATCTCTCTGTATATATCTATCTCTCGGTATATCTCTCTATATATATCTGTATCTCTCTCTCTCTCTCTCTATATCTGTATATATATATATGTATATCTATCTCTCTCTCTCTCTCTCTATATATCTATATGTATATCTCTCTCTGTATATATATATATATATCTCTCGGTATATCTCTCTCTCGGTATATCTCTCTCGGTATATCTCTCTCTCGGTATATCTCTCTCTATCTCTCGGTATATATCTATCTCTCTGTATATCTCTCTCTCTGTATATATCTATCTCTGTGTATATCTCTCTCTCTCTCTGTATATCTCTCTCTCTCTCTGTGTATCTCTCTCTCTCTGTATATATCTCTCTCTCTGTATATATCTCTCTCTCTGTATATATCTATCTCTCTGTATATCTCTCTCTCTCTCTCTGTATATCTGTGAGTGTATGGACTGGATATTCCACTTGCCATCGATACACACAGATCCTGGTTATATTAATATGGCACTAGCTCCCTGTTGGTGTCCCCCTGCAGCCCAGCCCCAGTGACACTATATCACAGAGTGCAGCAGGTGCCCCACCTGAGTGAAGGGTCTCTGCATGCTGCTTGCTGGGTGTCAGCTGCTCTCCGGGATGGTTGCTGTGAGGACTTCCGCGTTCCCCCCTCCTCCTCCTGCTGCTGCTGCTGCCCCGAGCCTGCTCCCTGTCTCCACGCTGGCAGCGCTGACGTTACCAGGCAGCAGGAGAGAGTGCGCGCGCACAGGGGAGCGGAGGCGGGGACGAGCAACTTGCGTTTAGCGCGTGCCCAATGCAAGGGATTATGGGAGGAAGATTGTACCACGCCGGACACCGTACACGGCTGCCATGTTGGCATCTGGCAGAGGCTGTTGTGGAAGTAGGATACACTGACACCGGAAACAGGGAGCTGCCATGAGTGGCTATGGGCTGGAGCAGCAGTAGGGTAGAGACTATGTGGAGCTATAGCAGTCAATGGATTCTCCAGGGTTTATAAATAAAACACTATCAATCACAGGAAATCACTGTCACAGGAAATCACTGTCAGCCATAGGAAATCACTGCAATAGGAAATCACTGTCATAGGAAATCACTGTCAGTCATAGGAAATCACTGTCATAGGAAATCACTGTCAGCCATAGGAAATCACTGCCATAGGAAATCACTGTCAGTCACAGGAAATCACTGCCACAGGAAATCACTGCCTTAGGAAATCACTGTCAATCACAGGAAATCACTGTCGGCCATAGGAAATCACTGCCATAGGAAATCACTGCCATAGGAAATCACTGTCAGTCATAAGAAATCACTGTCAGTCATAAGAAATCACTGTCACAGGAAATCACTGCAATAGGAAATCACTGTCATAGGAAATCACTGTCAGTCACAGGAAATCACTGTCACAGGAAATCACTGTCAGTCATAGGAAATCACTGTCATAGGAAATCACTGACAGCCATAGGAAATCACTGTCAGCCATAGGAAATCACTGCCATAGGAAATCACTGTCATAGGAAATCACTGTCACAGGAAATCACTGCCATAGGAAATCACTGCCTTAGGAAATCACTGTCAGTCACAGGAAATCACTGTCAATCACAGGAAATCACTGTCAGCCATAGGAAATCACTGCCATAGGAAATCACTGTCAGCCATAGAAAATCACTGTCATAGGAAATCACTGTCAGCCATAGGAAATCACTGCCATAGGAAATCACTGTCAGTCACAGGAAATCACTGCCACAGGAAATCACTGCCTTAGGAAATCACTGTCAGTCACAGGAAATCACTGTCAATCACAGGAAATCACTGTCGGCCATAGGAAATCACTGCCATAGGAAATCACTGACAGCCATAGGAAATCACTGTCAGTCATAAGAAATCACTGTCAGTCATAAGAAATCACTGTCACAGGAAATCACTGCAATAGGAAATCACTGTCATAGGAAATCACTGTCAGTCACAGGAAATCACTGTCACAGGAAATCACTGTCAGTCATAGGAAATCACTGTCATAGGAAATCACTGACAGCCATAGGAAATCACTGTCAGCCATAGGAAATCACTGCCATAGGAAATCACTGTCATAGGAAATCACTGTCACAGGAAATCACTGCCATAGGAAATCACTGCCTTAGGAAATCACTGTCAGTCACAGGAAATCACTGTCAATCACAGGAAATCACTGTCAGCCATAGGAAATCACTGCCAGCCATAGAAAATCACTGTCAGTCATAAGAAATCACTGTCATAGGAAATCACTGTCAATCACAGGAAATCACTGTCAATCACAGGAAATCACTGTCATAGGAAATCACTTCCATAGGAAATCACTGTCATAGGAAATCACTGTCATAGGAAATCACTGCCATAGTAAATCACTGTCAATCACAGGAAATCACTGTCAGTCATAGGAAATCACTGTCATAGGAAATCACTGTCAGCCACAGGAAATCACTGCCATAGGAGATCACTGTCATAGGAAATCACTGTCAATCACAGGAAATCACTGTCATAGGAAATCACTGTCAGTCACAGGAAATCACTGTCATAGGAAATCACTTCCATAGGAGATCACTGTCAATCACAGGAAATCACTGTCATAGGAAATCACTGTCATGGGAAATCACTCCCATAGGAAATCACTGTGATAGGAAATCACTGTCTGTCATAGGAAATCACTTCCATAGGAAATCACTGTCACAGGAAATCACTGTCAGTCATAGGAAATCACTGTCATAGGAAATCACTGCCATAGGAAATCACTGTCAGTCATAGGAAATCACTGCCATAGGAAATCACTGTCACAGGAAATCACTGTCAATCACAGGAAATCACTGTCATAGGAAATCACTGTCATAGGAAATCACTGTCAGTCACAGGAAATCACTGTCAGTCACAGGAAATCACTGTCACAGGAAATCACTGCCAGCCATAGGAAATCACTGCCATAGGAAATCACTGTCAGTCACAGGAAATCACTGTCACAGGAAATCACTGTCATAGGAAATCACTCCCATAGGAAATCACTGTCATAGGAAATCACTGTCTGTCAAAGGAAATCACTTTCATAGGAAATCACTGTCAATCACAGGAAATCACTGTCAGTCACAGGAAATCACTGTCATAGGAAATCACTGCCATAGGAAATCACTGTCAGTCACAGGAAATCACTGTCACAGGAAATCACTGCCAGCCATAGGAAATCACTGCCATAGGAAATCACTGTCAGTCACAGGAAATCACTGTCACAGGAAATCACTGTCATAGGAAATCACTGTCATAGGAAATCACTGTCAGCCATAGGAAATCATTGTCAGTCATAGGAAATCACTGTCATAGGAAATCACTGCCATAGGAAATCACTGTCAATCACAGGAAATCACAGTCAGTCATAGGAAATGAACTGTCAGTCATAGGAAATCACTGTCATAGGAAATCACTGTCAGCCATAGGAAATCACTGTCATAGGAAATCACTGTCAGCCATAGGAAATCACTGTCAGTCATAGGAAATCACTGTCATAGGAAATCACTGCCATAGGAAATCACTGTCAATCACAGGAAATCACAGTCAGTCATAGGAAATGAACTGTCAGTCATAGGAAATCACTGTCATAGGAAATCACTGTCAGCCATAGGAAATCACTGTCATAGGAAATCACTGTCAGCCATAGGAAATCACTGTCAGTCATAGGAAATCACTGTCATAGGAAATCACTGCCATAGGAAATCACTGTCAATCACAGGAAATCACCGCCATAGGAAATCACCGTCACAGGAAATCACCACCATAGGAAACTCCACCGTCACAGGAAATCACCGCCATAGGAAATCACCACCATAGGAAACTCCTCACTGTCAGTCACAGGAAATCACTGTCATAGGAAATCAGTGTCAATCACAGGAACACTGCCAAAAGGAAATCACTGTCATAGGAAATCACCGCCAAGGAAATCACCGTCAATCATAGGAAATCACCGTCACAGGAATCACCGCCATAGGAAATCACTGTCAATCACAGGAAATAACTGTCAATCACAGGAAATCACTGTCAATCACAGGAAATCACTGCCATAGGAAATCACTCAGTCATAGGAAATCACTGTCATAGGAACCAGTGTCAATCACAGGAAATCACTGCCAAAGGAAATCACTGTCATAGGAAATCACTGGAAATCACTGTCAATCATAGGAAATCACTGTCACAGGAAATCACTGCCATAGGAAATCACTGTCAATCACAGGAAATAACTGTCAATCACAGGAAATCACTGTCAATCACAGGAAATCACTGCCATAGGAAATCACTGTCAATCACGGGAAATCACTGTCATAGGAAATCACTGTCAATCACAGGAAATCACTGTCAATCACAGGAAATCACTGCCATAGGAAATCACTGTCAATCACGGGAAATCACTGTCATAGGAAATCACTGTCAATCACAGGAAATCACTGTCAATCACAGGAAATCACTGTCATAGGAAATCACTGTCATAGGAAATCACTGTCAATCACAGGAAATCACTGTCATAGGAAATCACTGTCAATCACAGGAAATCACTGTCATAGGAAATCAGTGTCATAGGAAATCACTGTCAGTCATAGAAAATCACTGTCAGTCATACGAAATCACTGTCAATCACAGGAAATCACTGCCATAGGTAATCACTGTCAGTCATAGGAAATCACTGTCAGTCATACCAATTCACTGTCAATCACAGAAAATCACTGCCATAGGAAATCACTGTCATAGGAAATCACTGACATAGAAAATCACTGTCAGTCATACGAAATCACTGTCAATCACAGGAAATCACTGCCATAGGTAATCACTGTCAGTCATAGGAAATCACTGTCAGTCATACCAATTCACTGTCAATCACAGAAAATCACTGCCATAGGAAATCACTGTCATAGGAAATCACTGACATAGAAAATCACTGTCAATCACAGGAAATCACTGTCATAGGAAATCAGTGTCATAGGAAATCACTGTCAGTCATAGGAAATCACTGTCAGTCATACAAAATCACTGTCAATCACAGGAAATCACTGCCATAGGTAATCACTGTCAGTCATAGGAAATCACTGTCAGTCATACCAATTCACTGTCAATCACAGAAAATCACTGCCATAGGAAATCACTGTCATAGGAAATCACTGACATAGAAAATCACTGTCAGTCATAGGAAATCACTGTCTATCGTAGGAAACCACTGTCAGTCATAGGAAGTCACTGTCTATCATAGGAAACCACTGTCTAACATAGGAAATCACTGTCAATCATAGGAAATCAATGCCATAGGAAATCAGTGACAAAAGGTTCTGTGGGTTGAGTTTTATGTTATAGGCATAGAGGTTTATTTACTAAAGTGAGAATTCAAAGTGAATTTCAAATTTAAGGCCAGAGTAGCCAAACTGAAAGCACAGCTGACCTAGAGAAATTTTCCAGTTCTGCTAATTTGACATAAAAGGGACATTATAGTCACCGAAACGACTTATCTTCCATTTGGGAGTTAAATCACTTTGTTTATGCAGCTCTAGTTACACCTCCCTGCATGTAACTTACACTGCCTTTCTAAACAAACACTTCCATCTAATGTTTACTCTTCCTTTATTGCATATTCTATTTAATTTTGAATTTCTCATCTCCTGCTATGTTAGTAGCTTGCTGGACCCTGCAGGATCCTCCTGTATGTGATTAAAGTTCAATTTACAGTGCAGGAGATAAAAAAAAACCTATGAAGTA